CACACACACACACAAAAAAATGTTCCAATTCAAAAAAAAAAAAAAATCCAAATTGTTAATCCTAAATAACAAAGCAAAAAAAAAAAAAAGATTTTGTTCACCACCACCACCACCGCTTGCATTAATTCATTTGTTGTACGATCATTTGATGATTCTATTGATGTTGATGATGATGATGATGATGATGATGGTCATCATGTTTTTTTTTCTCAGTTTGGTTCTCTGTTTAAACACATGTGTGTGTGTGTTTATGTGATTTACTTCGCTCTAGAAACGAAAAAATGATTCGGCGCACGGCCCCAAACAAAACAAGAAAGAAAGATAGAAAAAAAAGTTCAACAAACTCTATGGTCTATGGTTCGCGTTTTTTTTTCTTTTTTTTTGTTCATGGAACTTTATGCAGCTAGCCATCATCATCGTCATTATTATTATCCGGTATTGAGTTATTCAAACTTTGTTTTTTTTTTTGCACACTCACAACAGCAACAACAACAACAACAAAAACAAGAATTTCAATGAGCTCACAATTTGAATGAATATAGCATGGATAAAGTGAATATAAAAACTGAAATTTACATATTTTTTTTCTTGGTGTTTTATTGAAAAATGAAAAAAAAATTTTTTTTTTTGCCTCTAATTCTCATAATTCTTGAATTCAGCAGCTTTTCCTATGAAAAATAAAAAAACCCTTTCATTCACTTTCTCCTAAATCTAATTTATTCTATTTAGGTCCATTCAAATATATTCGTTTTTTTATATATCTGAATTATGGTACGAATATAACAATGATGATGATGATGATGATGATGATAATGATTCAACTATATGGTATACATCATCAGCCTTAAATAACAATTGCATTTAGCATGCTAACAACAACAACAACAACAACAATTTATCATTTATTTCATCCCAGCTCTCTTTTACATACAAAACGTAAAGTTCCGCGTGTTTTTTTTTATATATTCATCCATGTGTACTATATATTCCTAATATAGCCCGGACCTTGTGATCAGAGAGATATGTACTGTGTGAATTCAATTCAATTCAATTCAATTGATGGCGATTCATTCAGTCAATGTTTATTATGATCTTATCGTATGTGTGTGTGTGTGTATCTGGATATTATATGCTGACCCGATTGTAGTATATCGTGAGGCTCTAGCTCCGGTATAGCACACACACACACACAAACACAATGTAAAATGAAATGAAAAAAAAATTTCACTCAATTGAACTCTCTTTTGTTCAGTAAAATTATTACTTTTTTTCTTTTGCTTTTTCCATTGTTAATAATAATGTTGATGATTGTCGACATCATTGCATTGCCATTGAATGATTAAAATCGATCGTCTTGTTCTCGTTTTCGACAGAGCAGATAGATGGAAAAAAACGGGGGTAGTTGAATTTCATTCACTTGTCATCTAATTCTAATGTCTATCTATTCATGATTTTTTTTTGGAGATTCGTTTGTTAATTAGATGGATGTGAAAAATAGTAGAAGGAAAGAATGTGGTGATGATGATGATGACGATGATGAATGGAATTTATTTTTTTTATTCGATTCTTGGCATAAAGAATCGTTTGTTTGTTTATTTGTTTGTTGCTGATATGATTATTGATGCCTTGAAATGATGTTTGTGAATTAATGAATAAGGAATTCTCACTAGGGATTATCCAATAAACCAATTGAATGTGTTTTTTTTTTTTTATTCATCGTTGAATTCTTATTAAGTTCACGTTCAGGTCAATAAGGCCGCATTTTTGAATGAATGGATGAATAGATGAATGAATGGTTGTTTGTGATGCCCACACATTGAGAGAGAAATACATTTTTCCAACCATCATCTTGATGATGATGATGATGATGGTTGAATTTATAATAATAATTCTTAGCATGCAAAGGTTAAAGGTTATATTTCTTCAGGGAAAGTTTGGATGTGATTGAACGAACAAAGTTCAACGATTTCAACAACAATGATGATGATGATGATGATGTCCATTTTTATGTTTAGAAATTTCTTATTTATAAATAAAAAAAAACTGGTTCTCCAGAGATTTTTTTTCCGTTCTGTTTTTTTTTTTTTTTCACTTATTCAGGATTCCACAGTTTTCTTGATATGATTCTATTCTGTTATTCGATTCTCTTCTTTTCTCATCATCATGATCGGTACGGATTTTTTGTTTGTTTGATTTTTGTTGTTTATTTCATTACCATATATACGATAAATAAACTCGAATCGCCGAACATTTATGTTTTATGAATGGTTTTCCGTTTTGTTTTTATTTTCTGGTCCATTTTTTTTGCATTGTTTTTTTTTCTCTGTTTGCTTCATTGAACGATCATTGACAGACCAATTCAATGTAGAGACGATATATATGATCATCATCAGTTTTTCTTTCTTTTTTTTTAAACAACAACAACAACAAAAAAAAACATTCAATTCGATTCTTATTCGGTTGGCCGCTTTGTTATCATTTCTTGTTGGTATATATTTTCTTTCATTCTTACTTTTTTTTTTGGGTTCTTGATTCAGAAACAATCATTTTCATTTTTTTTTTATTTCTTCTGCCTTTTTTCTCTCACCATAAACATCATCAAAAGAATATATATATACACTCTCGATCAGCATCGACGGTTGATCATCATTTTCAGCACCAGGCCCCAGTATAGTCTGTTATTTTTTTTCGGATTTTTCGATTTTTCATGTTCACGATCACTATTTTTTCTTGACTGCTGCTGCTGCTGAAGCAACCAGGCAAGCACATTAACAACAACAACAACAACAACAACCTAAACATAGCAAATTTTTTCGGCAACACTCACACACACACACACAAGAATAAGAATAAGAGATAGAATGCTTATAAATGACCTGGCAATTTAGGGTTCATGGCCAAGTCATATGATGCTGTAAAAAAAAGGCGAGAAGCCAGAAAAAAATAGAGAGATAGCTTCACAACCAAAACTAAAAATTCAATTCTTCGCAGACTCATTGATTCTTTTTGGTTTTTGTTTTTGTTTTTTTTTTTTTTTTTTTTTGGTTGCAGACCAAAATTGCTGAAAGATTTGATGCAACTTTATTATTCTTTGCTGTCACCATTTATATTGCATTACTTTTTTTTTTTTTTCGTTTTCATATTCATTCATTTGTCTATCTGTATTGAATGCGATAACGGCAAATCAAGAATTGCAGACTTATTCAATAATAGATAAGATTCAATTCTCATTGGATATTTATTCTCATAAATTTTATATATGTATAAATAAAACGGAAATAATGAAATTGTTGACGAAAAAGTCTTGCTTGAAGAGAGAAAAAGACATTAGCCAATAGACAGACTTTATTTGTCCTTCGATCAATTTGATTTAATCGATGATATGAGAGAAAAGGATATGGCCTGATGATGATGATGATGATTGATAATGATAATGACAAAGGCGAATGTCTTTTATGATGATGATGATGATGATTGATAAAATCAATTATCGATATGACATTGTTGCCATTTCAACAGATTTATCGATCAGTTTTTTTTCCTAACTATGATCATGATGATGATGTTGATGACCACATGTTGATAGTATTATTTTTCTTTTTTTTTTTTTTTGTTTTGTTTTGTTTATGGCAATGTCTACAAACAAACACACACACACACACACAATCAATTTTGGACTCAGGAAAAAAAAACATTGGCAAACAATTTCACAATCTTCGGTCAACTATTATTATCATCATTAATTTTGTCCCTTTTTTTGCTTGATACAAATATAAAAAAAAAATTTCAAAACACCACCACCGCCACCACCACCTGATCAATTTGACAATTTTTTGATATTATTATCTGAATGTTTGGGTACATGTTTTATTTTTTGTCTAATTGATTCTGGTGATGGTGGTGGTGGTGGTCGATTTCAATCCACACATTGTAATAATTGTATAATTCTTGCTGTATATGGATGGGAAAACATTCATGTTTCTTTCTCATCTCTCTATAGTTATCATCATCTATTTTCCAACATATGCCGTGCATATGTTGAATCAATCATACACACACACACACACACACACATAAAAAAATGTTTGATTGTTATTGTCTCGGTTCGTTGACTCTTTTTCGTTCTGTTGTTGTTGTTGTTGTTTGACTAGACCAGAAACACACACACACACACACACATATGGACCGAATCGGACAAAAAAAAACAAGAATATACCCGGGCGACAACCTAGAAAACCAGAAAAGAAAAAAAAAGTTTTTTTTTATATTTTGTTATAACGTACTTTAGGTTCTTTTTCTTCTTGATTGTCATCATCATCATCATCATCATTCTTGAATATTTTTTTTTTCAAAGAAAAAAAAATATTTATTGTCATCATTGCTTTTACCATGAATGAATGAATGAATGAATAAATTCACGAATGTGTCCCCACTATTATTACGTGCCCATGATGATGATGATGATAATAATTTTACATAATGATCATGATGATGATGATGATGATGATCATCATCATCATTCTGTCAACGACGATCAAAACGAGTTAACGTTTTTTAGGCCCATAACATTAGACTGCTGCAATGATGATGATAATAATAATCTCCATCTCAACAACAACAACAACAATGGTCACACAATTGGGAATTGTCATTGAAAAACATACACAACAGAAGCAACCACCAGGCACACACAGGGGTAGACAGAAATATACAAAGAATAATTCAAGTTTCAATGACCAATAAAATGGGATGAATAGAGAACAAAAAAAGTTTTACTTTGTTTGTCAATTTGTACAAGTTTTGTTGTTGTTGTTGTTGTTGTTGTCTTGTTTTGGCTAATGATAATCACCTTGGTGTTATGGTTAACGATGATGATCATGATGATCATGATGATGATGAAATGATGGGTGTAATTACTGATATAATTATTTTGATAAAAAAATAACTAGAAAAAATACTAATGAACTTTTTTTTCCTTCTTTCTCATCATATAAATATAGACTATGCTCGAATTGGAACGATATCTAAAAGATGAACCAAAATCATTATTGTCACAGACGAAGACGACGACGACGACGGTAATAACAACGACAACAACAACAACAACAAAACCGTCAATGGTACCATTATGAGAAATATTAAAAATGGATCATTATCATCAAACTATCATTCATCATCGTCATCATCATTGAATGATTATAGCAACAACAACAACAACAACAACATGATGGTGGTGCCAACACCATTTTGGGATACCGTCCTTAGTAATACATCATCATCTTCAGCATCATCATCATCATCGCCATCTTCATCGTCATCATCATCACCATCACCATCGATGATGATCAATAGTGATACAATGATTGCCATATCTAATCTAGATTCTATTATGGCTCAATCACCGTTAATTATGGCCAATGATAATAATAATAATAATAATAATAATAATAAAATCACAATTTTCAAATAAAACCAATGATGATTGGTATCGGTGGTTCATCATCATCATTGGTTACATCAGATGGTGAAAGCAATAAATCTTTAGATGGTGATGATGAAAAATCATCTACTAGTTCTTCATCTGTTTCATTTATTAGTTCATCATCATCCTCATCACCGACACCGCCTATAATAACCCATCAACAGCAATCAATACATTTTAATGGTATTGAATCTCAGGTGAAAGAGCTATTTTCAATAATACCGGCCAATAACGGAAATGTTCATCCGTATCATTTTAATCATCAATCATCTTCTGCTTCCTATATGACGCCTTCATCATCATTATCATCTTCATCATCATCGAATGGTGATTGGCCAATGGATGAAACGACGACCAATGAACAACAACAATCCGGTGGAATCGTTTTTGATAATCAATTTACCAAAACAGTCACACAAACACCTTCTTCCTCCTCATCATCATCAAATGATGATGATATTAATAATAATAATTTATGTTCGAAATCAATACAATCGATATCTGGTCATCATCATCATCATCTTCATAAAGAAATGTTTGCAACCAAATGTAGACAAACAGAAATGTTAACTAAATCTACGGATATACAACCATCCTCTTCTTCTTCATCATCATCATCATCTATGAACGTTATAAGTCAACGTTTTTCGAATATTCATCCGGTCATATATAATAATGGTGGTGGATTTAATGAAACAAAATCAGATGGCTGTCATCAAACAAATATTATTGCAAAAGTTACCACTAATGGAACAACGATAACAACTACTTCATCGATTATGATGAATGGTCCAACGGCAGCAACGACTACAACTGTACGTTTGCTTGGTTTACCTACACAACAACAACAATTATCAACAAACAATATCGCTACCGGTGTTCATCAAACTAAATTACGTTCACCTAGTCTAGATGAATTATTGGCTTTGTCTTCGCCGATTCGTAATGGTCAACCGACATTGTTGACGAATCATCATCATCATCATCATCAACAACAACAACAACAGCAATGTGGCACAACATCAACAACAACAATAATACAAAATGGTTCCGTTTTATTTGGTTCATTGACGCCACCAACATCACCCTGAACGTCAACAGCAACAAAGAAAACGACCATTTTCTTCTGATCTCATTAATCGTCAACATCAACCGCAACAACAAAAATTAATGGCCACCACAACAACGGCAACATCATTGACAACAACGACACCGATACCGAATAGTTTACCACAAACATCCACCATGAATGGTTTCATTACACATCAGAATCCAATATCGAATCCTGTATTAGTACCAATATCGACTACATCGGTCAATATTGTACCAAATAATAATAATAATGGAAATGCTATCAATTCGATAGCTATGAATAATAATGCATTGTTACCACAATCGGCTACAATTGCAATACAATTAAATTCTTCCAATATTGATACTGCCCAAACAACAATGTTGATCAATCATCATCCACAGCCGCAACAACCGCAACAACAACAGCCTAACAATCCAACAATGAAATCAAATAAAAAATCAACATCACCATCACGATCATCGAATGGTCAAACAGTAGCATATCGTTCTCGTAATAAATCAAATTCGGTTTCATCATCTTCATCATCATCATCATCATCATCGTCATCATTTTCATGTTCATCATCATCTTCGTCACCATCACCATCATCATCATCATCATCATCATCATCACCGAATCGTCTAGTGATCAATGGAGATGTCGCCATTATTGGTACACAAACAACGACCAATTCATGTTCGATAACAATGAATAATAATATTACGGATTCATTATCCAATGTAATTACAACAACAACAGCAACAACAACATCAACGACAACAACATCAGCGACAGGTGCGAATACGATATCGAGTACGATCATTTCAGCCGATGGTAAACGTCGTATTCATAAGTGCCTATTTAATGGCTGTAAAAAAGTCTATACAAAATCATCACATTTAAAAGCACATCAACGAACACATACAGGTATGATGATGATTTCATTCGATCATTCATCGTTTGATTGATCGATCGTTTAGCTAACATGATTATTAATTTTATCGTTATTTGTTTTGTTTTCTCAAAAAAAAAAAAAAAAAAAAAAACACAGGTGAAAAGCCATATCAATGTACATGGCAAGGTTGTGAATGGCGATTTGCTCGTTCCGATGAATTAACAAGACATTTTCGTAAACACACCGGAAGTAAACCATTTAAATGTAAACATTGTGAACGATGTTTTTCTCGTTCTGATCATCTAGCCTTACATATGAAAAGACATCAAACACCAACATCAACAAATGGAACAGCAACGAATGCAATTCTATCAACAACAAATGGCATTCAATCAAGAGCCACAACAACTGTTTCAAGTTAATTATTATTGATGATGATAAGAGATGAATCAAAAACAAAAATACCCACCTCATATGTTCATTGATGATTTTTAGTTGTTTATTTTGGACACATTTAATTACAACAACAACGACGACAACAAATGAACAATAATCTCAATTTCCTACCGACGACCAAATTGTCAAATAATTTTTTTTTCTATTCTAATTCTTTTTTATTTGAAATAATTATCGAATCATTGAAAAGAAGAAAAAAAAATTGGCGCCTTTTATTATAAATTTATAATTCGAAGAATTATATTTCGTTTTTTTCAATTATCCACACACACACGCACCACACATATGAAAACATTAAACAATTTTTCATCATCATCATCACCATTTTGTTATTGTACATAAAAAGCAAAAAAAATAATCGATCTCTTTCTCAATTTGTTGGCTTTTATATTTTTCATATATATCATGATGATTTCATAAATATTTCTAAAAATGCATTTACATCATATTTGCTACATTTGTATTTTTGATTTTCTTTTTTCCATATTCACCATATTTGGTATATATAATGCTTAAATAATGTTCAATGACTAACCGAAAGCTAATTTCATTCATTCATTCATTCATGCATCCATGTTCATCTTCAATTCATTTATCACCATTATCATCAATATATACATATTCAATATGGTCAATATCGATTGACCACAACAAGTTTGCATCACACACATACACATCACACATCACACACATGTACACAGTCATATAAGATTGATACATTTGTAACATAGCAGACGACAACAACAACAACAACAAAAAAATTTATCTCATTTCATTATTGTATTTATAATTTATTGCTACAGAACCAAAAAAAGCAAAACAAAGCAAAACAGAAAAACCGAAAAATCCATAAATCCAAAACATTAATTTTTGGGTTTTTGCGATAATGGAACGTTTGAATTCATATTCATATACATATGAATTGTTGTTTTTTGAACTTGTGTGTTTATTTGTGTTTCGTTTTCACTTTTTCTTTTTCTCTCACTCACTCACTCACTCTTTTTTTTCGTTTTGAAATTAAATTTTATTTTATTTTTTGTGCTTTGGTGGATGAATTTGGAAAAAAAGAGGGGACAAAAAAACAATATTGTTTCTTTTGAGTTGGAAGAATTTTTTTTTTTTTGTTGAAATTTTCATTTTTTTGTCTCGTTGTTCCTATTTTTTTTTTTTTGGGTAGATATATTCTGTTTTTTTGTGTGTTTTTTCATATTTCTTTTTTTTCTTTTCTTTTTCTGTTCGATGAATTTTGTATTGTGTTGCTGCATTCAATTTTTTTTTATATAACAACATTACCATTACCACAAATACACAAAAAAATATAATGGAAACCAAATAAGTGTTGTGGAAAACAACCAAAACAAACAAACAAACAAAACGAATGAAACTCTTTGATTAATTAACATGAATATTAACTTCTTGGCCGGTATATTTGCATTCGAAATAAATTTCATCATCATCATCATCATCACCGAGAATATACATTCTTTTCACATATTCATATATTGAACATTTTGCACAGAAAAAAACGACATTTCTTGTTTGTTTGTTTCATAATAAATAAATAAATAAATTCAAAGCTCATCATCATCATCATCGAATGTTTTTTTTTTCACTAACCATTCATACATCCACACACCCACCCACACAGACACACACACACACATAATTACATCTTTTTTTTTATATATCTGATCGATTTTTAATTGATATATTGTATATCATTTGATGAAAAATTGATGATAATAATAAAAAACTATTCGTTTTTTTTTCTATGGAAAAAAAAAAAACCAAAACTGATTATATTTTCTCATTATATTCACACACTGGCAAAAAAAAAAAAAAAAAATTCTCATAGGAATTTTTCTCATAAAGACTGCTCTCTACCACCACCACCACGCCGAACGCCAAGCCTGAATAATTTTTTTCTGCTTCTTCATCTTCTATAGAAAAAAAATTTGATTGATCTAGCTAATTTTTTTTTGTTTCTTACTTCATTCTTTCTTTTTTCGAACTTTGACTTTTGAACATTTTGGTCTCTCTCTCTCTGTGTGTGTGTGTGTGTGTGTGTGAATGAACTTGATACAATTCTCTCGTTGTTGTTGTTTTTTTTTCCAGGAAACTTGATTTTAGAAACAAAAAAATCGATCTTCATTTTGTTGATAATGTAAAATTGTGAATGATGTTTTTTTTCTCGTACATAATTTATGAATGATTTTTGATTTGATAAAATGTTTGAAAATTAGATAAAAAAAAAGTAGTGGTAGGAGATTACAATGATGATGATAAATTATTGTTTTTTACCATATTATATGGATATAAAATTACAATTTATGAATACAAAAAAAAATTCACATCTTGATCAACCATGTTATTGTTGTTGTTGTTGTTGTTGTTGTTGTTGGATTATATAGCATCGTGACATCAACATCAAGTATTTTCTATGGCCAACATTCATCATGATCTTTTAAGTTTATTTTTCATCCTTTTATAATAATCATCTTAATAAGATGTTTATGATGTTCGTCAATTATGAGAGAGAGAGAGAGAGAGAGATATTATTGTCAATTCAATTCACGAAACAAAACAAAACAAAACAAAAAATCTTTTACCAATCTGGTCGATGATGAAATATTAACATATTTTTGTTTCATGTTATAATAAAATAATACAATCGAAGGTGTTATTGTAATTGGATAATATCGATGTTTTTGTTTTCGTAGAGTAACTAATGAGAAAGAAAGAGAGAGATCAAAATTCATCAAATTACAATTCGGTTGGTCATTGTTTTTTTTGTGTGTGTGTGTGTGTGTGTGTGTGTACAGAATTGACATACCAACATACGCCCATTATTTTTTTTTTTTCGTTTGTTATTTGTTTGTCTTTGTCACATAAAACAATGAAACAATACCGATTTTTTTTTGTATTTGGTTTTGTTTCATTCTGGTACTTGTGTGAATGTGATCGAATAATTTGAGAATCATTCATTCCATTCGGGCCTCTCCTTTTTGTGTGTGTGTGTGTGTGTGTGTGTGTGCACACCCGTACATCTCGATGAGAATAAAAATCGTTCCCATAACATTCTATGTTCATGATGATGATGATGATCATCATCATCATCATTCGATATTCTGGTATATATGGTACAATTTAGTGCGTGATGATTATTCCAATTATTATTTTACTTTTTTCATTTGTTTCTTTTATATTTTTCGAATGTCAATAGATTTTTTTTTTTCATTCGTTTGTATCAAAAATGAAATGATGAAAAACGAAACATTTCGATTTGGCCATAATAATAATCATCATCATTATCATTGCCATCACCATCACCACCACCACCACCACCACCACCATCACTATCATCATCATCAGTAAGGCCAATTAGGTATTCTGTATATCTATATATGTTATCGGTGTGGCATGTATATATATATATGACCATGCATACAAAAACACTCAAACAACAGAGAAAAGGGAGAGGGGATTCCGATTGAAGATAATGTGCCAATGGCACGCAAATAAATTCAAATCGAACAAACAAAAATTTTTTTTTTTACATAAGACAAAAAACGAATATTTATATCCTTGTCCAGTCAATTTCATTCTTATTTGAATAAATCTTAATAATAATAATAATCTACTGTTGATTTCATGATTTTAATCAATACAAAATAGCCAAGATTTCTTGTCCATGGTGGTGTTTTATTGGTGTTCAAACCAAATATGCAATTAAAGTAACAAAATTTTTCCTTTTTTTTCATATAAAATGTTATTGATACGTAAGAAAAAAACATTATTCATCTGTTCAGCAACAACAACAACAACAACAACAATGAAAAGAATCCTTATTTTACCACTCTTTGTGTAATTGGCAAAATAGAAGAAAAAAAAATTCGTAATTATGATTGTCGTTGTTGTTGTTGTTGTTGTTATTGTGCCAATTCATAGAAGAACCAAACCTTTAGATTGCATGCATGCATGCATGTGTGTGTGTGTGTGTGTGTAGATTGAACAATGAATAACGCCAACGATTTTTTTTCAATTGGCAACAACAAACAACAACGATTCTCTTCCTTAATTTACTATTCTTTATCATATATGAAAAATAATGATGATGATATTTCGTTACGTTTCATTTCATTTTCAATTTAAGATTTTTAAACAACCTCCTTGAACAACATTAGATTCGAATCACGAGTGAATCATTCATCAATATATTGGTTAATGATGATGATAAAATCCAGTAACACATTCACATATATTGTGTGCACGATTTTCAATTAAATGGGGAGAAAAAAAAAGTTCAATAATTTAAATTTTGATTGATATCCATGACCAATAATGATGAGATGATGTTTATTGGGAGAGAGAGAGAGAATATTCAAATGTGTTAGATATTTGATCCCACACACACACACACACACACAAACATGCATGCACGAACACACACACATTCAATTTTGTTCTTTTTTTTACCTTCAAAACAATGTTAATTAAGTAAATATTATTTTTTTTTGTCATCTCGAATTGTTGTGGTACAGCAGTGTTTTTTTTCTTACCATCATCATCATCATCATTATTGCCAATGTCATTATCAAATAAAAAAAAGAAAGGCACAAATACGATAAAAGTTGAGCTAATTAACTCGCGCTTCATCAGATTTTGATCTTTTTTTCGCTTCTCTCTGCTTCTCAATCTTTCTAACACACACACATATTTCATTCAATGAACTTTGACTGTATGAAAAATGAAATGCAGGCAAAAGAAATGACCACAAATGTCACAAGTTCATGTCATCACATTTATTGGATACGGAAATGTTCTCGTTTTGGTCGTTGATCAATTTACATTAATTTATTCAATTTTTTTTGGAATAACAACAACAAAAAAATGAATTAATGAATAATTTCACTTTATGTCATTTCTATCTTTGGACACAAAACACACAGACACACATACACACACTTGAAGTTTTTTTTTCTTGTCCCTATTTCGGATCCAAAACGTTCAAAGTTCGTTTTCAATATGACAAGCCAATCGTAAATTGGTTACAAACAAACTAATGATCATTTTACCAAATACATGAATGAATGAATGAATGAATTGAATAGATGAGATCCAATGATTGACCTTCAACGATAAACATTGTTGACAAGAACATCCTTTTTTATTTTCTAATTTCCAATGTTTACTGTATTCATATACACACACACACAATTGTATAGTAAATACAATATATTATAACAATTGGACATTCATTTAGACTTAATCAAAATATATTGAATTCAATTTAGTCATTTCAAATTATTTTTTTTTGTATATTCTCTTTCAATCAATTGAGACTTTAATATTAAAATAATAATAACAACAACAAGAGAGGTCAATATAAATGAAATTTATTTAGAAAGGGAGATTATCCATGTATGTGAAAAGAATAGAAATTCAAATGATAATTAGATTCACTATAAGCTATGTCTGTCTGTGTGTGTGCGTGCATGTGTGTAACACAATATCCGCCATCTGTCTGACAGACTAAAATCATTTCTGAATTTGGTTACTGACACATCTGGATAATTGTAAAACTTTCATGTGTCCATATCGAATTGATGAATTGTGAATCAAGAATTTTTTTTTTTTTTGAGGAATAAAAATATCTTGTATGTTTGATGTATTTGAATGAATACTGTCATTGCCCTGGATGATGTCTATTTTTGGTTCAACAATGCATTTTGTTGTTATTGTTGTTGTTTATGGATTTGGCTCGAGGCACTCATCTATATATTATTGTTTTCATCATGATTATGGTTATGATATGGATCATAATGAAATTATTTTCTCTTTATTTTTAGAATCCTAGATTCGAATGATGTTATTTCATGGCGCGATAGAAATGTGAATAAATTTTCAAAGCGACTATATCCACCAACAATGGCTCGTTTAGGTGTTTGTTGACAATCATCATGTTCATTGTTTTATTTGATGAAGATTTTCAATCAATCCAAACCAAATCTGACATTTGAGACAAAAAATGAATGAAATGGACATGATTTCCAATTATAAAAGTTTGGTTTCAAGTCTTGAACGTCAAGAATTGAATGCCGCCATGAATGGTCCGGCTTCTCCACAAATTTATGGACAATTATTAGCCATCTATTTGCTCATCCATGATTTGTAAGTTAAATATTTTATCATCTTATATTACAAATAATCATTGAATATATTCAACGTCAGACCGAATGCTAAACTTTTATGGAAACGTATACCAAATGAAATCAAACAAAGTAATTCCGAAATACAAGCCGTTTGGAATGTTGGCGTTAAATTATTTAAACGTGAATTATCGGATATTTATGCATTAGTTGATTCGGTTGAATGGCCACTTCATCTTAATAACATAATGAATTGTATCAAAGGTCTGTATTTCATATATCATCATCATCATTATTATTTAATTTTTAAACTTTATTTTAACACCTACAGAAGCAACTCGTAATCGTATGCTGAATCTGATTGGCAAAGCTTATAGTTCCATTCGTCTTGATGTTGTTTCATCATTTCTTGGATATGATGAAACGCAAACAATTGAAAAGATTCATACACTTGGTTGGCAATATGATTGTGAGACTAAATTTGTTACACCGAAAAAGATGCCAAACACGATGGACGATTCATCGAATGCAACATTCGATGATTTAATGATCAAATTAACAGAATTGGTATCATTTCTTGAAAATTGATTTTTGTAAATAAATTTTTTTATTCATTTATCAAAAACGGCCACACCGCCTTCGGCCTGTATATTTACTATTATCACGAACATCTTTACCTTGTCTTCGGTATCGATCTTTTTTATCTATAATCCATTGTCGAGATTTAATGGGTACTTTTGCATTTTTGCATTACGAATTCGTTCTCGTTTTGAATCATAATCGACCGTACTTGGAACATGAACATCTTCATCATCACCAGTTCCCAATGCTTTTGGCATAGATTGTGGTGCAACACCGGTGAATAATACGAGAAAGACTTTTTTCGCTTTACTACTATTGGGAAAATCAATGACCAAGCCACCATAAAAACCAGCTTTCATAGCTGTTTTGGTTATCAATTCAATTTGATCACTATTTTCTGGATAAAATTGAAACACTGCTTTGGCACCACGTGATAAACATGCATACAATGATGAGAATAATTTTGATAGACGTTTTCCGGGCTTTTGGCCACGTTTATCGACATTGCATAACCATTGTAGGGCCGAAATCGATATGGCACCATCAAAAGTACCTGCACGAAATGGAAGGCCATGACCAAGATCCATCTGAATAGTATCACCAGTTTCGCATTCACGTTCACGACATACATCCAACATTGCCGAACTGATATCTAAACCGATCCAATAATGACCGTTTTCTTCCAAAACCTCACCACTCAATCCGGATCCACAACCAAGATCGAGAAGATATTTTGGTTGTCCATCATCTGGAAGCGCTAATAATTCTATTGCTCTTTCGCTCATCGATGATTGAATCTCGATAATTCGAGTACTATGGAAGAAATGAAATTAGTAAATTAAGATTGATAAAAAATTTTTGAAATACATACTTTCGCGTATATTTTTTAGCTTCTAATTCATTGTAAAACTGTTCATGGAAAAAAATGGAAATTAAAAGATATCATCATTAAAGTCGAATAAAAATAATTACAATTTCTGGTGGGGCCTGATGCTCAGGACGAGACATGATCAACGATGTTTTTGTTGTTGATAATTCTGGATTCAGTTCCTGGAATCATAAACACACATGGTTCGAGTTGGTCACGTTTCTGTACCGTTCATAGACATAATGACATAATGTTTTTTAAATTTTTATTTAATGTATCACCTATAGAACTAGTCTAGTACAACTAGTGGAGAATAGAAAGATTCAAATTATCACTTATTCGGATAAGAAGACAGAAATTATCTTTAGACTGGCAAGTATGACGCACTTGTCCTTAACTTCCACAATGCATCAGTGACGCTGAGATATAGTTTTTAATCAATTACAACCGTTTACTGTATACTTTAGTTTAATGACAAAAAATATCAAAAATCATCGATGACGTTTACATAAAATTGACTGTTCATAATCATAACATTGTTTTTGTTGTTGTCGTTGTTGATGATGATGATGATGAAAATGGATCGAAAATCAATATTCTTTTCTATTTTATTACAATTATTCTGACCAATTCATATGGAAAAAAATGTAATTATTCCAAACCGAATATAGTCATCATGTTGATGGATGATATGGGCTGGGGTGATCTTGGTGTGAATGGAGATCCATCTCGAGAAACACCTTATTTAGATCGTCTTGCCGCTGAAGGAATGCAGTTTACAGATTTTTATGCCGGAAGCCCATTATGTTCACCATCACGAGCAGCATTACTTACCGGTAGATTGCCAATAAGAAACGGATTCTATACGACCAATATTCATGCTCGAAATTCTTATATTCCTCAAGAAATGGTTGGTGGAATTTCTAGATCGGAAATTTTAATTTCGGAATTACTTGCCAAAACAAATTATCGAAATAAAATTATTGGTAAATGGCATCTCGGTCATAGTAAATCCGAATATTATCCATGGAATCGTGGTTTTCATGAATTTTTCGGTTCATTTGGTATTCATTCGAATCCTCACGATAATGTGAAAATGCCGAATGTACCATTATTTCGAAATGATAAAATGATTGGTCGTTATTATGAAAATATTTTGATCGATCGAAAAAATCAGCAATCAGATATATTAAAAAATTTCACACAAGAAGCAATTGAATTCATCCAGCAAGAATCAGCAAAAGGAAATCCATTTTTTCTGTATTGGACACCAGATACATTACATGCACCTACTTATCGTTCGGCCGAATTTGTTGGTCGATCAATGAAGAATTCCTCATATGGTGATGCATTGATTCAAATGGATCATTCAATTCAAGCCATAATTGAAACAATCCGTAATGAACCATGTCTACAAAATAATACGTTCGTATTTTTTACAAGTGATAATGGACCAGCTTTAACGTCAAGAGCTGATGCTGGTAGAAATGGTCCATTTTTATGTGGCAAACAAACAACATTCGAAGGTGGATTCCGTGAACCGGCCATTGCATGGTGGCCTACAAAAATCGCACCAGGTACAATCAATCGACATATATCGACCCATATGGATCTATTTCGTACAATAGCAACAATAGCTCAGATATCCGTTCCGGACGATCGACATTATGATTCGAATGATTTAACAAAAGTTATGTTCAACAGTAGTCATGAAAATCAAAATGCATCAATGTTTTATTATCGTGGTGATACTTTGATGGCCATTAGACATGGTTCTTATAAAGCACATTATTGGACATTTTCAACACCACCGGAAGAGCTTCGTGTTGGTATTAATTTTTGTCCTGGACAAAATGTTGTCAATTTGACAACCTCACAATTGACCAATCATACTGAATTGCCATTATTATTTCATTTGTATCGGGATCCTGCCGAACGTTTTGCCATTAATCCTAAAACTAAGGAATACAGAGAAAATATAAAAATATTGAACAAAATTCGTGATGAACATCAACGACAATTAAAACCAGGAAAACCGGAGCTAAATTATTGTGATCAAGCTGTGATGAGTTGGAGTCCACCTGGTTGTGAAACAATAAACATGTGTCTTCCTATACCTAAATCATCACCATATCTTTGTGAATGGCCACATTGATCAATTTGATTTTTTTATTTTATTCTTTTCTCAACAGAATAAAAAAAAATCAGAATCACAAAATTATGTCATTTATGAATAACACACGATTATTTTTATTAAAATAACATATATTTAGTGACATCTATCGGCCAGTATTGAGAAACATTAATGGGCGTTAATAAAAAGTAGCCTTTCTTCTTTTGCTTCTTTTTTAAATCATTGTCAATATTTTTTTTTTTTTTTTTTTTTTGAACAGCAAGAGTTTTGTTTATTACGCATTCGCACCATTCTGCTCATTTTTATTGTAGCAGATACCATTGCTTGAAGTGTGTGTGTGCGTCGGCTTTCATCATCAACGTTGTCGTCGTAGCCGTTGTTATTGTTGTTGTTGTTGTTAGAGCAAATTGAATTGAAAATATAAGAAGAGCGAAAGAGTAAAAATGAACTGAACAATCAAAAAAAAAGCGACAACGATCATCATCATTATGCACAATTTGCATCTGAATTTAATTTTTTGTTTTTGTGTGTGTGTGTGTGTGTTTGATTAATGAATGACCACACAATAATAAAAAAATTTAATATAAACAGCAAATATACTTTTTTGTTTCCAATATTGATTGGATCATCAATTGATTAAAGATTGTAAAAATCTTTTATCATCATTCACATTTGTGAACTGAATTGATTATATATAGATTGGTGATTCTTCTGATCAATTCTAATATATTCTTTACATTTTTTTCCCTTGACTTTGGCATGTGTTTTTATATATCTGTGTCTGTGAGCAAAGAATTTACCTGTTATTCGAACAATTTTTTTTTGTTCACAATACAATTCTATACAATTGAATTGATTCATTCATACAAACACATCCATTCGTCTATCAAATTTCATTAGAATTCTTTATAATGAAAATTTCTTTGTACCTCCGATACCTTGACCAATTTCTATAATCCATCATTATCATCAATTGCTTATCATAATCTCATCATCATTGATAAAGTGTATTCTTTGGAAATCCAATTCTTTTTACATTGATAACACTCACACATAATTATAATAAAAAAAAATACAAAAAAATCATAAAAACAAAAAATTTTCATCAAAAAAAAAAAAAAAAAAAAATCCATACATAACCCAAAATCATCTCATCCAGCAGCCGGCTATCATCCATCTATCATCATCATTCACCATTCGTTTTGTTGTTTGATGTTAATGTTCGGGTAAGATATCATTGTGGCAAACATACATAACAGAAAAATTATTTCATTTCAACCTCAATACACATGTCATGAGATTCAATCTAATATCATCATTATCATCATCATCATCATATCATACACGCGAATAGTAGTCATCGTATATATAGATATATAGAATACTCATGAACCGAAAAAAATGTGTGTGAATGTCGTTGACGATAATTCGTCATCATTATTATCATCTTGAATGAGCAAGCAAGCCATACATGTGCTCAACTTTTTTAAAAAAAGACTCATTAGTCTAACTACAAAAACGATAAACATTTGTTGTTATTGTCATATTCAATCTAATTTTTGTCTCTTTTTTCTTTCTTTATTTTGTTCAAATATTTTCTCACTTTTTTAAAAAAGAAAAAAATTGGTCACGTCGTTTATATATCATTACTAGGATTATAAGATATTATTATTAAAAAATCTGATTACTCTATCGAAATTTATAAATTGTGTGAAAATTCTAACCGAATCTTGTACACATCAATCAAGTATTTTTCATTGTCATTTTCTAAACTAATCAAATTGAAGTAAACATGAATCAAAACGGCCAAACAACGACTAAACGGAGTAAAAATCGTTCATCTGGTGTTTCATTAAATGCATCATCATCTATATCATCAAATGTTCAAAGGTAAAATGAGATTGATTGTTGTTGGTTTATACTGATATTGATATATTTTAAAATTCTTGTTCTATTTCAAATATAGAACGATAAATCGTTCGATGCGAAACAATTATCCAAATAATCCACGTGGTATGGATGGTAACATGTCATCATCATCATCATCATCATCATTACATCGAAACATTCATCCATCGAAATCATCGCAATCGATGATGGTATCACAAACAAGTGGCACTAATCACCATCCTCATCATCATCATATGGCAAATGCAGTTGCAGTAACCACCGAAGTACCCTGTAACAGCGGTGTTTATAAGAATAAACGATTAGTTCATGCAATGACATCGTTGATCGGCTGTTTGATTGAAGTCCAACTGGATAACGGTATACGTTATGAAGGCATCCTTAAAACATTCTCTTCCGATGTAAGTTTTGTTGTAAAATGCTTAACATTTTTCTTCATTTAAATCATTTGAAATTTCAGTTTCAATTGGCTTTATGTTCAGCCGCTCTGATTGATAATATCGATGATGAAAAACGTTGTCAACCATCGGCAAACAACAGTAGTAGCAGCAACAATATCGGCAATCTTTTGGGAGCATTAGAATGTGAAGAAAATGTTGTCGAAACATTGGTTATAAGTCCAAAAAATTTGGTCACATTCAAAGCGTTGAATGTTGATCTGGATTTTGCCACCAAAAGTAAGTATATAATATAAAAATTATTATTTATATTAAATTTGTTGTAAATTGGATTTTTTTTGGAATTATATTTGCAGAGGCTGTAATGACCGACAGTGAAATCGCAAAACATGATGGTACTACTAAACAACATCGGGAATTAATTCCTTGGGATGGCGGTGAAGACGGTAGTGATGGTAATGATTCAATGGGTCTAGATACGTTGGATGATCACAGTGGATTATCTCTTGCTGGAAACGTATCGAATGGTTGGAAAACTGAAGATATGTTCAAATTAAATGAAAGTAAATATAATATAGAAACGACATATCAAGATGATATGTCAGAATATACAATTAAATTAGAGCATCGTAATGATGAAGAATATAAACAACGAGAAGCACAAGCGGCCAAGATTGCCCGTGAAATTGAACAAGATTCTACACGTTTGGCACGTTATGCTAAAGAAGATGAACTTGATGAAGAATCTCGTTATTCTGCTGTGATTCGTGGCGATCCAGATATGACGGAATCGGGGAGCAATATGACATCTCCACCGAATAATTCTTATAATAATAATAACCATCATCATCATTATCGGAATGATATGAATCATCATCCATCTGATAGGAATCAGCCTGATAGAAATCGTGATAATAATCTGCGCATTAGCAATTCGGGAGATAATCTTGGTGGATTTCGAACACAAAATTCTCGACAAAATCGTGGCCGCTTGAATGCTAATCGTGTTAGTGGTGGCAACAGCAGTGGAGGAGATCGTTCTGGTGGTGGACCATCAACCGGTCCTAATGAGTCGAATTGGCGTGATGCTAATAATCGAGTTAGTGCTAATCATCGCTATCATCAGCAGCAATCACAACAACCATACGGTTCAGCACAGAATCCGAATAAATCAAATTCTGGCTATGTTGATCGTAAATACAATGCTATAAATTCGCAGCAACAATCACCAAACCAACAACAACAGCAGCCACAACAAACGTACCAATCAAGTGCGGCTAGTCAAGCCAATAATAATAAATCTAGTTATTCATCGGTTTCGGCACGAAATGTACCTAATGATATGATGGCCACCACCAATGAAATGGAAACGATTAAAACATTCACAAGAAGTTCTGGTCAACATGGTCAACCGCCGCCATCAAACGATTCGGATAATGTTGGATATCAACGTAAAACATCATCGGGAAATAACTCGAATAGTTTGCCACAACGTGAATCATTCAAACAACAACAACAACGTACTCCTTATAATCGGGTAGTAGAACAACAACAATCACATCATCAACAGCACCAGCATCATACAGTCCAACAATCACATTCGGAATCGAAAATGCCTTCGAATAATAACAAATCATTAGAATCTTCAGATATCTCATCAACAAAATCGTCGCTTCCCACATCCCCATCATCCGGTCCATCATCAAATATTTCGACACCGACTGCTGAGCTATCATTAATGAAACCACAGACAACTAATGTGGCTTCCAAAACGGTAGAAATTCATCAATCGAAATCCAATGATCAAAACTATCAGCCACAAACTCGTATAACAAGTCCAAAACAAAGATTAGATGGAAATAATAATAATAGAAAATCGCTTGATCCATTACCTACCGGAGAAAATCGACCCACCATGGTTGATGCTATTAAGAAAGGAACTAACATGAATCAACAACAGCAGCAACAACAACCAGGAAAATCTTTGATATCAAGTTCAAAAGATAACATAGATTCGAATGAATTTAAAAAGTTGCCATCAGATTCAACAGTAATTCAGACAGCGACTCCATCATTATCATCAACTAGCCTTAACAATGTAACGACTTCAAGCAATTCGATTTCTACAGCTGCGGTCAGTTTTACATCAACAGCAATTACATCTACTACTGTGACTACATCATCCTCTTCCTTAACCACTACGGTTCAACAGCAGCAGCAACAACAACAACAACAATCATCAACAACCGCATCAACACCATCATCTGTTGAAACACATGAAATAGTTGCCACATCAAAATTAAATCCAAATGCCAAAGTGTTTACGCCTCGTGCTGTTCAGTTACCTACGGCAACTCCCCCACAGCAGCCGAATCCTCAACAGGTTGTTGCTCCTTTACCACCACCCAATTATGCATCACCTTACCCATCGGTTGCTGCCGGACATATGTCAGCAACGACACCACCATCTATTCCATCTACACCTTCATTAGCTGGACCAGCCGGTACAGTAGTACCCGCTGGCCAATTCATCCCCTATACTCATCCTCATCCAGGCGGTGGTGGGGCACCTGGTCCACATCTAACTGGCCATGCTGCTCATCATGCCCCACAACAACCCATTCGTTATCCAATACAATTTCAATATAATCCTATGATGACGCATCAGATGGTTCCACAATATATAGCAATACAGCATTTTGCAACTTCCATGCCTGCAGGTGCTGTAACGGCAACTGCGCCGCCTACCGCCGTAGTAACTTCACAACAGTCTTCTGGTGTACCACAAAATCAGCCACTGCCACCTTCCGGTTCTTCTCATCATATGATTGCAGCGAATGCTCAATCGATGGCAACACAAGCGGCTGGTGCTAATTCTTTAGTTCAAAATAATGGACATGGTCCTCAACCGCAACAAGGGGTCCTCCTCAACAATCACAACAACCGGTCAATCAATCACAAACACGCGGACATTATCGGGGCGGTGGTAAAGGGTGGTCCAGGCGGAAATCCCAATGCCAATCAACAATCACAGCAGCAGCAACTGATACGACATCAACATCATGAAGCATTTGTTTCACAACAACAAGCACAGGTAGCTAATGTGACCGGACAACCAATTATGACCGGTGCTACTCAACCACAGCATTTACCTGTTGTATTCCCAGCTCAGACTGTCCATCATCATCACCATGCACAGAATCAAATTCATCACGGCCAACCTGGTGGACAAAGTGCAGCCATGGCTGCTCAGCTTGCTGCATCGGCTCAACCTGGTCATCAAAATCAAGCATTGACCCATTACATGTATCAAGCTGGATTTCCACGGCCATTGTTACCCACTCATCAATCACATCATCATCATCCAAATGCATTGAACATGGCCATTCAACCTGGTCTATATGCCCCACCAGATGCTCATATGCCTACTGTCTATATGCAAACAGAAATGCCACCAACACATCAGATTGTCACTGCTCAATCGATGGCACCACCACCCAATGCAAATATTCCACAAACAATCGTTATTCCTACTAGCGGTGGTAATGGACCAGCCGCAACAGGAACGGCAGCCGTCGTTTCAGCAACACCATCCTCAGCGCCACAAGGTTCCGTTCCAACTTCTCAACAATCACAACAACAACAGCCTACATTTGGGTGATTGAATCAAATCAATATAAAACAATAAAATTATAATTAACTAATGTAAAAATTAATAAATTTTTTGTCTTGTTCAAATGTAATACAATTCTAATCAAATCTTTACATTCACACACCACATACACAAGTTTCAAATTGTCTGAAACAAAATTTTATATAGAGAAATTTCTTTTTGTGAATGAGTATTGTAATTATATAAATGATTTAAGTGAAAAAATTGAATAAAAAATTATGTAATATAATAAATCAAGGATTCTCAATGATTTTCATTGAAAAATCCACAGAAGGGCAACCTTGAATAAGGCTACTCATCGATATAATATCATATTCAGGCCGTGCATATTCATAGACATTGGTTTCGGTAATACCACCGCTTGCTTCGATTAATATTGATGGATGTTTCGAGCGCAGATTACGGCTAATTTCGGCTCCTTGAATTGCTGATACATTGTCCAACATGATTATATTGGCACCGGCTTCAGCAGCCTGATGTGCGTCTTCAAATGATGAACATTCAACTTCGATTCGACAACTAAATCCAGCACATTTCTTCACCACTGGTACAATTGTTGCTATATTTTCATGACCCGATATTTTCACATGGTTATCCTTCAACATGATCATCGTGCTGAGGTCATAACGATGAGTATCAGCCTGTCCGACTAATACTCCATATTTTTCGACCATTCGAAAACCGGGCGTTGTTTTACGAGTTGCAGCTAGTCGACCATTCCAAGACATTTCTTTTAATTTGGTTCCAATACGATGGCATTTCGTTGCTATTCCAGAACATCTAGACAAGACATTCAATATGGTTCGTTCGGCAAGTAGAATCAATCGAGCAGGCCCATGTACCGAGGCTATCTTGATTTTGTTATTCGATGAAGCTTCATTGATAAAAGTTCCTTCATCGTATTCGAATTTTGGAGGATTAACACCTAGTTCTTCGAACACCGCCTGTACAAACGGAAATCCAGCCAAGATTCCTTCTTGTTTACAATAGATGATTGCTGTAACTGGTGTATCTCCAACCACAAATCCCTGTATATCAAAACTATGATTCAATAAGAAAATTTTATCATTTAATAAGATAAATACCTCGAAACATCTTCATTTATCCACGTTCGAGCTAATTCTTTGATTTTGATCGGATTTAAAATGTTTTTCAAATTATAATTGGCCATGCTTTCTCTGTGCCGAGTACAAGAGCTTTTCACTATTAATCGATGATAATCAAATTTGAATAAGAAAATTGATAGCCACCTGATGAAATGATAACTATCGCGATGATGATTTTTTGATTCGTTCACTATATCGATAGTGTATGATTTCGTTTGATTTTTTAAAATAATGTCAACAAATTTTAAATTTTGAGTTTCGAATCTTTATTTTAGGATTTTCAAAATGGTCAAACTTAGCGAAATAAATGTTCAGGAACAGATTTATCCCGATTCAGGTAATGTACAATGTATCTACTCAAATTTAATTCTTTTCTAATTTGATTATTTATTATAGATTATAAACATTTGGATATTGTAAGGATCAATATAACCGATGCTGATTGTCAACGAATACTTGATTCATTGAAACAAAACAATGTGCCAAAACCTGTATCAGGTTCACTTAATCGAAATAAAATCAAAGAAAATGAAAGCCATTCGAAATCGAAACATTTAGGATTTCAGCCAAAACAAGAATCTAACAACCTTGATCAGCCTTTGAAAAAACCACGTCTTGAACAAAAAATCAAACAGGAGACAATTGAATGTATTTCAGTGAATCGAATGCCGAATCCCAAATTGGAACCAAAAGCCAGTAATCAATTTGCAAAACCAGTGGAGAAATTTAAACAAATCTCTAGTTTTTTAATTGAACCCCCTCCTAATGAAATTGTTCAAAAACTTCCAATGGCTTTTCAAGTCATCTATGGACGCTATAAACCATACAAAAAGAACAAAGAATGGACTTTTGATGGTTTTTTGACAATTGAATCGAATGGAATTAAACTTTATAAATGTTCAGGAGCTATGTAAGTAAATAATAATATATTGTTTATTTGTTTTTCCAATCATAACCATTAAATTTAATTTTAGTGAAAGTCAATTGGATCGTGCCTCAGAAAAAGTGCCAAAATATTTTGCACCTGGTACACATTTGATTGTTGGACAATGGGAATGTGAAATATGTAGCCAATTGTCGATAGACGAATTAAAATCTGGCGCTTTTTTTGCTCCTGATGCAATGATTGATTAAAAAGATTAAATTAAATTCTAATTATGATTAAAATTTTAAATAAAATGTATCGTAATTCATATTCGAATATTTCAATGGTCTTTTTTTTTGCAATCTCATGAGACGATTGTGGAAAATTTTTTATGACAACCCAGACATCCACACACACACTCACACAAACAGACACAATAGTATTAACATATCGTAAAATGAATGAATTTAAGAAGCATTTTTTCTATGGAATTATTACCAAAAAAACAAATGGAGTGACTATTCAATGCTGCATCAATCAAGATTTTATAGCTTTGTACTCGAATGGTATTTTTTTGTGCAATCGAATGAATCACATGAATACACATGGACACAAATGTGTTCTATTCCAATATGTTAAAGAATGGAAATAATCACGAAATAAATATTGAGGTTTTCAATCTATCACAAGTATGATGAGAACTATGAACGATTGAAATGAATCATTTGGTTGATGATGATGATGGAAATCAAATGACCAACTTTGATCAATGACCGACAATCCTTATGTACTTCATTATTGGTGCTGTAATTCTTTTGATTTTGTATATGTTTGTGTAAACGAATCTTTCGCGCGAAAAAAACCAGCTTTCTAGCGATGGCAATGGATGATTAGAGTTTCGAATTCCACGAAGATTCTCTGATTGCAGAGATTACATTTTTTACATTAAAAGAGTATACCTGTAGCATATGTTTCTGGATAGATAATCTTGATATAAAAACAGAGAACCATCATGAAAAGGCAGCAACTAATAATGAGAGGAACTCCCTTTTGATGATCAAAAAAAAAACTAAGCACTGTGCTCGAAATATCCAAGGTTTTTTTTATTGTTTTCAATATTGAAAATGAATGTTGGTTGCCCAATTCATCATTATCGACATCATACACACATACACAATTTTCATGGTCAATATTGAACACTGTATGGTGTATTCAGTTCACCTTTATAAAATAAAAGTTGTCCAACAAGGTATGGTATCTTTTTATTATTATTATTTTTTTCTGATTTAATTTATGAAATGAATCTTTTTTTCAAATCGACAATTTTTTGTCACCATCAGGAATGTAATATCCGTTCATAGTCATTTATATGGTAATATCTTTATTGGAAAAAAAACACACAGACACACACACAGACATCCCATCCGTTCTCATGATAATGACTTGATTCTACTGTCTTTCCATCTTGTATGAACATCCTGGCTAAATTACAGAGATAAAAAAAGAATGTTCATCATGAAAGATTCTTATTACTGTCATTCTATTTTATGTCTTATCCGGTTACCATAACCATTTTTTTAAATTAAAAAAAAATTCTTATCGACCTTGCCAAAGGCCATTAATTAATAATTTAAAAAAAATTGGAATTGTATCCACCATATTTTCGTTTTGTACTTGCATTGATTTTGTTGTTGTTGTTTTTTTTTTGGTATTTCTTGAATCTTTGAATCACCAAGACAAAACAGAACGAAACAAAAAAAGATTTGCCTCGAAGGCATACACACAAACATTCATATTGGTTTGGTTTGGCCTTGACGATGATAATGATGATGATGAGAGTTATAAGATAGGAATATATCCTTGATGAATGACCAATATACATTGCGTGTATTTGTATTTATTGTTGGTCTGTGAGAACTAATTCGATTCGTGCTACCAATCTGTTATTGGTGTGTTTGGCCTGTTTTATTTTTTTGAATTTTGACCCAGCAAGAGACATTGTCCAAATTTGATAAGTAATAATAAGAGTGACCATTCTCTCTCTCTCTATTTCTTATTATTCTCTTGTCAAAAATATATCTCCCCAATATTTTCTTCCAAGATATATTCTTGAATATTTTTTTTTGCCGCCCGTTTCCATTAGTCTCTAGCTTGGTCGGTTGGCTGGTTGATTGGTCGAGATATCTCGATTGATTATAATATGTGAGTGTGTGTGTGTGTGTTGTCCTTGAAGGTGAATTCGCGCGCACAACACAAACATTGTTGAGCCAAATTTTGTTTTTTGTTTTTTACATTCAAAATGGTAGAATTGTAAAGAAAGAAAATATTATACATCGTTCGATGATGATTAACATTTAGGCTTTTTGGCCTCGAATCTCGTTTTTTTTTGCTTGGCCATTCTACATTCAACAGCTGCTGCTTCTTTTTTTTATAACCAACTATTTTCATATATATTCTTGGAAAATGAAACAAACGGACACACACACATTACCATCGATAACAGTGAACAAGGTCGAAAGATCGAAGATCCAGAACGAAACAGCAACAACAACAACAAGCCCTCAAGGTCTTTGAGAGTAATTGCCAATGTCTTTTTGTTGGTGTGTGTGTATAATATGATTATGATGGTCATCATATATTGGCTTTTTATGACAAACTCTATGGCAACTCTATACTCTGGCTAAAGTCCGGCTGACCTTTTATGGGCTACTGGAATGATAACAACACCCATTCTACATTAATAACTGAACTAATCTATAATATAGAGTTCTTGTAACATATGAATGAATCGACCCATGAAAATGAACATTTTTAATTTTTCGGTTTATTTCCTCGCATACACAAACACATGTTGATCATATCCATAAATATTCGATAAAATCGTAATTGTATTTATGAATGTTTCCCATTGATATACACCCAATCCGTTATTATTATTCGAATAGAAGAATCATCATTTGGACAAGACGAAAAAAAATGCCGTTAACATCATTTTCTTTACTTTTCTATAGCGTGATAAAAACCAATGAAACCAGCTGCCTTTGAATCAAAACTAGATATGACTAGGTTAGACTGGAGAATTTAAGTTTCCGTTGCCCTAAAATATTACCTGCTATTATCATAACTTTGAAACAATGGTGCCACACACACACACAGACTTGCCAACAGAGACCTTGTTCATGTTTTTATTTTATTTTACCATTAAATCCATTTTGTCGATGATCATCATGATGGATGATGATGATGGTGATAATAATGGTAGCGGCAACATTCTGACTATTGGTTCTGAATCCTCAAAAACAAAAAAAAAAAAAAAAAGTCTTCAGTTCTACAACCAAGGCCTGGTCATAATAATGATTATCATACCTTCCATGCATGAAAGAGTCTGTCTATGTCTTTCATTCATTTGAACATGTCCATATCCGTTCTTCAAATTCATTATCTCTATCTCTCGTACACACATATATTTTTGGTCTGCATATATCTGATTGGGAAACAAACAACCAAAAAAAAAAAAAAAGATGATACAACCTTCCAAAGCTTCATATACACAAATCATCATTTTCATTGTGAAATAGCCCAAATGGATATATACTGTAGTAGCATTTTTTTTTTTCATTCTTTCTAATTTTGTCCAGAAACTTGTTGCAGACACACACACACACACACACACACCACTACATTATTTTTTCATACCTCTCTCTCCCGTTTATTATATACTTAAGACAAGTTGGTAGTTTGTTATACCATACATATATACAAGCACATATAGACTGCCTTAGCCGGATCATCGGTCATATGAAGGGTCCAAGGATTTTTTTTTTCGTTTCGTTTCGTTTCATTTCGTTTCTCTAACCTAGTATCCCCCATGCTTATCATCATCATCATCATCAAAAATAACCCCATTTGGACTCTGAACTGGCAATAATAAATGTGAGCAATATAAATGTTATTCATTGCCTTATGGAATGTGTGTGTGTGTGTGTAATATAAGAATGGAATAGACTTGCATTCTCTCCCTCTGACATTCACTTATATTAAAAAAAAGGGAAGGCCTCGAAACTTGCCAGAGATCTTGATCTTTTTTTTAAAGTGTCTGTATGTGTGCATAATGGTATGGAATGATATGGTTCGTCCAGAAAAACATACAAGGTGTATTTGAGGATTTTTTTTTCTTTATTCTTATTCATTATCTTTTTTTTTTTTTTTTTTTTGGTCATTTTCATTTAAAATTTAATGTTTATTGCGACATATATTTTGCTTGCATATGTGTTTTCAAATGAATTTTCGTATATGCGCATAGAATTCCAACATTTCACACATCACATCAACGATATCGATACAGTCAAGTTTTTTGTTTGTTTGTTTGTTTGTTTGATATGTTTTTTTTTTTCGTTTTCGTTTTGTTTGTGATTGATCTCATTCAATATTGATTGATTGAATTTTTTTTTTATAAATCACACACTAATGACTCGATTTAATACGATTATTATTATTACGGTATATATTCATTGCCGCCACTTCTTTTGTCGTTACTATACTTGTCGATGAATTGATTGTTCATTGACAACTCATCATCATTATCATTTTATTAATTCAAAACTAATTTCAATTTCAATTTTTTTTCTGTTGATATTGATCTCGATCGATAATCAATTATTCAAAATTTGGATTTGATTCATAAATGATTCAACATTAGTCGACTACAAAATAATGATCATGATCATCACTATATTGATGATTTGAAGATCTCTGTTCTAAACCATCGTCATATATCATTTTCAAGAAAATGATCATTTTATTATAATTGTGTGTATGTCCGACAAACTTAAATCAACGTGATTATTATCATCGAATAAATAGACATTATTTTCATAGTTTTTGTTTTTGGTTGAAATAATTTCACGAAAATGGAGAATTATTATTTCAAACATCCATCTCATTTTGGTGACATGTTCAGTTTATTTGAAGATTTCTATCGAAGTAAAACTTTATCCGATGTGATCATCAACTGTCAGGGTAGAAATATTCATGCTCATCGTATGGTTCTTTGTGCTGGATCGGATCATTTTCGGCGGCTATTAACATCGATCAAGATGCATAATCAGTTACCCGTTTTAATTATAACGGATATTTCATTCGAAGATATGGAAATAATTCTTGAATTCATTTATCGTGGTCAGATTGTCGTATCTCGTGACAAAGTAGAATCATTACGGCAAGCTGCCTATAAACTTCGTGTTCGTGGTTTTGAGAATTTTCTTCGAAAACCATTCAACAGTAATGGCGTTCTAAATGGTAGTGTTTCAATGCAAACAATGAAAACAATGACCAACGGAAATGTACGTTCGACAAGTTTATTACATGTAAGTTTGTTTTTTAATTTTTTTGTCTTTTTTTCTGATGATAACTTGAATGTATGATAATATAGGAAAGTAAACGTTATTTACAACAAATTAATGAAATGGAAATCAAACGAACGAAACTGTCACATAGTACACCAAATGGTAATCATATGCAGCAACAAGATTCCCTGTATAATAATAATAACAATCATCATCATGCGAATGCACGTCATTTACGAGAATCGCCTGCCGATTTCCGTCGACATTATCCTCATAATAATACCGAACCACAATCACAATTAGAAGCTGCCTTACAACGTGGATTAAATCAGATGAACCAGAATTGTAGTAATCAACAATCTTCTCCAAATGCTATGATGAAAAAAATGATTCATTTTGAACAATTAATGAAATCTTGTAATGGAAATGTCAATAATAATAATAATAATAATAATGGTGTTTATGATTGTAATGGAACTTTAGATCTAAAAATCGATAAACATCGACAACAGAATGATCAAGTGCCTTCAATAACAATTACTCGTGTAAATGTAAGCGACAATTTTTATATTTATTTTCCAATGTATTAACTCTTTGTTTTATGACAGGGTCCTGGAGTTTCTATCGATTTAAATTGTGGTAATTCTTCAATGAGTGATTCATGTGATGAAAACGAAGAGAATCAAAGAAATGAAACGGTTGAAAATAACATGAGTGGACAGGGGAATTATACGAATAATCATTTTGATAATAGCAGAAATGGTATGTCAATATCAACAAATGATTTTTTTTTATAATTGTTTTTTCATTTAAAAGAATCACATGAAGTAAACTATACATATGAAATGGATCCAAGTGTTCTTGTTGCTCCTCAATGGGATAATTCTGATGAAAACATAAAAAATTGTGGCTCGGTTAAAGAAGATGCTGACGGTACTGAAGAGGAAGAATATTTCGAATCAATGAGTCGTAATTCAAATTCGATGCTTGATTCGATGTTTATGGCTGCACAGAAAATGAATCAAATGAATGCTGGCCAAAATTTTTTCTATTGTGAACATTGTCCGAAATATTTTGTCGATGAAGATCATCTACAATTACATATCAAACGAACACATGGTTTAAATAAGATGAATCAATGTAACATTTGCGGAAAAGCTTATGCTTGGAAATCTGGTCTTTACAAACATAAACGTCATGTCCATAATATTGGTGGTACTGGTGCAAAAATCACACCAAATGGTAATGGCGATTCTGATTCAGCAGTTGATAGTCAACCGCCCACTCCTACCGATGTTCAACAAATTCAATCATCATCAATGGAAGTGATCAATAAAATGAACAACAACAACAACAACAACAATGATGCCATCTCACCATCGCCGATCGAATCGACTATTGACGAAACGCCAGCCATCTCTCCTACGGCTGTTACAACAACATGATGCTCATTTCTGTGATTACTTATTCGATAATGTTCGAATGTCTAATTGATGGCCATCACCTACTTATCAGAAGAAAATTTTTTTTTTGCTCAATCCTAATTCGTGTTCATTTATTTATTATTATTATTATTATTATTATTATTCTTTAATATATCATTACTTGGATTCAACAATGTGTTCATTATTTTTATAAAGATGAATCATCCAAAAGAATATTCGCTTTCTGGGGAAAAACTATAATTTTTGAATTTGAATCAAATGTAGAACGAACCTATCGCCATCTATTGAGGTTTATATAATTTATTTAAAATGTAAATTTTGTAAATTAATTTATTCTTGAACTAAATTTTACCTTGTTTTTTCTCTCACACAAAAAATATAACAAAATTCAATACATAATACAGAGATAATAATAATTTATACAAAAAAATATCGATTTTACAAGAAAAAAACAATAATAGAGATCGATGATTATATGGAATGATGAATTCCTTTAACATTCTGAAATGCATTCGATTTGTAAACGCGTATGATTGAAATTGATGCTTATGGATTGATTTTTGTTCATACACATTGATTGATCAATCACGATGATGATGATGATGATGTTGATGACAATGATGACGACGTTGATAATGAATGACAATCGGTTGTTTGAGTGGCAATAATTTTTTCATCTGGATTCAATTCAATTTTGGCTAGATTTTCGACAATTTCAACTAAAAATGTAAATCTTAAAATAAATCACGAATAAATGAGATATAAACTAGACTTACGGCAATTTTGATCAATAATTTCGGCGCCAACACCTGGTTCTCTTTTTAATGATTTAGCAATGTATTGGGCACGTTTTTCATGTATTTCTTCCGAAATGTTTTCCAAATTTTTTAATGTTGTTGAATATTGGCTCTTACATTTGGCCAATTCTTCTTCCAACAATTTTGTATCATCACGAATCTTTTTCAATTTCAAATCAATGTTATGGGCTTCATCAAAATAAGATCTGCATGCGAGAGATTATAAAAAAAAGTCAATTCAATTCAATCATCATCATTAAAATCCTTACTTTGCTCGTTTAATTGAACTTTTATATTTAGTTTTCAAATCTGTTGCATTATATTCGAGTAAACGAATTTGTGCCATTAGACTTAAATGCTCTAGTTCATGTTCTTCACGTTTTAATTTAGCTTCCATAAACTAAATTTAGATAATGGAAAATGTCAATAAATAAAATCTAAATTGTTATCAGTCATTCATGATAGTCACCTTAGCATTGGCAATATTAAGCTTTTCCTGCCAATATTGATCAAAATGGCCATCTTCTTTGATATTTTTATGAAACATTAATTCGGCATCTGATATGGCTTGTTTGGCATTCATATAAAGTTCGTTAAATTTTTCAAATTTTAGAGCTGCTGTTTGGCACTTTATTTTAAGGCTGTAGATATGGAAAAAAAAGAATGTAAAAAGATTAATGAAAATAGATAGATTATAACCAAATCTTATTTTTCATACTCGTTCAATTTTTGTAAGGCCTCATAATAAGGTCTAGAGGTAGAGACATTTCGTTCGCCACATTTCTTCAATGTTTTGTTCAATTGAACAGAACTTTCATTGAGAACACGATGGAAACGGGAATTTTCTTCCTGAAAACATTGTTCAAGTTGATTGATTTTTGTCGAATACCGATTCAGATCATCGAGTAGATCACGAATTTTTGGATCAAACTCTTTGATATCTGGAATCTGGCAATCTATTTCATCGATTGAATCCTCTTCAATCAATTCATGATGATGATGTTTATGTGATTTATGATTACCAACATTGTAATCGCCATTGTGATGATTATGATTATTATGATGTTGGCCAATAATTTCGTTTGACGACATAACAGCCGCAAAACAAACCAAAAATCCAAAACAAAATAAATAACAAAAATGAATGGCCAATACAATTAAATGGTTCGTAATTGTTTTTTGTTTCCTATGAAGAAAACATATAACAATCAAATCAATACAATGAAGAAAAATAAATTAAAAAATATCGAAAACAAACCAATTATCAGAACAAAAAAAAAAGATTGATCGATAATGAAAAACAAACAAACAAACAAAAAAAATAATACAAAACAAATTGATGACAAAAAAGAGACAAAATACGTCACAATCAGAAAAGTAAAGTCACATTGGCATAAGTATAAATGAATAGATGACGATGTTGAAAAAAATTTTTTGATCGACAAGAATGATATTCATATTACATGATGACAAAAAGGTATGCGCGTTAGGAATTATGAATAGAAATTTGATGACGATTTTCTTTGTTCAATGCATTATCATTTTGGTATTTGATTGATTGACTAATCGATCAAATAGATTGATTTTGAAATTTTTGTTTTTTCATATATCTAATCAGAAAAAAATTTATTGATTTAGTTGCGTAAATTTATTTTTTTTGTTGTTGTTGTAGTTGTTGTGGTATATTAGTTGTATACAAGATCATGGCCATAAAAAAAAAAAAAACGATGATAATATTCATATACCAAAAACAGAGCAGTAGTAGCTACAAATAAAGGTACGTATGTACCATTCATTCATTCATCATAACTACCATCATTCGTGTTAAAATTTTGGCAATATTGAAATGGCATCAGCAAAAGGCAACCAAATGTGCAAAGTACATTTTTCAAATTTATGTCCTTACGTCACTCTATAATCATTTTTCTAAAATCAATCCATTTAAAAATTGATTATGATGAAGATATATGGAGTTGTGGTATATCACAAAATTTTAAACAAATAGATAAAATATGATGATAATTCATTTGCGGTTTTTTTACACGTATAAAATGATGATGATAACAGTAAATTTCTTTTTTTTATGTTCTGAGCAAATCCAATATATTGGAGAGTCCAACATCAACAACAACAACAATAACAACAACAATAATACTCACTCGAATAGCAAAAGAGAATCGGAAAAAATATCTTTGTGTGTGTGTTTTTTGACGCTACAACAGATGGGATTTTATTTTTTACCAGTCTCTCTTACTCTGTCTTTTTCTCTCTCTCTCTTTCTCACACACAATTTGACATCAATGAAATTTCCATTGATATGAATGGATTTTGTTTTTTTGTTTGTTGTTTTTCTTTTTTGTCCATTCCATTGCACAAAACGCGGTCAATTTCGTTTAAATGGAAATGAGCATACAAATGTACTGGCATCATTCAATCCCCAATGTATGTAATAATAACACACATTCCATTACACTAATCAGTGCATATATGCCAAATTTTGTCAAAAATGATCGACAAAATTTATTGGCTGAAAAAAAAAATAAATCTGAGCCTTCTATTCATCACCATCATCAACATGGCAATGGCGTCATTTACGCGCCTTGTCAGTATTGCTGTGTAATAATATAATAAATATATCATCAAGTTTTCGACGTTGTTGGCCCACCTGAAATGAATTTATGAGTGTGTGTATGTGTGTTGTTACTCTGGTTACATTTTTCGAAAAAAAGAGCTAAAGAGAGAGAAAAAAAACCATAACAAGATTTTTTCGAGAGAAAGTTTTTTTTTGTTCTCTCGTTTCTTCTAATTTCCAGTTCAACGTATATCTCAATGCATATAATAACCGTTTTAAAAAGATATCATCGTCATCAAACTTAAAAAAATCGTGGATCGATTCTTTTATATATTTATTTGAAATCAATAATTTAAATCAATTTGTTTTCCTTTCATCATCATCATCATCATCATCAATCAACAATCAACAATTTCTTTTCCTTATTATTATCATCATCATAATCGATAGCAGCCGCCGAATGAACAGAAAAAAAAATGACGTCGTCGTTGTCGTCGTCTATTAGAGCCTGATAGATATATCGAATCATCACCAAATAAAAAATTTCTCTCTCTCTCTCAGTATTTTTGTTCAATCCATATTATATACACAACACTCATACATACAAACATCTATCTATCTATATCTTATACAAAAAAAAAATCGACCGCTGATCGACCACAATGTCATCGTCTATTAGTAGTCAATAGTTAATTTTTGATCCGTTTTTCTTCTTTCTGCTATTTCTTTTTTCCTCACTGCACATCTCATGTATTCGATACATTGAAAAAAAATTCGAATTTTTTTTTATACTCAACAAACGAAAACAAGAATTCTGTCTGTTTTTGTTTTTTCCAACAAAAAAAAAAAAAATTCAAGTTGCCTTAGATCATCATTGTCATATATACCTCAAGTCATCATCAATCAATCAATCAATAATGTCCAATAATCCTTCAGCCAGTTCATCATCTCCTGGTGCTTTAATTGGTGGTCCGCCACCACAATCAGCAGCACAATCCAAAAGTTTTCAAAAAACACTCAAAGGAATTGTTGCAGGTACATATCAATCGATTCTTTTTCGTTTTTTGAAATTTTTCACATGATTTAATGATCATTTTTGTTTGTTTTAGGCGGTATAACCGGTGGAATTGAAATTTGTATAACATTCCCGACAGAATATGTTAAAACACAGCTACAATTGGATGAAAGAAGTGCCAAACCACGTTATAATGGTATTGCCGATGTTGTTCGACAAACCGTACGTTCACATGGATTTTTTGGTCTTTATCGTGGTCTTAGTGTATTGGTTTATGGATCCATTCCAAAATCTGCCGTTAGGTATGAATAGAGAATAAAATTTATTGATTTATTAATTGATGTATATTTTTTCTATTTAGATTTGGCGCGTTTGAAGAATTCAAAAAACGAAGTGTTGATGAAAGAGGCAATTTGTCAATATCGAATCGATTACTTTGTGGTTTAGGTGCCGGTGTTTGTGAAGCAATCTTTGCCGTCACTCCAATGGAAACTGTCAAAGTAAAATTCATTAATGACCAAAATAGTACGAATCCAAGATTTCGTGGTTTTTTCCATGGTGTGCGTGAAATTGTTAAACAAGAAGGAATTCGTGGAACATATCAAGGTTTGACGGCAACAATAATGAAACAAGGATCCAATCAGGCGATACGTTTTTGTCATGGAAACATTGAAAGATTGGTATCGTGGTGGTGATCCAAATAAAAAAGTAAATAAACTTGTAACCGGTGTATTTGGTGCATTTGCTGGTGCAGCATCCGTATTTGGTAATACACCAATCGATGTAGTCAAAACACGTATGCAAGGTCTTGAAGCAAAAAAATATAAAGGAACTGTCGATTGTTTTATGCAGATTGCCAAAAATGAAGGTTTCTTTGCATTCTATAAGGGAACAGTACCACGTTTAGGACGTGTTTGTCTTGATGTCGCTATTACATTCATGATATATGATAGTTTTATGGAATTATTCAATACAATCTGGAAGACACCTTAATGACAACAGATGATGAAAAAATATATATTTATTATGTCGATTCGACCGATCAACATTATCATCATTTTTTTCATAGAGAATTTTTGAATGTATGTGTATTGAGAACCAATATATTGCTATTGATTTTTGCAACCAAATTTGTTTCCAGTTTTGTTTTTGTATTTTTGTTTTTTTTTATATAAGAGAAAAAATTTATAATTTATATACAGATGCAATGGAAAAAAAGATTATTGAAACAATCAACATAATGTTTTTTTTTTTTTTTTTTGTTCTGTTTTCACACATTCAATTTTCAATTCAAAGATTTTTGTACTTTTTAATGAACTTTTATTTGAGAAAATTTGCTGTTTGAACACACACACACACACACAAAAGAAATGACAACAATGAGATAAGAGAAAACATTTCTTTTATTCTGGTTGTACATTTTAAAAAAATCTCGTTCATTCTGATGATTATAATGATGATGATGATGATGATAACGAAAAAAAGAATCGAAATTCTCTTCCTCTTTATGATGTGTGAAGAATGTGGAAAGAAAAAGAAAAGTTTATTTTTGTTCTGTACTTTGTTTTTTTTTGTCGGTATCATCGATTATCAAAAACCAAAGTTTTGGCACCGATTAAAATGAAAAACCAGAACAAAAAGGATATGATTTTGTTCTGGTTGCGGTAGTAGTTGTAGTAGTAGTGGCACTTGTCAATGATGAATTATATTTATTATGTAATTCGATTTTTTTTTTTTTTTTTTTTGATTTTGATTAGATTCAACTGTTGATGATAGATAGATATGATTATTATTATTGTTATCAGTAAACATGTGAAACAAACAATCATACGATCAAGCCAATTCAGCCATTCCAGTATTACAAATATTCGAATAATAATGACGTAGGTAATGTACGAATTTTTTTTTCTTTTAAATTTTCATCTTTAATTTAGTTTAGTCAAATTTTTATATAAATATGACGACGACGATATTCAACCACAAAAGAGAGAGAGAAAAAAAAATTAAATCAGTCAAAATGACTGACTGACAAACAATAAAAAAAAGGAATAATTCATATATCATTCATAGTGGGAATTTACTTGGCATGAATTCTCTCTTCACCACCATCAAATTAGAATTAAAGCTTACTCATTTCGTTGTTTGCATGATGTTTGTTTTATCATCATCATCATCATCGTCATCGTCATCAAGGTTTGTGCCATCATCATATATTCTTTAAATGATTTCATTTTTTTTCAGAATTACATTTTGTACATTTAATTAATTCCATGTCAGTTATTTTGTTTGTAATCATCAAACGGATAATATGTTCTTTCGAATGTTTTAATCATTATCATATAACATAATAAATCAGATGATCAGATTGATTTTTTGTGTGTGTTTGTGTTTATTTGTATTTGATTTTTCCATTTAATGAATTAAATATTGTATATCATTCATGTATTAATGTGTGTATTGACTACGGGGAGAGAAAAATCGAAAACAACAAAAAAATTGAATCATGGCCAACAATAGTATGTTGCTCACCCCAACTAATTCACCGCAAACAACCAGTGAAATGGTTTGTACAAAACGTAAAACCGAATTACCAATACTAAATGCTTATTGGATAAATACCGGAAAACAATTGTTTGCTAGTAAGTCATTATTATCGATTTATTTTTCTAAGCATCATGTTCATGATGATTTTGTCTTTGTCATGTTACTTACAGGTGGATTATCCGGATGTGTTGAAGTTTGTTTCACCTATCCTACCGATTTCGTTAAAATTATTCTACAATTAGATGAAAGAAGTGGTAAAAAACGTCGTTTTAAAAATTCATTCGATGTTATCCGTCAAACAATACGAAGCTATGGAATATTGGGCGTTTATCGTGGTTTCAGTGTCGTTTTCTATGGTGCCATTCCGAAATATATGTTCCGGTATTAGTACATCATAATCCTACCTAATTGCTCATAATTCTTGTTCTACAGATTTGGGTCGTATGAACAAATAAAACGATTCTGTGTGAATAATGATGGTCAATTAAGGCCTAAAGATAAATTAATCTGCGGTCTTGGTGCGGGCGTTTTTGAAGCATTATTCGCTGTCATACCTCAAGAATCGATTAAAGTGAAATTCATCAATGATCGTTTTAGTGATCAACCTAAATACAATGGATTAATACATGGTATCAAGGAGATAATTAGAGAGAAAGGAATTCGTGGTACATACCAAGGAGTAGTGCCAACGCTACTCAAACAAGGGATCCAATCAGGCAATCAGATTTTTTGTCTTTGATTCATTACAAGAATGGAATAATAATCGTCAACCAATGAATAAGGATAAAAATAATAAAATTCTCATACCGATATTTGGCGCGATTGCAGGAGCAACATCAGTGTTGGGTAACACACCTATGGATGTGGTCAAAACTCGAATGCAAGGACTTGAAGCACATAAATATCGAGGCGTCATGGATTGTATGGCTAAAATCTATCGTAATGAAGGATTATTAGGCTTCTATAAAGGCTTAGTTCCACGTTTAGTCAAAGTTTCATTGGAAGTGGCCATCGCATTCACCATGTACAGCACCTTTTCCGATCTATTCGGTATTAACAAATAGAATTTTTCATCATTTTTTATTCAAGAAAAAATTTTTCTAAACAATTTTTAGCAAGAAAAAAAGAATTTTTGTGTATATAATTCTTAAATTGAGACGATAATCTTAAAAATGTCCATTTGATTTTTGTCTAATAAAAATCATTTTAAAAATTATGAGATACTTTCAATGTATTAATTTGGCTATAATAAAATGTGGTTATCGTCTCAAAACATTTATTATTGTCATTTGTTTTTTTTTCATTGATGATCAAAATCAATTAGTTTTGTATCATGTATCGGAAAAAATTTAGTGGTAAAAAAAATTTTAAACCATCAAATAAACATGGACAAGAATCATCTAGTCGTATTGATGTAGATGATGATGGTCTTGGTGAAGGCGATAGTGCCGAAGTTCCTGAAGCAGCTTTTCGATCTGTCAGCGATACAAATGCCGAAGATGAATATGGTGCCAAGGATTATACAAAAGAATTAACGTTAAAAGATGATTATTCGGTTCGACCATTGTGGGTGGCACCTGATGGTAATATTTTTCTGGAAACATTTTCACCATTGTATAAACAAGCTCAAGATTTTCTCATCACTATTTCTGAACCGGTTTCTCGGCCGGAAAATATTCATCAATACAAATTGACTGCTTATTCATTGTATGCTGCTGTTTCTGTTGGATTGAATACAGATGAAATCATACAATATTTAAGTCGATTAAGTAAAACATCAATCCCTGATAGTATCGTTGAATTCATCAAGGTAAGTTCATTTGACTGTAAAAGCTTTACATCATTAACCAATTTTGATTTTTAGCTTTGTACTTTTAGCTATGGAAAAGTAAAATTGGTACTCAAACATAATCGTTATTTTGTTGAATCAACATTTCCTGATGTGATACAGAAATTGATCAAAGATCCAATCATTGCTAAATGTCGTATTCGACGTGAAGATGGTGATAATCTAATAACCGGCACTATTACGAATAAAGGTAAATTTGCCGGCGAAAATAATAAAGATGAAAATGATTCTGATAAAGTTCAAAGTGATGCAAACAAAAGCAAACCGGAAAATATACCTGAAGAATTGTTTAATTTTTATGAAAAAATGGAACGTGACGATGATGAACCAGAAGACATACAAACATTATCATTTGAAGTGAATCAAGCAGAAATTGAGACTATACAGAAACGTTGTATTCAATTAGAATATCCATTATTGGCTGAATATGATTTTAAAAATGATACACAAAACCGAGATATTAATATTGATCTTAAACCGAATGCTGTTCTTCGTCCATATCAGGAGAAATCATTACGAAAAATGTTTGGTAATGGTCGTGCACGTTCTGGTGTGATCGTATTACCATGTGGTGCCGGTAAATCATTGACCGGTGTTACAGCCGCATGTACTATTCGTAAACGATGCTTAGTATTATGTAATTCATCTGTTTCCGTTGAACAATGGCGTATGCAGTTTAAATTATGGTCAACAGCCGATGATAGTATGATTTGTCGATTTACATCGGATGCTAAAGATAAACCGATTGGTAGTGGAATATTGGTCACTACATATACGATGATTACTCATATACAAAAACGTTCATGGGAAGCAGATCAAGTAATGCGATGGGTGAAAGATCAAGAATGGGGCCTAATGTTATTGGATGAAGTACATACAATTCCGGCCAGAATGTTTCGTCGTGTGTTGACCATTGTACAGGCTCATTGTAAACTAGGATTGACAGCCACATTGGTACGTGAAGATGATAAAATTGCTGATCTTAATTTTTTGATTGGCCCTAAATTATATGAAGCAAATTGGTTAGAATTACAATCGGCTGGATATATTGCTCGTGTACAATGTGCCGAAGTTTGGTGTCCAATGCATCCAGAATTTTATCGTGAATATTTGGCTGCCAAATCCATGAAGAAAATGTTATTTTATGTAATGAATCCGAATAAATTTCGTGTCTGCCAATTTCTAATCAAATATCATGAAAAGCGAAATGACAAGATCATCGTCTTTTCCGATAATATCTTTGCATTGGTCAACTATGCTAAAAAACTTGGCCGTCCATATATTTTTGGGCCAACATCACAAGGTGAACGTTTACAGATTTTACAGAATTTTCAATTCAATCCTAAATTGAATACAATATTCGTATCGAAAATTGCTGATACATCATTTGATTTACCTGAAGCAAATGTTCTCATACAAATATCATCACATGGTGGTTCACGACGACAAGAAGCACAACGTTTGGGTCGTATTTTGCGTGCGAAAAAAGGTGCCGTCACTGAAGAATATAATGCTTATTTCTATTCACTTGTATCACAAGATACGCTTGAAATGCAATATTCACGTAAACGACAACGATTTTTAGTGAATCAAGGTTACAGTTATAAAGTGATTACAACGATCAAAGGAATCGATGAAGAAGAATTATTCTATACGAATAAAGATGAACAAATGCAATTATTACAACAGGTATTACAAGCTAATGATAATGATGGTGAATTGGAAAAGATATCGATAATGGATTCAGCCGAAATTAAATCTTCACAACAAAATCGACAATCATTTGTAACGAAAAAAGCTGGTAATATTAATTCATTATCGGGTGCCGATGATAATGTTTATATGGAATTTAAATCGAAAAAATCTTCCGATTATAAACATCCATTGTTTAAGAAATTTAGAAAAAAAAAAATAATGATGATGATGATGATTAAAATTCATTTCAATTTGTAATTGATAATAATTTTTGTGGATGTCAATTTATTAAATATATATACGGTGATTAAGTTTATTAATTATTACAAACGATTATTGATCGATTGATTTTTTAATAATAATAATAATTTCAGAAATAAAAGATTACGGTGCTGCTTTGTGTTAGAGATCAATCAACGTGTTATTGTGTGTGTGTGTGTGTGTGTGCGTGTATGTATCCGGAAGAGAGAATTTAATCATTTTGGAAAAAGTAAAATATTTATTTATTACATTCAATAATCTGCTGGCAAAAAAAGAACTGTAAATTAATTATTTCAGTCAGATGTTTAAATATTGTTTATATTATATTAGATATAATTTGAATATGATGATGGATTAGTTTAATTTGAAATGAAATTAGCTAATTTTTTTTTTTTCATATTTTAAAAATCAAAAAAAAAGGAAGAAACGGCGTGTGTAATTTGTTTGTGTTTGTGTGCGTGTGTGTGTGTGTGTGTGACAAAAAAAAAATGTGGAATTCAAGTTTTTTTTTTGCACTTCAACATCAATTTGTTTTCATATTATATATTATTATTATTATTGTAGGCAATGAAATAATTTATCAATGATAAACACAAGAAAAAAAAGAATGAGAAACAAAATAACAACAATGATAAACAACAATCAAATATATAGTACCAAACGGAAAAAAAATTGGAGAAAAAAAAAACAGAAAAGAATTATTACACAAATCACAACATTTAATAGCTTAATGAATGAATGAATGGAATGATGAAATGATGAGAATGAATTTGTCTAAAAGTAAAATTCAAATGTGTGTATTATTATTATTATTATTAGGTATCAAAGAAAAACGAATGATACCTGAATTATTATTCTTTTCTTTGAAAACAAGAATAATCAACATCGACATATGACATGGAAAAATGATGTCGAATGATGTTAAAGTATGAATGATGGTTAATAATTTATCTATTTACATGTGTATAAATAATGGATCAGGCAAAAAAGGAAAAAAAATTTTACAAACAAACACAAGACAAGATGATAATCGGAAATGTGAATGCAGGGTGGTAATGGTAAAATCATGAATGTATCACAAAAAAAAGAAACGAAATTTTTTTTAGGTGGATAAACTTGTATGTGTGTATGTCAGTGAGAATGGTTGTGTATTAAAACATCGAAACATCAATCATTGAAATTTTCTAAAATAAAAACCAAAATTTAATGTCACTGTATTATTGAAAGAGTGCTTGATGCTGGAATGGACAATTTATGAATGGTGGGATTCTATTTATTTTTTTTTTATTGTATGTTTGTAACATTTTGACTGTCTGTCTGAATAAAAAATATTCAATATAACCATGATGAGAATAATTATTAAAAAATTAATAATATATAATGCACACAAACACAATTACACACACACACATACACAACATGAACAAATCATTCGAATTTTTTGTTGTTGTTGTTGTTTCATTTTGTATATAGAGGGATATTGGATTTAGTGTATAATATATAATCGGTATATATGATATGTAACAAGTTAATGAATTCTGTCGTGTTTGTCTGTCACCGGTGTTATTTAATTATTTTGAATGAGAAAATCAATTTTTTTTTCTTCAATGGATTTCAAGTGATTGATTCGACGAATGACTATAATTTGAGAAGGTTCGATTCATCATCAAAGATCTTTTTTTTTAATTTGGAATTTTTTTTCCCGTTTGTCCAATGTTTTTTTTTGGGCACTTTGAAATATAACGGTGCTGATGATGATGATGATGATGGTTTGATGTAATTTGGTGCTAGTGATGAAATTAAATAATGATGATTTCAAATTCAAGAAGAGAAGAAAATGAAAAAAAAGGTACACAAATGCACACACACACACACACAAACAACATTGGAAATTATTTGGAATAAATAAGCATTAGAAGAAAAAGCACAATAATCATCATTCGTTGATAAAATGGGTTTTTTAAGAGGAAACATTTTTGACATTAGAAAGAGCAAGAGAGAGAGAGAGGATCACGTAAAAAAAAGAACCAAACGAAGGAAAAATCAATTTGGAGGTCAAAGGTTAAGGCACAGAACAGAATTCAGACAGATTTTGGTTTTGTTTTTTTTTTTTGGCAACAGACAGTTTTTCTTCATCATCATATAATTGACCAATAATTTTTTTTATCAAATTAATCAATCGATTAATAGATCGATTATTATGGATTAGTGATCATAGTTTGAATAAACTTTTCATCGTATTCATTATTGTACCAGCTGCTTGTCCAGGTTGATTAGCTTGATTGCCCAGCATAGGATTATATGCAGACTGTTGTTGCTGTTGTGGATTTGGATGTTGTGGTTGACCAAAATTCATTTGTGTTTGTTGTGATGGTTGCTGATGCTGTTGTTGTGGTTGTTGTTGTCCACCAATCATTGTATTTTGCTGCATTGTAGCTACTGTTGATTGTGGTTGATGGTGACCCATCATTGGTTGATGTGGTTGATTTGGATGTGCAAATGGTCCACGTGCACCTAAAGGTGTTGTCGCTTCTTCCAGTATCTTTTTACCCGATGCAAATAAACTGCCCAACATACCCGTTGATTGTTGTTGTTGATGATGTTGATTTGGCAACGGTAATTGACCCGGTTGACCAGTACCCATCGGTCCACCTGGTCCTAAACCAGTTTGATTAACCATCTGTTGACCGAATCTTGGTGTAGTTGACATATTTAGATCCAAACTATTTGGTCTTTGTTTATTGCCTAGGTTGGTTCCAGGACCTTGAAACATTGGATTGTATGGCCCTTGTTGTCCTGGTGCCTGATGCACGCCTGTCACGTTGACCATGGGATTTTGTTGTCTCATTACGCGGCCCATCATTGATTGATTGGCTTGTAATGAAGCATTTTGCTGTTGTTGCGTTAATATCTGCTGTTGGGTAGTTAAATGAGGTTGTTGTTGGAATACACCTTGTTGACCTTGGCCCTGGAACATTTGTTGCTGTTGTTGATTGACGCCTGGACCAGTTGTGACCAATGGTTGTGTTCCGATTTGTTGCTGATATTGGGTTGTTTGTTGTTGCATTGTTGATTGTGGTAAATGGGACTGCTGTTGCATTAACATTTGCTGCTGTGATAATCCCTGTGGCTGTTGTGTTGTTTGCATTGTATTTTGTAGTAAACCACCGGTTGTCTGGCCCGTATTGCTGAAATTTTGTGTTCCGGTCTGATTGAATGGCTGTTGTTGGTGGGATTGTAGTTGTTGTTGAAGGCCTTGCTGGAATTGTTGTTGTTGTTGGGAAGCAGTGCCTGGTTGTAGTACTTGCATTTGTCCTAATTGACCCTGGCCCATTCCACCAGTTGATATCAGTTGACCATGTGCCATGGTGGCCATAGCATTGTTTGTATTCATTTGACGGGTTGTTTGTAACTGTCCTGGTACCATTTGCGTACCTGACATCATCTTTACCTATATTTATTGATTGTGAAGAAAAATAAACGAAAAAAAAATATTAAATTGAATGAAAAACATAAAATTTTATATATGTTGGTGTATGTGTGTGTATGTGTATCATTTAAAATCTGACGTGCGAGAACCAAAAAAAAATCGGTGTCTCATTTTATTTTATTAATTAATTAATATTGTTTTTTTTAGTGAATTGATTAATTAGAAAAAAGTGTAGAAATGAATTTGGAAAAGTGAACGAAATTTTGTTTTTGAAAGAGACAGAGGAAGCAGAGCAATAAGGAAATGTGATTTTTAGATCAGAAATAGAGATATAGATTAATAATGAGATAGATTAGAAACATTTTTGGCAATTGGTATTTTGGAGCGATAGATTTTCATTTTTTTTCAATGATTATCAAGGTTTTAAATGGATTTATGTTTTTTTTTTTTGCTGCTTGAAAATTGCAGGAATTTCAGGAATTGCAATAATTTGATTGATTCGTGATGATTGGTGCTTATAGTAGTGATGTGAACACATATAGACACTGCAAACATTGAATTCATGATATTGCTGATGACCATGATATATGTATATAATTATAATAAAATAAAGTGAAAAATGAATATTCCATGGTGAAAATTTTGTTGAAGTTATCATGTTGATATGATGATCATTTTTTCTTCGTACGTGATTTCATTTCATATAATAAATTCGAATGAAAAACTATTTTCTAGCTATAATCTATATGATAACTACAAATATTTTTTTTTTCTTCAACCGTCTTGACTACCAAAAACTAATTAATCAATCAATCAAGACAATAATTAATCCAAGAGACAGATAAATGCAAATCTAATATTTATGAATGAAAATGATAAAATCTAAATGATAAATGAACAAAAGTATAAAAATTATAAATCAATTAACATTCATTTTACATTGAATAATCATTGTCATCATCATCATCATCATTATTATCACGAAAAAGCAAACCTATTGGTGATTGACTAAAGTCACATCAAACTATCAAATGCTATGTTTGGATGCTGCTTGCTGTGATTCTGGTGCATGAATTAACCATTGTAGGTGTGATTTGCATCTAGTTTGAATCGAATGATAAGCTTAATCTAGATTATGCTAGATTTTTAGGCAATACACTAAATTGAGGGATAAGAAAGAAAAAAGAAAATTTCACTTTTTCCGAAATGGAAAAAATTTTTTCTTTTTTTTGCTTGATTTTTTTTTTTTGGAAAAAAAATTTGATTTGAGAAACCAATTTCCAATGATTGCTCCGCTCCCCCACCTTTGACGCGACTCACATGACGCACGTTTGTTGTTTGGTCAACTGGTCCAGCATCAGCAAGAAAATTCGATGGTACTAAGCCACGCATTCCGTTTGCTTCGCCAATATAGAATCCATCTTCATCCATATCACCATAAACGTAGATTATATCGCCAGTTCTGAATGCCAATTCCGTCTAGATTTTGTTGTTGTTGTTCGGTTGATCGGAATATTCATATTTACAAAAAGAAACAATTTTGTTCCAATTTGTTGATGCACATAAGACACACACACATACGCACAATTGATGATGAGAGAGATCAATTCTATATTTAACACGAATTTCGACTACAAAAAATATAATCATATAACTTACCTCAGTATCGAAATTTGGTGATAATTCTTGTGGATCATAATCATAAAGAGCAATCATTTTTCTTATAGACAAATGTGATAATGGATCATTAGGATTGTTTCGAAATCTTGGGTCATTTTCAACATCATATTGGACTTCGGATACCATATTACATGGTACATAACCGATTCTACCATTACATTCACCACGATAAAAACCATCGGCATCTTTATCGCCATAAATCTAAAAAATGAAAGAATTGTTTTTTTAAACATTTATCAAATTTATGAATAAAAACAACAAACCTTGATTAGTTGACCTTCTTGAAATGGTAATTCTTCTTCGGCAGCATCCGGATTAGGTGACATTGTCATTGGATCATAATCGAATAATGCAACAAACCAACGTACACCATGTTCACGATCACGTTGATTTGGTTGTCGTCGGTGTGTTAGTTGATTATAAGGACCTAGATTTGATCTTTCATATTCACTAAGTACTCTTGTTCGTTGTGGCGGCATTGGTGATACACCGGTACGTTTTCCACCATAAATACGTTGTTTCATTGATTGATCAAATTCTTCTTCCGAATAGCTTTCCATTGGCTGTACACTTTCACTTGGTGTTTCTTTTGTAATCTCAATAGCCGGTATAGTCATACGTGCCATATTATCATTCATATGTAATGAGGATGTATGAACATTACGATTAGTAGCCATTCTACCAGCTCCAACCATACGATTAACATTGGTTGTTTGTTGTTGTTGTTGTTGTTGTTGTCGATTGGTCAACATTCGATGTCTCATATCATATTGAGTGTTCTGTTGTCAATAATAAATAAAATTCAAATTAATAATCAAAATTGAAAATAATTTGGGACTCTTTAAAAAGCCAAATAGCACATTAATGGTGATTGATTTTGACATTTAGAATTTGGAAACACAAAAAACAGTGTGCGATTTTGTTGGGAAAATGATTCATCTGGTTGATTTACGTGACAAATTTGATGATGTTAATGATTTGGATGAAAAAGCTTCGAAAGAATGCAAAATAAATTATCAATAAATCGGAAAAGGCAAATTGATTGGCTTGATGGTTAATTAGTGATTTATAACAAATGGATAGACGGATGACACAGTGGTATTATATGTGTGTATGTGATATAATTTGGAACAGCTTGAATTGCACAAAAAAGGGAAGACACTTTTTTTAGGACTAATTTAAATTGTCTACCTGATTCGTATAGATTTGTTTCTGTTGCTCTTGTGGCTGTAGCTGTTGTTGTGGTGATTGTTGTGGTTGTGGTTGTGGTTGTGGCTGAGATTGTGATTGAGAAACTAGATTCTCAAATTCTTTGCTATGTCTAGCAACCATTTGCATTAAACGATTCAAATCGGTATCAGATTCAGAATCCGAATGATTCATCAATATCTGTGTCTAAAGAAGTTTAAGTTTTGAATTTGATTATTCGATTAACACCCAATAATGATAATGATGACAATTTTTTTTTCAAATCTCATAAATTTTTTACGAAATTTAGTACAAATTTTTTGAATGATGAATTTCTATTCAATTGAGAAAAAATAGATTAATTAACAATTCAACTCACCTTTTTCAATTGTTGAGTAGTATTGGCCATTAATTGTAATTTAAGTAGATCATCTGGTATTTGGCAAGGCATTGAATCTTGTGACAGATTCTCACCGGATTTTGTTCGTACAGTAATCAATTTTTTATGTAAATGTTCCAACGAAGCAATATCCAATAATGCATGATCACCTAATAATAATAATTTGATTTAAAATTTATACTGCATTAATAATATATTTCATATTCATATAAATACCGGTAGGACTATCAATTTCTGCTAGTTTTTTATGTCCGGCAAAAACAGCGTAACCGGTCACAGGACAATTATTCGATGTACCAAATTGATTCAATGTGATTGGAAGCCATGTGACCAGAAGTGTACCTTCTTGTGGTCCAGCTTCAACTTGAATGTCGACTGGTGGATCTGGAAGACCTGTTTTTTTGTATCAAAAATATTATGAATTTCAATGAATCAATTATCAACACTTACTTTTGGGTAAAGTTCGAAAATCAACAAATGTGGTTAACATTTCTAATTTTTTTGGATTCTTTTCATCGCTACATAATAATTTTCCAGGTTTGGCACGAACGGAAACACGATATAAGGTATTTGCTGATAGGCCAACAATTAAATGCTTAAAGACACTTGGCTTTACTGTTCGAACTTCAACACTATTAACGGCAACTACATGATAAAAATTTGAATTACACGGTATCCAAGATATGAGTGCTGAATCTGATGTAATATTTGATGCTTTCACACAACACGGAGCAAACGGTATATCTAGATTTAATTTAAATTGATAATTTCATTATTAGTAATGATAATTTCATTTGATTTAATGAAACAAACTTTTTCCAATCACTATTGTACAACCCGGATCTTTTGAATGACGACCATTACGATCGATTGCTCGAATACTGATACGATGTGGCTAATGAATAAAAAAAAAATGAATCATTTGTATTTCAAATAAATTGAAAAAAAACAAATAAAAAATACCATTGATGAATCAACGCCTTCAACAAGGGCTTTAGTTCTATCACCGGATGGTATGGTGGCTTTTAATACCCCATCAACATATATCTGATAATGATCGATCATTGTACGAGGACATTCAGGGTGTAGCCACCCTATAAGAACACTTTTGTGTAGTTGACGTTCAACAATCAACCTTTGTGGAGGTGGAACTATATTAAAAAAAAAAATATAAATTTTCAATCAAGTAATTTTTTTCGATAAAAATTTCTTCATACCTGTCGTTTTGGCAGCTTCTTGTTCAGCTCTTTCAGGCTCGGAAACATCTTCATCAATTTCGGTGGCATCTTCCAGATCAATATAATCATTAATACGATGAAAATCATCTGATTAAAATAAGTAAAAATAAATAAAAGTCCAAAACATTGTTATTGATAAAATACCTGGAGCAAGAAGATGTTGAAAACTTGTATGACCAATTTGTTCGCTCAAAATGGCATCATAAAATTCCGGTGGAAAACTAGCCGTATCGGATTCGGCATCTTTATTATGGCCATATAAAACACGTGCTTGAAATTCAAACAAATCATCACCGGTTAATTTTTCGATAAAATTCGATGGAACCAAACCACGGCGACCATCTAATAATTCTCCATAATAATACCCGTCTTCATCAATATTACCGAATATGAGAATAAAATCTCCGGCTAATAATGTTACTTCAGTTTCAGGATTATCATTTGGTGAATTTTTATATGGATCATAATTATATTTGGCCATAAAAACTTTACATCGACCACGATTTGGCAGTTCAATACTATCGACAATCTCTTCAGCTTCTTTAAGTTCATCAATCTGAGCAGTATAAGAAGATTCGGTCATTGGTAACACACGTTGACCAGTTGCCGTAGTTGTTGTAGCAACAGCAGCCGATGATGAACTAATACGATTTATTATTGTCGATGAAGGAAAAATAACAGGATTGTTACTTGACGATGTATTTATCAATGGATTGGACGATTTACTGATGATATAATGTTGATCATTCAATATGCTTGTCTTTGGCAATTGTGTCGCAGCATATGAAGGCAATGATGATGATAGTAATTGACCGCCACTAATCTCTTCACCATGAACACTTGTTGTTGAAACATTTTTTAATTTTTTATCCAATTCAGCTAGAATTTTATTGTCACGTTCTAATTTTTCCATTAATAAATCTAGATCTTTACTTGATACATTTGATGTTGTTGATTCTAGAAAAAAAAAAATTTTTATAATCCAAACGAAATATTATCGAAACTTACTTTGTTTTTCATTTATATTTAATTTTTTATCCGTCATCATCGAATAATTATCCATTTTTGTTTTCATTGTAAACAGATGTGCTGTTGATTTATTGAACGATGGCTGCTGTTGTTGTTCCTGAGCATCTAGATTGGCTAGTATTTTTTTATGATGATGATGATGATCAACATTATTAGATAGATGTTTACGTTGACCAATGCTACTTGAAGAACGGTTAATTACAGTTGCCAATTTATCTTCAATTCGTTTGAGCTCTGTCGAAATGTTCGATGCATTCGAACTGCTGGCTTTTTGGGATTTTTCTAATCCAAAAATCAAATTGAACAAAAAAAAATTAATTTATTTAAAAAAATCACATCACAAATATAGATACTGACCATTTTGAAAACAAAATTCATCATCATCATCATCATCATTGTCATTACGATGACCTATATGATCAGCGGTGGTGGTGGTGTTGAGAACACTTTGATAATCTTGTTGATATTTCCATTCATTTATCTCATTTGTTGATGAAGGCAATCGATTTGATGACAGATGTTGCTGTTGTTGTTGTGAACTATGACGAACAATTGATTTTTTATTATCATCAATATCGATTGATAATGGTGGATGTTTACTATGTTTATTTGTATTAACTAGATTAATACGTTCATGATGATGATGTTGATTACTACTATTATCATTATTATTATTCGTATCCAATAATAATGGTGGTGGTGGCGGTGTTGATGATGATGTATGTCCAATTCTTGACGATCTATTCGATACTGAACGTAATTGATTGTCCAGTTCTGCCAATATTCTATCATCTTGTTCTAATTTCGATATTATGGTATTCATATCTCAAATACTCACAACAACAACAAAATGAATGAATGAATGAATGAATGAAGAAAAAAAATAAGAAAATTAAATGGAAAACAAAATCCAGTGCAAAAAATTTTTGTCGTTGTCGTTATTATTTTCTTGTATTCTGTTCCGTTTGTTATTAGTAGTTTTTTTTAATTTTTTCCATCCAATTACTATTTCCGGTGTGTTTGTCCTATTTATTCATCATTTATAATTATGATGATGATGATGATGATGATGAATCTGTGTAATTGATGATCATCAAATTAATTGATGATAATCATAATAGAAAAAAAAAAAAAAAATGATTTTCAATGATAATAACCAAACAAATTATTATAATAATCAATAACAATTGTTTATATTCAATTAGTCGATATGATTGATATTTGGATAAATGAATGAACAAATCAATTTCATAATTAGCTATAGAATAATCTATACTAGGATCATTTATCATGCAATAATAATTGAGCTCGCACACAAAAATTTGTTTGATTAAAAAAAATGAAAATGAAAATGGGAAAAAATCAACCCCTGAAATGTTGGCTTCCACTCATTGCATTTTTTTTTGCTTTCATTTCATTAACGATGATGATCATGATCGTGTGTGTGTATGTGTATGTGATTGTATGACGGTTTAATAAACTTTAATCAAAAAAACTAGCTGAAAAAAAGAGAAAAAAATTGAAATTTTATTGATGAATTGTCCGCAGCAATTTTTTTTTCTTGTTAAAATGTTGTAAAAATGCCATTCTATGTTTATTTCAACTTTTTTTTTCATATATTTAACATTTGAAAATATACCTGCAAAAAAACTAGAATATTCTCTAATCATATCTAAAGTGAAATTCATTTTTTTCATTCACTTTTTTTTCGTTTTGAATATATAATCAACGAAAAGAATGAGAATTTGACAATGACGACGACGACGACGACGACGACGACGACGACAACGACAACGACAACAATTTTGCTGCTGATCATCATCATAATCATCATCAATGATAATCATTTCCCAGTTGATGAATAAATAAACATTGTCGTCGACGACAATAAGTTTAAGTCAAGTTTAGTTGATTGTATATTATTTGGTCTGTTTGTACCCATTATGTAGCCTCTATAGTATATAAATACCATTCATGCGTACCACTGGCCAAAAAAAATAACCTTTTTTTTGTCGTTTGTTCTGGGTATAGTATAGAAGGTATAGTACCGATAAGTTAACCCTTGACAAAAAAAAACATGGGAATGAATACGATTTTTTTTAAATACAGACAAAATATATTCCACGATTTTTCTCATATCAGAACATAACGAAACAGAATTCACTCACAATAATAATATTATATTATTATTATTCACATCGAATGATATATATGATTATATCGCTATGCCCCTGCCGACAAAGCATACGCCCGATTCTACATATACCGGGATATAAAAGCAAGCCTATAACATTACAGTGCTGGTGTCTAGACCACAAGATATTCAACAAAAAAAAAAAAACATATACACACACAGTGTCGATGGCTATATATATATTAAAAATCTAAATTAAAATGGATCCATATATTCTGTGTGTATATCTGTATGTATTGTTCAATATCGTCCGTCATTCTTCTTTTTTCGTTAAGTAATAATAATAATAATAATAAGTAGCGGACAAACTATCAAATACATAGCAAGTCGGTATTCGTGTGTGTGTGTGCATGTGTCAATGTCGGTATTCGTTATTCGGGTATATATTGGGAGCCTAAAATAGAGCATATGAACAACTCAACATTACAACCATACACACACACACTGGTATAAACATGAGAAATAATTTTGGATTCCATGTTTTCGACTTCGATCTTTGAATAGTTGCTGTGTCTTCAAACGACAGAATATTCGGCTAGAAGAAAACAAAAAAATTCGTACACTTTATATTTTGGAACTTGGTAGTCATTTGTACGGTACGTTCGTTCAGATATTTCGGTACAGTTGACGATGGTCGGGTAAAAAAAAAATATAATTTTTTTTCTGGTGAACCGAATACTCACACACACACACAGCACATCAATATCAACCATCACACACATAGAATATACACGGATAACGTGCAACAACAACAACAACAACAATTAGTGTATAATACACACACACACACACACACACACACATACAATGAAGTTCCAATGAAGGAAGAAATAAAATATATAAAAAACCAACCAAACCAAACTAAAATGTAAATGGAAAAATAATATTATTGAATGGTGAATAACAAATGACAGGCAAACGAATCAAACTAATAAGAAAAATATAAAAAAAAATCTAGAAATACGTCAACCATTTGCTATTTGGATTGACGATGATGATGATGATGGGAAAAGATTCTTGGATAGAAAAAATTTTTTTTCTGGATTCTATATTCTGGATCTTTTTTTTTCATTCAATGAAATCAATAAAATTGAATTGACATCACACAAATACATAAATCGTGGTTAAAAAATTGTCGTTTTTTTTGTAAAAATTTATTTAGTTTGAAAATTAAATTTTAAATTTCAATCAATTCAGATTTTTTTTTTCTCTCTCTCTCTCTCTTTCTATTTTGGTTTACGATTGACAAACAGTGGTAACACACTCTACTCTAGTAAGCGGTGAATAATGAAAAATTCATTAGAATAAATGAAATTCTATTCGAAACGAATAAATCCAAAGTATTACTGTAGTTAGATTTCCAATAAAAATGGTCATCATCACCATTTTAATTTGTTTCAATTTTCGGTTTAGTTACATTTGTACACACATGCACACACACACACATACAAGCTTCTTTCTGGTTGCACTGTAAAAGTTTTCGTATCGTTTTTTCTGCGGAATTGAATCCGATTTTTTTTTGAAAACTGAGTATCAGAAAACAAAAATTGAAACAAAATGAAAAAAAAACACACAAGAAATTCATCTGTTTATCGATTCATAATTTTCACTATTCGTCACATTTTCCAGATGTTCATGTTCATTACATTTTTTTTGTACGTATGAAACATAAAAAAAGAAAAAAAAACTAACCACAAAAAAAGACCAAAGCTTTAATAACAACAGGGTAAAAAACCCCAGAATTTTCATAATCATTACACCATTTTGGATTGGAACGTATTTTCCAGTTTTTCAGTCAAACAACTACAACAACAACAACAAAATTATTTGGTTATATTCTGACGTTTTACAAATAAAAGCAAACATACAATTTACCAACAGACATTCTGTGTAATTTCACTTGTACATTTTCCGCGTTTTTTTTTCTCTCTTTGTGTTTGTGTTTGTGTGTATGTTAAATCTGAACGCATTATGATAAATTATTATTTTGTAACTGATTTTTTTAGCTTGGATTTCTTTTTTTTTTTTTTGTTGCTATTACAATAATAATAAATCGATCAAAAAAAAGAAAAGAAAAAATCTAATTTGATATGTAAATCATTTTTTTGTAAAATTAAAATATTATATTATTTCTGCAATTAATCATAAAAATGGCAACTGATACGATGAAAATATTCCATATTCATAATTTTCGAATACATGATTGATCGATGAAATTTGAGCTGATTAATTCGAAACAAAAAGGTCAAACCAAATTGTGGATCATCAAAAGATTATATTTATCGATTTATTGATTGTGGAACGAGAAAAAAATAAACATTTATCTAAAATCTATAATCTAGATATATTTCGGTTTCGAAAATAAGTCATATTGATTGGAATCATCATCATCATCAACAATGTTTATTGTGTTTGATATCGATATAATCGATTATTATATTTGGGAAAGAAAAAATCTAAAATACCTTGTGTGTGTGTATGTGTGTTCGATATATAACTGTTTTTCGAATCTTTTGGTATGTGATATCTGATTGAAATATGAGTTTTATGGTTTATTTATCAATTATTAATCAATAACAAATATATTTATTTGATTATTATTATATATATGACAATCGACTGTTTCGCAATTTTTCCATTGTATCGGCGTTTTTGCCTCTCTCTCTCTCTCTCATTGATACCAAACAAACCCATTGATAACAATCGGTGAAATTAATATACCAGAAAAAATACAATAATTACAAACAATCAAAAAAAAACTTACCTATTCAAAGTTATTCGGCGGATATTGATGGTGATTCGTGTCGAATCTTTCATCGATAAATATACAGTGATGATTTCATATATAAAAAATTCAAACTTTTTTTTCCAAAAAAAAGAAAAATCTCGAATTCAGTTATTTATTGCAATTATTTGATGATCTTGATCAAATTAAATATTAATAATGGCAATCTTTCATCACTGCCACCATCATTTTGATTCATTTTTTTTCAAATAAATTATTATTTTTTTTTTATTTATTAATGAACTAAGGCAAACAAGACACACTCAGAACAAACACAAACACAAAAAACACACATTATGATAATGAATTAAAATTGATCGGTGAGCAATCATCTTTTTTTTCAAAACAAACAAACAAAAAAACTTTCATTTTTTTCCAATACGGACAGACGACACACTTCCGGTTGTCAGCTGTTCATATTGATGTTTAGCGACAACAACGACGATGATGATGATAATCGTAATGATTCGTTTTCATTGTAAAACATGATTCTATAATTTATTGAATTTTTCGACAAATCGACAAATCAAATTTGATGATCGAATGTTTATCGAATAATGATAATTGTGTTCGATAATTTTTTGAGAAAAAACAAAAAATCTTTTTGTTGACAAATGTTCAAAAATAACTGTCGATCAAATGAATTCGAAAAAATTAATTTCAATTCATTCATAAATGTCGTCATCAATCAATTTATAAAAAATGATGATGATGATATGATGATGATTGATGGATATAATTGATACACGTGTTATAAAATTATTCAATTCATTCATTCACCATTTATGCATTGAATTTTTTTTTGTTGTCAATTTCTAATGTAATTCATTTTTACATTAATCATTTTTCATGCTAAAACAATGATGATGATGATGATGATGATGATGATGACCTAGAATAGGTTTGGTTTGATGATGATGATGATGATGATGAAAACAGAAAAAAACCGTCAAACTAAACATTCATGATTATATAATAATCACCATATTTAAAAATCATCACCATCAGAACTAGCATTTAGTCACTAAGAGAAAAAAAAATGGACAAGACGATGATGATGATGGTGGTGGTGGTGGTAGTATTGTTGATGTTTGTTGATGATGATGATGATGATGATGAGGATCAAAAAGACAAAATCACCGAAAAAACAACAACAGCAGCAAAAAAAAATATACCGAGTTGAGCTCAAAAGAACAAAAAAAAAAAAAACTCAAAGCCGAACTCGAACAATCCAGGAACGTGAGTACAACAACAACAACAACAACAACGTCGAACGACGACGACGACGACAACAACAACAACAACAACCAATAGCGATACGTCCTGGTTTTTATTCACATACAAATAAAAAGGATCTCCTTCATTTTTATCGTTTGAACTGAATTCTATCTCTTATCGTTTCGTTTCGTTTCGTTTTTGGTATATACATTATTTACTCGTTTTTTGTCGTTGTCGTCGTTTTTCAACCAACTTCTACTACCGTTTCATTTTTTTTTTTGTTTTACAATACACACACACACACACACATACATTATATATGGTATTCGCCCTAAAAAAAACTAAATTTCCTTATACCAAAAAATAACGCTAGGGTCACAGATAAATAAGAGTAGCATAATATTGTATACAATCAAATAATATTCTATGGCCACCGTTCCTGAAAAATCGTCTTGATTCTTTTGAGCTATATGCTGCTTTCTGTATATGAACAATACTCACCATTTTTTTTGTCTCCAACGGAAATTGTATTTTCCGTAACCCCCGCCCCTTCCCCCCAAAAAAACAAAATCTTTTACTATTTGAAATTGAATATGAATAGCTTGATTGGTCACGTTAATTGTGGCCATCATTTTCATACCAGTGGCTAGATTCTTTTTTTTCCCCTGAAATTCTGTATATATATTCTGTTATATACAAATTTCCAGTGAATAGATCAATAATAAATATTTTTACGAGAAAAAACCGTTACTTCAAAATTCTACTACTACTAGGTTTGTCGATTTGCTCACAGTCAATCGACCTAAATATATTCCAAATTCTAATGGTTATAGAAACAAACAACGATAGAATACAATGGCCCGATTTTATGGCTATAAATGAAACCACCATGTTTATTATATATAAAAATTACCTTCCACTTCCTTCACCATTTAATATCTATATAGATGGTCGTCTGTCTGATGAAAAGCTAGAATAAAAAGAGGGGTGATCTTTAGATTTTTTTTTTTTTTTTGGATTCTACCAGAATTGACATCCGTATTCATAGAGACCTCTTTTGATCATGATCCATACTATTTTGTATATGGTGAGGTTGGCGCATTTTTTATCATTCAAAAAAAATATTCATCACTATTTCAACCTATTTGGTTTGCGCTTGTGTTTATTTAATTTTTGGTTCGAATCATCATCTGATATATTGAATGTGATAAATACCGCGAGGTTTATAATATATTCGTTTTATAATAATGTTATTATCAACCCGTGGAACATTAAAAATTATTCGAGATGTATTGGGAAAATTCAATTTATATCAAGCTAGTCAAAAATGTTCAACTACAAATGTTTTATCATATGAAATAATTGAACCAAAATATCCAAAATCACATGTTACTCGATATTTTCCTCCAGATATTCTTTTACCTGATTATGCAAAACATGGCCAACCTAGTAAACATCGTAATTCAGTTTATGTTAAAGACCAAAAAGATATAGAAAAAATATGGAATTCTTGTAAAATTGCTAAAACTATACTAATGACAACCGGCGATCGTCTTAAAATTGGAATGACATGTGAAGATATTGATGACATTGTCTATGATCTTTGTCTTCAACATAAATGTTATCCATCACCATTGAATTATAGCCGATTTCCTAAATGTGTAACCACTTCTGTTAATAATATAGCTGTACATGGAATCCCTGATCAAAGACCATTACAACAAGGTGATATTATCTCCATTGATGTTTCCATCTATCATGATGGATTTCATGGAGATTGTTGTCACACTTTTGCCATTGGAGAATGTGATCAACAAGCTAAACATCTTGTAAGCAACTATTTCAATGCTTTTTTTGCAGATTTTAATTTATTTATTCCAATATAGATGAATGTTGCCGAATTATGTCTATACGAAGCGATCAAAATTTGCCGCGATGGTCAGCTAATATCTACCATTGGAAAAACAATCGAAAATATTGCACGAAAATATGAAATGGATGTTGTTCGAGAATTTTGTGGACATGGTGTTGGCCAAGATTTGCATGAAAATCCACAGATACTTCATTATGACCATGAATCGAATGAAATGATGGTCGAAAATATGGTGTTTACAATCGAACCAATCATATTGGAAACACCTGGCAATGTTGTTATGTTTGATGATGGATGGACTGTTGCCAGCGAAAATGATTGCAGATCAGCACAATTTGAACATACAATTTGGATTCGAAAACAGGATGCTGTTATATTGACTGAAATATAATTTTTTTTTTATAATAATAATAGGTTATTTATGTTATATCTATCTTATCATCATTGATTAAAAATACAAATTCTATGGAAACCAATGTCAAATTTTTAAGATATATTTTATTTTTTAAGTAAAGTGATGAGATTAATTATCGATTTTTTTTATCGATTTGATTATTTTTTTTCCTATTGATTGATTTTCATTTCGATAATTAAATCAGAATATTTAGCTTTTTCATTTTGTGGTTATTGTTTTAGGAATATTCGTAGAAATAATTACTTTATTATTCGAATGGAAAAAATTTTCCATATAAAACTTGTTGAAATTTGAAACTTTTTTGTTTCGCAGTTGAAAATATGGCTTCGAATATGGAATATTTTTTAGAATCGTTTGCGACAACGTCTTCATCGTCATCATCGTCATCATCGCCATCATCATCATCATCATCAACAGCAGCTAAACGGCGAGAAAATTCGAACCAAGATATGTTTCATTTCGACAACAATTTTCAGCATTAGCTATCCGTAATGTGACCATCAAACGACGACAATTTATTAAAACATTAATGGTTAGAGTTGGTCATATTAATAATAAATTACAATTAATAATAATAATAAGATTTTATTATTTTGATTATTTAGCAACTACTTTTTCCATTATTCATTCTAAGTAATATGTTTTTTCAACCACCAAGATTTCAAATAGTCACACAAATTGATGATCCAATCATTGATTCTAAACTTTATTTTCCTCCACTATTGTCCATTTATCGTACATGGTATATAATCAATAATAATGTATTCGACAGGCAAGGATTGGAAAAAATGATCAATACTATTGATAGAATTGCGGTTAGTATAATGGCATACATTTGAATAGAGACAATGAATCAATTTTTATAATCAATAATCAATTTATCCATATTTAGCCAATAATATTTCAACAGGCAATCACCTATAACACTACATTTCATTCTTATGAACAATTTGAAAAATTTCATGAACAACAATCATTACAGGAAAATTTTCTACTCATTTCATTTGATTCATATAAAAATCGAACTATTGAATATACGATAAGAATGGAAAAACGTTTTTTACCAATTCAACCAATCGGTGGTATAGGTAAGTATAATAGAATGTCTGATTTGTTTATACATTCGATAATAAATAATTATCTAGGTGATTGTGAAGATAAAGGCCTGACAGGAAAACCTGATTGTGAAGGATATAAATTCTATAGTTATGGATTCTGTACAATTCAAGCAATAATTGATACATCAATCACTAAATTCATGGATCGATCATATCGAAGTAATATTGTACCAAATGTTGAAATTGGTGTTTTTCCACAACCATTATCATTTAGTATGAGCAAATATCATATGAAAATGGTAATCAGCTTTATTACATTATCATTCATGCCATTTTTTTCTATTGTTCCGGTAACATTGGTACTTGAAAAAGAGAAACGTATTAAAGAAGCAATGCATTTAATGGGAATGAAAACATTACCATATTGGTTATCATGGACATTTGTTGAAGTTATGTTAAGTGTTTTACCATGTTTACTTACCACAGCTGTATTTGTTATGCTTGGTTTAACAATATTCATGAATCCATTATATTTTTATATAATGTTACAACTATATTCATTATCATTAATACTTATTGGATTTATCGTTAGTGTACCATTTCGGACAACAAAAGTGGCATCAATTGTTAGCTCATTAACTGGTTTCTCTATTCCATGGCTTTTTTATGGTTTAGAATTAATGGCAGTTCCATTCGAAATTGAACGATTGCTATCAATATTCTCTCCATTGGCATTTGCTTATACGATTAAATATTCAATGTTAACTATTGAAAATATTCCATGGTATTCATTCTCACAATATTCACTTGGTTTCGGTATCATTATGATCATAATCGATATTGGCCTTTATTTAGTGATACTAATATTAGCAGATGTTTTTCTTACAAACAAAGAAACATTTCTACTTAATTTTATTCGATTATTCAAAACACCGGTTCGAAGTGAAAAATTGAAAGAACAACAAAAAAAACAAGCACCAACAGTAGTGGATATTGAATCGATTGGTGATGATTTACAAGATAGTAATCTAATTCAAGTTAGGAATGTAACAAAAATTTATGATAAATCATCGATTGCCGTAAATGATTTATCATTGGATATATATGAATCACAGATTACAGCATTATTGGGTCAAAATGGAGCTGGAAAAACTACATTGATAAATATGATTGTTGGTTCAATGCAGCCATCATTTGGCCATATAAGTATCTGTAATCTTAATGTAAACAATGTTTTCAATCTTGCTGATCTTCGAACAAGATTTGGAATCTGCTTTCAAGAGGATATCATATTCGATGAATTGACACCATTGGAACATTTACGATTCTTTGGACGAATCAAAGGAGCTAGCGGTAATCGATTAGAACAGGAAATTCGATTCTTACTATCACAGACTGATTTAATGCCCAAAATGTATCATACTGCAGGTGTATTAAGCGGTGGCCAGAAACGAAAACTATGTACGGCTATTGCATTGGTGGGAGGTTCACAAATAATTGTTCTGGATGAACCAACCAGTGGTGTTGATCCATATTCACGAGAAAAAATGTGGGCATTATTGCGTTCATATAAAAAGAATCGTGTCATCATGCTTAGTACGCATACAATGTATGAAGCTGATGTATTGGCCGATAGAAAAGCTATCGTAGTGAAAGGTTCGATTCGATGTTGTGGTTCATCAATGTTTCTTAAGAATAAATTCGGTGTTGGTTATCATCTTCGTTTGGAAATTGAACCAAAACAAACGGATATTTCGGAAGTTGAAGCAATGATAAGTGAAAAAATATACAACTCAAAATTCGATCGTCAAACACAAAGTGAATTATTGTTTACATTACCAAAAAGTGAAACACAAAATTTTCCCAATTTATTCGAATCAATTGACAAAATGATCGATGATAATAAAGGTATTCTTGGTTATGGCATTAAATTAACAACATTGGAAGATGTTTTTCTGAAAATCTGCTATGAAAATGATGAAATACTAATGGAACAGATGAATGCCAATAAATCGAAAAATCAAAATTTGTTTGATTTTGAAGAAATTCATCAATTAAAATTTAAACAAAATGGTTTCCGAATAATGTGGGAATTTTTCCATATCAAATTGAAAACAATAACAAGAAATTGGCAATTTTTAATGTCGGTTACAATTCAAGCAATGGTAATCGTATGTTTTATGGTGTTTACTTCAAGTCGATTAATGCAACAAATGCCAACACGTACTGTACTTGATTCCAGTATTTATCCCGATCGATCAGTATTGTATTCAGGTCCTAACATTGAAAAAGAGCTGAAAATTCTATCCAATTGGTTTCGACCTGTCATACCTGTTGATAGTATGTTATTGACCACAATGTTGGGAAAACATTATGCCATCACATTGAATGATACAACTATTGATGATTTAAATTTTATTTTATTATTCAACAAATCCTATCAATATTCATTGCCCATTATACAGAATGCTTTGACCAACATGTTGATACATGGTGATCATTTAAATTATGAAGCACCGGAAAAATTTTTCCAAATTCGAACGGCAAGTTATCCATTGCCAGATAGAAGTAATACGCTTGAAGATGGATTAGATATGTTATTCATTGTTATGTTTGGTATGTCTCTTACTACTTTTCCGGTTAATTTAGCTGCCGAAACGATCAAAGAAAGAGATGTAAGTAAATAATGTAAGAATCAAATGAAATTTATTTATTGGAATTTTTTTTTTCATTACAAATCTCATAGGATAATATAAAAAGTTTTTTGGCTATAAACGGAATGAAAATCATACAATATTGGCTAGTCACTGCATTAGTTGATTCATTAACATTTGGAATGTTTGTGTTCGTCATAATGGCAGCTACATATTTTTATGTACCATTATCATTTTTTGTCAATCCATATGCATTTATATGTGGAATCATATTGATGTTACTATACATACCATGTTCAATAATGACCTGTTATGTTTTTTCACATTTATTCAACAAACGTGAAGTTGCACAAGCATTAATGTCAAATATATCGTCATTGATTGCCGGTTTTATGTACATAATGTCATATGTTATTCGTACATTGTTCAAATCAAACATTTCTTTTCGAATCAATTATTTTATTTGGCCATTTTATATACCGTTTGGTGCATTTCAAAGTTTATCATATGTATCGAAGGAACAAAAAACACAAGATTATCCAAGTTTAAAACCATATTTAATGTGGAATAATAATATTCTTCCAGCATATGTTGCTGTAAGAAGAAATGATAAAATGATTGGGAAAAATTATTGATTTTTTTCAACTCTTTTTTTGTTTTTACTTTTTTCTTATAGATGATTATCCATTTTTTAATCGGAATTGCATTGTTACCATATTTAGATCGAATGAAACGTGAACGAAGAACATGGCGATCGATATTGCTTTGTCGGAAAAGAAAAGATCCAAGAGATGAAGCATCTGTTGCAACCAATCCTGATGATGAAAGACAAATGGATGAAGATGTTTATGATGAAAAATCACGAGCCAAGCAGATAATTGCATCGAAATTTGAAGAAGAAAAACCCCTATTATTAATTCGTAATTTAACCAAAGACTTTAAAGTACAAACAGCAGTGAAACGTTTGAATCTAATAATTGAATCGGGACAAATTTTTGGATTACTTGGACCAAATGGTGCCGGTAAAACTACTGTCATGAAAATTATCGTTAGAGATGAATTGGAAACATCGGGAAAGCTTTATCTTGAAGGTGTACCATTCAAAGATCGTTTGTCATCCAATTTGATGGCTTATTGTCCACAGATTAATCCATTTTGGCCCAGAAATTACTTTAATGGAACATTTACGTTTGTATGCGGCTACACGTGGAATACCAGGCAATAGAATCGATGATATATGCAATAAATTAATCAGAGCATTTGGAATTAAAGAATATCAGAATCGAAAATTTAAAAAACTATCTGGTGGAAATAAACGAAAACTATGTTTATTGATATCGATTTTAGCTAATGTTAAATTAACTATGTTGGATGAACCATCCACCGGAATGGATCCAAGTTCAAAAAGATTAATGTGGAATTTAATAATCAAAAAATTCGATCCAAATGGTCCGAATAGTGCAATGTTGACCAGCCATTCAATGGAAGAAATTGAAGCACTATGCACTCGTTTGGCTATCATGGCAAAAGGAAGTCTTAAATGTTTAGGAAATATTCAACATTTGAATAACAAATATGGTAAAGGATATTTTCTGGAAATTAAATGGAAAAAAGGATTCGATTTTGGCCGTATACAATCGGAAATTATTTCTATATTTCCAGATATGCGAATAAATGAACAGAATCCTGAACTAATTAAATTGATTATACCACAAAAAAATGTTAAATCATTGGCCGATTTTTTCAGTACAATGGAAAAATTAGTAAAAGATAATCCTGAAATTGAAGAATATAATCTAAATCAATCATCGATTGAACAGTTATTTATTGAATTTGCTAAAATTCATGAATATATTAATTTGTGATTTTAATTTTTGAAAAATGAAATTTTTTTTCTTTGGCAAAATAAAATTCCAAATCTCTAATTTTGTTTTAGTATAAATAAAATAAAAATTTTGCAAGTTCTTGGACTTTTCGGATAGATGTCGCGTATGTATGCCATATTTATTCTCTTTTTTTTCGAAGCACATTGTGTTAATAAACACATCGTGATTGAAAATTCTGAAATTTTTTTTTGTTTATCAAAAAAAAAAAAAAAAATGGATATAACCAAGCATAATTTTGCACAAAATATCCATAAAATTGATGAACAAATTTCAAATTGTGATTTCATATCCATTGATTGTGAATTCAGTGGCCTGTTTCATAATCAACGTAGAAATAATGAGCTAGATAATTATGAACAAATTTATGTGACTACACGGCAAAATATAAATCAATTTCAAATTTTACAATTTGGACTTTCTTTATTTAAAAAAACAACAGATGAATATAATTTTGATTGTCATTCATATAATTTTTATATTTTTCCATCAAAATGTATATTTTTATCCGAAGATCAACGTGACCGTTGTTTTTTAAGCCAATCATCATCATTAACATTTCTGGTTGAAAATGGTTTCGATTTCAATAAAGTGATTCGTGATGGTATCACATACATTCCATTGAATCAATTAGCTACAGTTGAAACAAAAATCAAAGCAAAACTTGAAGAAAATCAAATGAAAACAAATTTTATTGAAATAGAAAAAGATGAGGATAAAAAATTCTTTCAAGAAATCAATGATAAATTGATAAAATTTATGAATAACAATGATCAACAGGAAGAAATATTACCACAATGTAATTCATATTATCGACGAATAATCTATGAAACTGTACGAAAATCATCATTCAATGATTCAATACAAATGTCAACAGGAAAAAACGAGAACAAAGGATCGATAATATTGAAAAAAGGTACACCAAAACCAAAAGATGAACAAGCTAAAGCATTAATGTTTGAAAATGTTGGATTCACATTGATCATAAAATCATTGATCAAACATCAGAAACCATTAATTGGCCATGGCATGTTTTTTGATTTGTTACACATCTACAATATATTCATTGAACCATTACCAGAAAAGTATGATGAATTCAAACAATCGATTAAAAGTTGTTTCAATAATGTTTATGATACGGCTCATATTTCAATGTGTCCAAGTTTGAAGAATTTTTCCACAAATTGGTAAGCAAATAATCACATCTTTCTAAAAACAAATTTAATTAATTAAATTACTCTTTTTTTATATTCCAAATGAAAGCATTAAAAAAAGTATTCGAAACTGTACAAAGTGAACCATTTCTTGAAACGGGATTCTTATTGAAAAATTCTCCATCCGAATATAGTAATGATAATTTTAATCGTTATCATGAAGCTGGATATGATTCCTTTATAACTGGTTGTTGTTTTGTGCAAATGATCCGTTATCTATGTGTCCAAGATAATTTATCATTAGAAGATTTTTTTAACAATAACAAAATATTGGATAAATTTAGGAATCAAATTTTTATTTATGGAAATTATGATATCAAATTCCTGAATCTTCAAGGCAACGATGAACCATTGAATCGAAATCACATTTTTCATATGAATTTTACAAAAACATTTACACGACATGATTTGAATTTAATATTTGCCGAATTTGGTGGATTGAATCGAATCGTTTTTCTGGATGAAGAATCTGCTTTTTGTATACTAAGAGATGAAGGTAAAACAGCCGAAGTTATTGAAGCACTTATTGTGAATCCTAAAGGATATAAATTCGGTTTTAAGATACAACATTATTCTGAATTTATGAAGCAGAAAACCACCAATACTGCACAAAAGCAACAACCGCTAGCCACTTCAATGAAACCTAAACATGAATCAACGCCTATGACATCCAAAGACTCATTGGATGAATGTGTAAAGAAAAAAATCAAATTATCAAATACTCCGATTAAATCCCCTAATGTTGTCAAGAAAAAGTCATCACAAATGGTTGACAAATTATTTGATGATAATATGTCCTGGACAACTGCCACTCATTAGTCATTGTTTTGAATTTATTCATGTGTGTATTTAATTAATTATGAATTTTTTGACCATTTTGTAAAACTATTTCAAGAAATTTTATTACTTTTCCCGTATAAACTTGTTCATGTATAAATCATGTCATATGAATGAATCGAGTTTTTTTTTTTTTTAAATTTTATGAAACGAAAAAATTGATGAAACATTCTTGATAATGGATGCTAACAATTCTGAAATGGGTGATAATTCTACACATGAAACTGCTGCTGCTGCTGCTGATGATGATGATGATAGTAGTGGAATTAAATTAGCATTAAAACAGATTCGTGTCATTAAACCATTTGCCGGAGTTTCTGAGCGTTATTATCAGAATATTATTCATCCAAAATGTAAAGATGGTCATAATTATGATCAAATTGTTTTACTTCATTCAAATCGGTTTGTTATATTATGTTTTTCCTTGTTACCACGAATTATTAATTCATTTGCAATTTATTAGTATTGCAGTCATATGTTTAGCACCATCACATGAGATAATTGTTTTGAAAAAATCAATCAAAAACATTGATTTTTGTGGTAAAAATAAAAATGTAAATAGACTTGATAATCAAGTTAAAGGAAAAGGAAAAAAGGTAAATTTTATTTTTTTATCAACCAATTAATCAATGTTCATTTTATGTTTTAGGGAGCTCAAATGGTTGGACCGGAATCGATTCTTTGTACGTTACATTGTCAAGATGAAACATCATATCCAATACGAGCATGTATGGGTGGAAAAATTATTGAAATCAATAAATGTCTGGTAGATGAACCATCGTTGATAATAGAAAAGGTGAATAAATAATCAGAAATTTATGAAAAAAATTAATTTTTTTTTTTTTGGTCAATAGCCTTTAACCGATGGATATATAGCAATTATTATGCCTCCATTAAAAAAATAAAGTCATTTTAAAATTTTTCCGATCTTTTCTCTAATTGTTCCAATTTTGTATGATTCTCTTGGATAAATTCATCACGTTTAGCTTTTAAACTTTCCAATCGATCATACATTTCTTTTAGTTTTCGAGGAATTTGATCAATATTGTCTAAAGCACATTGTTGACCATATTGTAGTTCATTTTTTTTGCCACAACGATATAGGTTTGAATCCAATTTCAAAGATATTTTTTCTAATCGTAATTTATCTCGTTGCAACTGTTTTTAAGAATTAACCAAAAAAAAAAAAAAAAAAATAATTAATTTCTTCATATATTTTTTTTCATTGACATTAATTTTTTTTTTATAACTTACATGCGCTTCAATTGAATCAACAGCATCCATGATGAATTTAAATTCAAAAATTTTTCAATAATTCAAACAAATTGTCAAACTGGCTAAAAACAGCGGTTATATTACGGCCTGTTTACACTAAAGTGGTATCTCACTCTACAAGAATATTCCACTATGGCCATCTATCGATTTGAATCGGTAATCAAATCGCCTTTGATGAGTTAGCAAAAAAAAAATCGAATGTATGTGGCCGTGTGTGAACATATTTATACCCCTATTATTCACATATCATTCGTATATGGTAAAAAAATTTCTTTCCCAAATAACAGGTTAGGCTAGGGTTAGATTAGGCTTAGGAACATGGTCTGAACTATTCCTATTGAATTTGATGCTGATTGAATCTTTGGAATCAATCCACTAAATAACATGATTATAAGTCGAAGATTCACGGGATGGAACGCATACTTGCAAATGATCATGGTAAGCAAATGAATAGATTAATTGAACAAACAACTAATATTTATCTTTACTTACTCTGAACAATTGGGAAATTGAATCTCGAACCACGGATAGAATTTGGACATTGTCTTGTAACATGGACCGCGAATATTGGACCTATTTCAAATGATCATGGTAAGCATAATGAATAGATTAATTGAACAAACAATTAATATTTATTTTTAATTGGATCGCCGGCGAACAATTGGGAAATTGAATCTCGAACCACGGATAGGTTGGACATTGTCTTGGAACATGGACCGCGATTATGGATTTATTTATGTCAAACGGGACAATTAACGTTGTATGGCGCAATTGGGGTGTGAAGCGTGATGTATTTTATTATTTCCAATTTTATTAAATTAATATTTCAATAAAATCAATTAAATTTCAATATATATGGATTAAATTAATATGGGGGTAAAGGGAATGAAAGGGGTCAAAATTGCTGCAACAATCGGTGAGCGACACCATCGATAATATTCGATATATGGCCAATCGGTCAGTCGGTGGTCACGAAATCGGTAATCGCGAAATTGCCGAGCTTAATAATTTATTATTCACTAATGACAATTAGTGATTGACCTTTTATTCATCATCATTTAATTAAAATATAATCGATTAACTCAAATACGTGTGTTTGTCGTGTCGTTTTCTTTTGACAATTGGCTTTGACACCCATCACCACTGCCACCATCACCACCATCATCATCATCATCATCATCATCGCCACCACCACCTGAAATAACTTTCGTATATAGTGGCGCGTATGTCATACAATTTTACAAAATCATTGGCTGCTGCTTCTTTCTTCTGCTTGCTCAAAGCTTCCACATCTCAATAAGAGGCCAATCGGTATTAGTCGGCGTTTCATATTACAATTCAAGCTTTCGTCGTTTTAATAATAATCATCAAAATCGTTTTATTGTATCGGTCTGTTTGATTGCCTTCTGTCTGTCTTTTATTTTCAACAATCTTGTCGGTGTTTTTTTCCCCACATCCATAGGATTTTTACATTTTTCTTCATTTCAATTCGTTTCATCAATCGAATTTTGGTCAAGATTATTGTATATCATCAATCAATCATATTTTTAAATTCTCACCAATCCATTTTTTTTAATCAATCAATTTGATTGAAATTGTTATTCCATCCGTATTTGTTTTGTGGGCAGGTGTTAGTCTACATTTGGACTGCATCTTGATTTTCCATAATTATTGATTTGGTCAACAGTAATAAAATAATACGATCCAAAAATGTCTCAAGCACTTCCGATCAAATTTCAAGAACACCTCCAGGTATAAAATTTTGAAATTTTTAAACATTTTTGCCCCAATAATTTCATTTTTGTTTTTTTCAATAGCTAACCCAGATTGGTATAAATCAATCGAGCATTAGTTTCAACATGCTCACCATGGAGAGTGATAAATTCATTTGTATTCGAGAAAAAGTTGGTGATTCATCACAAGTGGTAATTATCGATATGGCAAATCCAACAACGCCAATACGACGACCAATATCGGCTGATTCAGCCATCATGAATCCTTCAACAAAAGTTATTGCATTGAAAGCACAACGTACATTGCAAATATTTAATATCGAAATGAAATCGATGATGAAAGCACATACAATGCCCGAAGATGTTCTTTTCTGGAAATGGATTAATGTCAAAACAATCGCATTAGTTACTGAAACTGCAGTTCATCATTGGTCAATGGAAGGTGATTCCACTCCACAGAAAGCTTTCGATCGTCATGCCTCTTTGAATGGTTGTCAAATCATCAATTATCGTGCAGATCATCAAGCTAAATGGCTTGTTTTGATCGGTATTTCCGCACAGGTAAAATAAATACTTGATTAAATTCTTTTTGATTGAATTACCCTTTTGGAAATAGAGCAATCGTGTAACTGGAGCCATGCAACTTTATTCTGTTGCTCGAAAAGTTAGTCAACCAATTGAAGGACATGCTGCTGCTTTTACAACATTCAAAATGGAAGGCAATACGGAACTATCTAATTTGTTTTGTTTCGCCGCTCGTACAGCAGCCGGTGGGAAGGTAATAAAATTTTCATGATGATCAATGTCAGAGGAAATAACTAAATTTCAATTGCAATATGATGATATTGTAGCTTCATATAGTGGAAGTTGGCACAGCACCAACCGGCAGCAAACCATATCCTAAGAAGCAGGTCGATGTATTCTTTCCTCCGGAAGCTCAAAATGATTTTCCCATTGCCATGCAAATGTCACCTAAATATGATTTAATCTATTTGATCACTAAATATGGTTATATTCATTTGTATGATGTTGAATCCGGAACTTGTATCTACATGAATCGTATTAGCGCTGATACCATTTTTGTTACAGCTCCATATGAGCCAACCAGTGGAATCATTGGTGTTAATCGAAAAGGCCAGGTACGATTTATTTTTTAATGTACATAAATTGTGACTAATTTTTGATTTATAGGTTCTTTCTGTTAGTATCGATGAGAATAACCTGATTCCATACATAAATAATACATTGCAAAATTCAGAATTGGCATTGCGTATATCTTCACGAAACAATCTTGCTGGAGCTGATGACTTGTTCATCAAAAAATTCAATAATCTTTTTTCGACTGGCCAATATATCGAAGCGGCTAAAGTTGCAGCGACTGCACCGCAAGGCATTCTTCGTACCTATGAAACAATTCAACGTTTTCAACAAACACCAGCGCAACCCAATCAATCATCACCATTACTTCATTATTTTGGCATCCTTTTAGATCAAGGCAAATTGAATAGATATGAATCATTGGAATTATGCCGACCAGTTCTTCAACAACAGCGTAAACAATTGTTGGAAAAATGGCTCAAAGATGATAAACTTGAATGTAGCGAAGAATTGGGCGATTTAGTTAAACCGGTTGATCCAACATTGGCTTTATCCGTTTATCTGCGTGCAAACGTTCCGGTGAAAGTTGTACAATCATTCGCAGAAACTGGTCAATTCAAAAAAATATTTTTGTATGCCAAAAAAGTTGGATTCCAGCCTGATTATCTTAGTTTACTTCGTCACATTATTCGTTCCAATCAGGATAAGGCAACGGAATTTGCACAAGCAATTGTTTCGGAAGAAGAAAATCTTTGTGACATTAATCAAATGATTGATGCCTTTATGGAAGCCAATCTTGTCCAACAATGTACCGCCTTTCTGTTGGACGCTCTCAAAAATAATCGTGAAGAAGAAGGACCATTGCAGACTCGTTGTTTGGAAATGAATTTGGTTACTGCCCCACAAGTGGCTGACGCCATCCTCGCCAACAAAATGTTCAGCTATTATAATCGTCCTTTGGTTGCCCAGCTCTGTGAAAAGGCTGGTTTATATCAACGAGCATTGGAAAATTATACCGATCTATATGACATCAAACGAGCAATTGTGCACACACATCTTTTGAATCAAGATTGGTTGGTCAACTATTTTGGCACATTATCGGTTGAGGATTCGTTGGAATGCCTTCGAGCAATGCTTACTAGTAACATTCGACAAAACTTACAGATTTGTGTACAAGTGGCTGGCAAATATCATGAACAGCTTACAACCACTGCTTTGATTGAATTGTTCGAATCATTCAAAAGTTACGAAGGTTTATTCTATTTTCTCGGATCAATCGTCAACTTTAATCAAGATGCCGATGTTCATTTTAAATATATTCAGGCTGCTTGCAAGACCGGTCAAATCAAAGAAGTGGAACGTATATGCCGTGAAAGTAATTGTTACAATCCTGAACGTGTAAAGAATTTCCTGAAAGAAGCCAAATTAACTGATCAATTGCCATTGATTATTGTTTGCGATCGCTTTGATTTCGTTCATGATCTAGTGCTTTATCTATATCGTAATAATTTGCACAAATATATCGAAATCTATGTGCAAAAAGTGAACCCCTCACGTTTGCCAGTTGTTGTACGAGGATTATTGGATGTCGATTGTTCGGAAGATGTTATTAAACAATTGATTATGGCTGTCAAAGGACAATTTTCTACAGATGAACTTGTCGAAGAGGTGGAAAAACGTAATCGCCTCAAATTGTTATTACCTTGGCTTGAAACTCGCATCCATGAAGGTTGCCAAGAACCAGAAACACATAATGCCTTGGCTAAAATCTACATTGATTCAAATAATAATCCGGAACGTTTCTTGAAAGAGAATCAATTTTATGATAGTCGAGTTGTTGGAAAGTATTGCGAAAAACGTGATCCACATTTGGCATTCATCGCTTATGAACGTGGACAATGTGACAAAGAGCTCATTCGAGTTTGTAATGAAAATTCTTTGTTTAAAAATGAAGCTCGCTATCTGGTTAAACGACGTGATCCAGATCTTTGGGCTGATGTTTTACAAGAATCCAATCCATATCGACGACAACTCATTGATCAGGTTTGTTGTTCATAATTGTTTCGTACTTGATAACTAAATTTTTTTTTATTCAAGGTGGTCCAAACTGCCCTTTCTGAAACCCAAGATCCAGAAGATATATCAGTCACAGTGAAAGCTTTCATGGCAGCCAATTTGCCCAACGAATTAATCGAACTCTTGGAAAAGATTGTATTGGACAATTCGGTATTCTCGGATCATCGTAATCTGCAAAACTTGTTAATATTAACGGCCATCAAAGCTGATCATAGCCGTGTAATGGAATACATAAATCGTTTGGATAATTATGATGCACCAGATATTGCTAACATTGCAATAAGCTCGGAATTGTATGAAGAAGCGTTTGCTATATTCAAAAAATTCGAAGTAAACACTTCAGCCATTCAAGTGTTGATTGAACATATTAAGAATCTGGATCGATCCTATGAATTCGCTGAACGTTGTAATGAACCGGCTGTTTGGAGTTTGTTGGCTAAAGCCCAATTACAAGAAAATATGGTGAAAGAAGCAATTGATTCGTACATCAAAGCAGGCGATCAGGTCAACTTTATGGATGTTGTCACTACCGCTCATCGAACTAACAGTTGGGAAGACTTGGTTCGTTATTTGCAAATGGCCCGTAAGAAGAGTCGGGAACCTTATATTGAATCAGAATTGATCTATGCTTATGCCAAGACAAACAGGTTGACTGATTTGGAAGAATTCATTTCTAGCCCGAATAATGCAGATATCTCAAAAATCGGAGATCGTTGTTTCGAAGATAAACTATATGAACCTGCTCGTATTCTTTATGATAATGTTGCTAATTATGGAAAATTGGCTATCACATTGGTTCATTTGCAACAATTCCAAGGTGCTGTCGATTCGGCTCGTAAAGCCAATTCAACTCGTACCTGGAAAGAAGTTTGCTTTGCTTGTGTCGATCACAATGAATTCCGTTTGGCCCAGATGTGTGGCCTACACATTGTAGTCCATGCCGATGAACTTGAAGATTTGATCAATTATTATCAAAGCCGTGGATATTTTGAGGAATTGATTTCCATGCTTGAAGCTGCTTTAGGTAGGCGTTATGTTTTTCATAATTAAATGTTACTAATCTATGTTCTTAGGATTGGAACGTGCTCATATGGGTATGTTTACTGAGTTGGCCATTCTTTATTCCAAGTATAAGCCGGCTAAGATGCGTGAACATCTTGAATTGTTTTGGAGCCGAGTTAACATTCCAAAAGTTCTTCGTGCCGCTGAATCGGCTCATTTGTGGTCAGAATTAGTATTCCTTTATGATAAATATGAAGAATATGATAACGCTATTATAACAATGATGAATCATCCAACGGAAGCATGGCGAGAAGGCCATTTCAAAGATATGATCACTAAAGTGGCCAATGTAGAACTCTATTATCGTGCTATACAGTTCTATTTGGATTTCAAACCTCTACTTTTGAATGATCTTTTGCTTGTCCTAGCACCACGAATTGATCATACACGATCAGTGAATTTCTTCACCAAGGTAATGTTTGCCATCTAATAGCAACTTTATTTTCTTCAAATTTAGTTTGTTAATGTTTTTATAAATTTCAGACAAATCATCTACCATTGGTGAAAAATTACCTTCGATCTGTACAAAGTTTGAATAATAAAGCAATCAATGAAGCATTGAATGATTTGTTCATTGAACAAGAGGATTATCAAGCATTACGTACATCGATCGATGCCTTTGACAACTTCGATACAATCGCTTTGGCACAACGTTTGGAGAAACATGAGCTGATTGAATTCCGACGTATTGCTGCTTATTTGTATAAAAGTAACAATCGATGGAAACAATCGGTCGAATTATGCAAAAAGGATGGTCTCTACAAAGATGCTATGGAATATGCAGCCGAATCAAAACAAGCCGAAGTGGCCGAAGATCTTTTGCTTTGGTTTTTGGAACGAAAAAATCATGCTTGTTTTTCAGCTATGCTCTATCAATGCTATGATCTGGTTCGTCCTGATGTCGTATTGGAATTAGCCTGGAGACACAACATCATGGAATATGCAATGCCCTATTTGATACAGATACTTCGTGAATACACAACTAAAACTGATGAATTGAAGGAAACTGTTGACACTAAATTAGAGGAATCTGTTCAAAACGAGCAAAAACAATCATCCATCGTTTATACACAAGATCAATTGATGTTGACCGCTCCACCCGGAATGATTGGATCAGCACCAACAATGTCAGGATTTCCACCACAGCCGCCACCCGGTCAACAATTCTTTCCAAGTTATGGAATGTAAAACATCTTTAATAAAAATTCATAAACATTAATTTATCACTTATGATTATTAATAAATGATTCTTATATTATTCCCATAATTCCAATTATTATTTGAAAAAAGACATTCGATTAAAAATAAAAATGTTGACATTGATTGTCATTTCAATGATTTTTATCTATTTTTTGCATTTTTATTTTATTTTTTTTATTTATTTGTTCATTATGTAGAAAAACAGAGGAAAAATTAAAATGAAATGGAATTGTGTAAAAGTAAAATTTTGAAAAATAGTTGAATCATAGTTATTTTCACTATTAACAGATAGCAGCACTTTTATAAATTAAAATCAAATAATACCATTTATCAATTATTAAATGATTGAAAACTGTTTTCAAATAGAAAATTACAAATTCACAATGATCAATTCTTTATTTAAAGTTCATTGAAAATAAACTATTAACATCAGGTTGTACAACAACCAAATAATGATAATATATATTCGAATGATATGAACTGGATGTTCTTGGCTTATATGATATATTTATCAAAGAAAATCGCGATTTTATATTAACAATAATTTTTATTTCCATATTTTTTTCTCAATTCAGCCAATGTCGATGTATAGATTTGATGATTGTATTTGATATAGACTAAACGTTTTTGATCATCTTTTGGATGATATCGTTTGATACCGGGTGCATGGACAAGGAATGCATTGTCCAGAATCAATAGATCATAGTTCATCAAACACATTTGATACATCTGTCAAAAAACAAATCACTCATTTATAGCGAGAGACAAAATTATATGGGAATAAATACCTGAGACATTTTATCACGTTTTCCTTCCCACGTTAACCTTTCATCATAAAATGGTTCATCATTGGTGCCAATATAAAGCGGTTCCCATTGATTGCGATCATGTGTACGTTTGGTTACACGAAAAATATTCATCGTATTATTCTTTGGAATATCGTTGATCCAGATATTTCGATCTGGAAAATTTTGGCATTCATCACAAACATAACGATGAAAGAATATAGCATCCTCTATTATAAAGCAAATATCAAATTGAATCAATAAGAATGAAGAAAAAATCAAAGAGAATAGTCTTACTTGATTTGAATAGTTTGGATAATTCTTGTTTCGTTTTTGGTGGTTGTTTGGTAGCTTTCACTTCGAATATGGGTAACACATAAACATGAGAAAATTTAACATTGATCACAGGTACAAGTCCTTTTTGTTCACGGTCAAGTAAATCAAAAAATGCAGGAATAATGCCTATGTTTGGATATAGTTCAATATCTGAGGCAAGTAAATATTTGGATTTTGATGATGAACGAGCAACATTACGAAGAACGTTTATTGGATACGGAAGAGATTTGTTTGACCGAAAATCCGTATCAATTTTCAACATTTTCATTGTTTCATCCAATGATTTACTACAATCGAATTTATTAGTTTTTAGAAAACTAGTTGGACCGGACATTTTGGCACTTGGTGGAAAGGCAATATCATAGACAAAATGCCAGAATACACGTTTGGCAACACATTCATGGGCACATTGGCGTAGATAATAGATCATATTAACCGATAATCGAAAATCATCTCCAGGCGCATATACAGCCAATGAAATGGGACCATCCCAACGTGAACATAAATGTTCGGTATGATGTAAAAATCCGGGTCCTCCTTGTGTAGACAATGTTATCGTTCGACTATAATCAATGAGTCCATTTCCAATAATATAATTTTTAAGCGCTTGATATTTGCCTCTAGTTTCCGTTGTCCAGGAAGATGGCTCGAGATTAATATTATCAGGAACTATTAATTGTGAATAATTTTTTTTAATATGAGAATTATGGTCCATTATTTGTTTGATAACATCTTTGTTAAGTAAATCATCTAATGATTCTTTGGGTAAATCTTTTCTATTATTATCTTTGGCTTCACTCATAATGTCATTGGCTTTATCATTTTTACCATCAGTAAATGAATCCAAATCCATATGGATAATACTATTCTGTTCATCGGGTTTGGCTCCCAACATTTCAATTTTTAATTTATCATTTTCATCAATGATTTTTTCATCTTCTTCCACCCGTTTATAACTAGCATCAGCATTATTTTGGCCAACATCTTGAATTTGAACAGGTCGATTATTTGAATCGAAAACTTTATCAACTGATTGATCATTCGATTTTATATTCTTATCATTCGTCATGACGATCGTATTATCTGGATTCTCTTGCCGAGATTGTTGTTGTGGTTCGACAATTTTATCCACTTTTTTATTGATTATTTTGGCATCGTTAATTTGATGGTTTTCATCTATACCATCCTAAGATTAAATTCCATTTCATTATAAAGTTAATAATAAACATTTCAAATAATATAATATTTACTTTTATCATAACTTTTGTTGGCTTATCGTTGTTTTGGCTATCATGTGGATATTCGACATATCGTCGATAGTTAGTGGACAGGAATAGTAGATAAAGACCAAGTAGAATGTTGAATATGATCAATATTTTTAATATATAATGTGAATCAAGACGAAAATTCCGTAGATAACGCCATTTGAACATTGTGTTATATATTAATAATAACAAAACTAAACTACAATGAAGAATAAAATGGAATGAAGAAAAAATTTGTCAACTTTTCATTACATTAATAATAATGTTTTTTTAATTTTTAAATTTTGGTTTATATTTGTGCGCGCTCTCTCAAACAAAAAAAAATATTTGACACTTTAAAAACATACACATCAGACATTCATCATCAACAGGTAATATCTTAGTAATTACGTATCAGCGCATCATCATTCTTTTCTCATCATTATTATTGTCATGACAGATTACAGATGGCAAAAATTTATGATGTGACAAAGAAAATCAACAACGAGTAAACTTTGCATCAAGTATTGCCATCTTTTGATCATCACTGTAAACAATGCAAAAAATTTTTTTTTTACAAATTATAATAATTCTATAATTCATAAGTTTGTGTATGTTGATATCCTAATGTCTCTAATGGCAACATTATTCATAAGGATTCTAGTTCGAATTAATTAACATTGTAGACTTGATGTCAAAAAGTTAATGGACAAGGAAAAAGGACAACATTTTTGTAACGATCAAAGATCATCATTCGTAAAAAAAAATCTATTCGAAACATATCGTTGATGCTGCTGAATGAAATGTTGAAATGAAACTAGTTTTACCTGTAACTACTAATCATTGTCCAATATAAGTCATTCAAATCATGATCATGCATCGATTTGTATTCATTAAATCAATTTGTTACGGATATTTTCTTTCAAAATTATCGGTTACACTTGTCCATTTATTTTATATATATCGGTTACACTTGCCCATTTATTTTATATATGTAAGTGGACACGATTTATATTATGGCCATTCCATAATAATGATTGAAAAATGGCGATAACACTAAAACATTGATGGATCAAAAACGACAAGTGAATAACAATGAATGACCAATGGAAATCATTTGGCAACTTTTGTTTGGTCTGAAAAAAATTTGTGTTCAAATTGAATATATTATTATTGTTTATATATTGAGTGTGAATTGGATTTAGATTTTCTTTTTCGTTCTCTCATTGTTTCGAAATATATATAACGTTTTATTATTTATTATTATGAATATTGTATGTAGATACATCATATATGATGATGAGATTGTTGTGGATTGAACATCAGTTCATTTTTTCATTAACATTCATTTTGTTTCGGTATGTGTGTTTGGAATGTGTATTTGAAATGATCGATATATTACAACTTTTCATCATCTTAATTCACATATATTTTTTTTTTTACTTTCTCTCTTTTGCTCTCAAACTATATATCTCTCTATAATCGTAAATCACACACAGCATGATCATTATGAACTTATGAGAAAAAAAAACTTGAATCATACATTCATCGAAAAAAGTGTTTGATACGCGTTTTAGTTAGTAATATTTACATTTGATTGATTTTATTATGTTCGATTTGAATCGTTGATAAATATTAAGATGAATATTATGAATGACAATAATAATACGGGTAAGTGATTGACAATGTTAACATTCCTCATTTATTCTTGATTATATGAATCATAGATTTGGTCATACGCAAGAGAATTATTAATCATCGTAATAAACAGATTGAAACACGAATTAAACGACAAATTATCATTGAAGATGGTGTTATGATATCGGATAGTGGTCCACAAGTGACAACAAAAACAATTGAAGATACACGACAAGAACTTGAAGAATTCGATAAAGATGGTCGTCAAACTTATTTTGCATTCGATGATGATCACATTGAAAATAATGTTGATGATAAAGTTGTCATTGATGATGATAAAGTTGTCATAACATGCAATCAACCAACGTCAAGCAAAACGTAAATTTTTGTTGTTCAAATTGCTGTTAAAAACAAAAAATTGAATAAAATTTATTTTACCATAGATATCTGTTTGGCTATAATGATGAAATGATGATGACGAAAACAAATAAAAAGCTAGATATTCCAAAATATTATTATGGATTAAATCCTTCAAAGGTAATTATTGTCATAAATTTGATGATGATAATAAAAACGCACAATAATTACAACCATTATAATTTTTATATATCTTTTTTTTAATCATAAAAGTAGAATTAGAAAGCTATTGATAATCCTGAAAATATTACGATTAACAAATCAAATGGAAACCATTGGAAAGATATTTTTGATTCAATGAAATCTAAAATGATGAACGATAAATTTATTGAAAAAGATTACAAATATGCATATGAAATAAGTAATTTTAGTCGACATAATCAAATGAATGAATTAAATAAATTTAGCGGTAAACGTTTACAATTATGGCCATTATAAATAAACATATTTTTGATTATATTGATTATTAAAAAATCGTTCAATTTTCATTGATTATATATATTATTATTAATATTCAAAATATGGAATATTCAAGATTATCATGAATTGTTGAATTTTGATGAAAATATTCAATCATTTCATCGATCGTTGATTGTTCGGATGATGGTAGATCAACACTTTGTACGGCAAATCTAGAGCAAGCATCACGAGCAAATCGATATGCATATTCCATTGGTGCCGGTATAGTGCTACAACCAAAATAATTATAATAATAATGACACATTGTGAAGCAAATATCCTGTAGTTGTTCCAAAGTGAAATTACAATCATCCAAAAAAATTGTATAAAGACTTGGTTTCAAATATTGTTGGTTTTGCTAGATAAAAAAAAATTTAAAGAATAAGATAAAAAAGATTATCAGGATTGATTATTGAATATGAATAATAAACCTTTATTACCTCTTGTTCTATATCGAATGTTGGTGATTTAATATTGATAATGAATTCTTTCAATAGATTATCATTTAAATTAGGATATAAAAAATTCATATTAACACTGGTTCCATTGTGGTTGCTGATTTCTTCGTTCAAACATGATGATGAACTAGTCATTGTTGATGGCATAAAATGTGATGATGTAAATTTATCCACATAAATGACTGTTAATTTAACATTATTCAATGATTTTGATGTAAGAACTTTTTTAAAATCTCCCATTGGAAATTTTTGGAATATAATTATTGTTGTTGGAAAATAATCATTTCTTTTTTGATATTCATCCAATAAATTAGCGAACATTGATTCATAAACACTATCGTCGAGTTTTCGAAAAATTCGTATTTCCGATATATATCGAATAAATATATCGTCAACAGTACCAACAAATGAAATGAAATTTAATTTTATTCGCTGGAAAGTTTTGACAAAATCATCGATTCCTACGATCATCGTTGTATCAGGATCGAATGGAAAACGATTCCAATGATATGGATGTACAATATTTGGTTGGCCACCGATTTTCATACATATTTTCATTATTAAAGTGTCCATATAACGATTATTTGGATACAAATTATCGGTGCAAAAAACTTGATTAACGATACCGTAAACTGTATTACCATAGTATTTGATTAATTCATAAATTTCAAAATTATCAAGTTTACTTCCTATAAATAAAAGTATTTTATGAATGTGTGTAAGAATTAAAAATAAATCTTAAAATAACAAAAACATCACATACCACGACAAATGCCGAAAAGTGCAAAGTCAATTGTCATTTTTTGTTTCATATCAGAAATGATATCCCTAATATCAGTTGCATTTTTCACTTGAATAAAAGAGGAATCAGGACAACTTTTCAGATTAATGCCATAGAATTTAGCTCGTTCATAGAATAAGAATTTAAATTGATCCATTTTCAATGCATTAAAATTCTCATCGAATATGTATAAAACCCAGTCCATTGATTTCGGTGGTATCATATAGAATGGTTTATGTTCATCATTTTCTGGCAATAATTTTGGTTTTGACAATTTATAACCAGTCGTTTTTAATGGTGTTGATGATAAACGTATGCCGTAATCGGATAAACATTCAGATATTTCTTTTGAACATTGGATTATGCATTTAAAATAGCTTTTCAAATCGATATTTGATTTTTTAATAAATAGATCACGAACACGTGGCAAATTATATACATTGATAACGTTACCACGATAGTTGGATGCAATCACCGATCTTGTTATATTCATCAAAAGCATATTCCTCATCATCATAATATTTAGTCGAAATCCGACACAAATCGATTGCACTGGATATTCATTTAGATTGATTCTTTCAATACAAAACAATGAAGTAATCTTTTTACGTTTTTGTGTATAACGAAATTCGATAATTTTTTTCATATCAATATCACTTGATTCAAATGATTTAAATGTAACAATTTTGTTCAAAATTAAACGATAATTATTATGTCTAAATTCAATTTGTTTATCATAAAGTTGTTGAATCATATTATTATTAGGTATATAGATGAAACCATTTTCATAGAAACAACCGTAGAACAAATTTAAAAATTTCTGCTGAATTCGTTGATTAATTTACTCAATTCAATGTCACTTATCTTAGGTAAGACCCAGTATTCAAATTTATGAATAGGAATATTTACAAATGATATTGGAAAATAATTAGTTTCCAAATCCATGATGAAATGATGCAATGATTTGAATTACATCAGAATCACGCTGAGTTTCAATATTCACACTCCAATTTCAACAGCATGACGGATATGATGATGAAAATAGAAAAAAGTGATTGTCGATTTAAGAGGAATCTAGCGGATAAAATTGACACACGCGCACACACATACACACACAATTCAATGAATATAAGCACCAAAATGAAATTTAGATTTATTCAAATACGAAAAGATTTCATCACATTTATCATGATTGAATGAAAATTTTTAAATTAGAAGAGAAATATCACTATTCATCTACAGAATATTCTAGATTATCATGAACTCGGACCATTTGTGAAAAATTGTCGATAATTTCTTCGATGGAATCAACTTTATTAATTTCATTACGTCCAATGCATCTTCTTGCTGCTTTTTTTGCAAATTGATGAGCCAATTCCAACGGAAACGGCGCATCATTGATGTAGAAATTTTCAAAATAAAAATGGCACATTGAATAACAAAGGTGTTTGATGTGATCTTCAGGCATTTTAGAATCATCAATGATAATCTTGTATTTTATCGATTTGTATCGCTATATGAAAATGTGATTAATTTATAACTAGATCAGCTTTGTTTTTTTTCTAACTTACTTTTGCTTCTGCTCCAATCTCAGCGGAAATAACAAATTCTTTTTCCAAACGATTTAAATGTTGGAAGTCAAGATTGACACTAGTACCGATCGGTACTTTTTCACCATTATTTTTAAATAAACGTATGGGGGAATTTTTATCAATCAAAAGGCTTGTTACCTTAACTTTTTTATTAATTGATTCGGCCACAGATTTCAAATCAATGTATTTTTTTTCATGAAAAACGATAATATTTTCGGGGTATATGTCATGTTCTTTATGATATTCTTTCAATAAATTCTGGAATATTTCTTTATAGAGTTTTTTGTCGTTTGGCTTTACTGAAACACGTTCGATAGAGATGTTTTGACAAAAATTAGCATCCATTGATGCTACAATTGAATGAGAGAAAAGGTTTTTTCCAATATTATCGAGCTTGAATTGGTAATACGATACTCCAACCATCATGGTTGATTCGGGATCGAATGAAAAAGCGTTCCAATATCTTGGGTCGATTATATTTGGCTGACCGCCTAATTTCAAACAAGATTTAATTGCAAGACTGTTGAAGAATTCTGGCATGGTATCATTCAAGAGAAAGTTTTCGGTTAGAAAAACTTGAGTAACTACTCCATGGCAGCTAGTTGCATAAGATTTGACCTTTTCAAAGATATAATCCATTCTAGAATCTGAATAATAAGAATCAAAAATGAGTTGATAATTATTAAAATTGTTTTGTATATAGATTAAAATAACATACGAGCAGAAAGTCCGATAAGAACAAAATTTATGTCTCGAATATTCAAATTTTGAAAAACCGTATCGATTTCCGAAGCATTTTGAACGTCCACTAATTGAGTTTCGAAGCGTTTTTCTAAATTGATTCCAAAAAATTTTGTTTTCTCTATGAACTTTGTTTCGAATTCTTTCATTTTTTCCGAATCGAATGGAACGAAGGATAAAATGGCCATATTAATCGTTCCAGACGGTTTAATGTAGAATGGCTTATTCGGGCTGTCAGGAATCATTTTTGGGTGACAAAGTATTGACCCATTTGTTTCGAGCGGTTTAGGGTCAATTTTAATTCCAAATGAATCCGCACATTCGGCTATCTCTTTACGACATTCATTGATGAATTCGTATTCCTCCTCCGGACTACAATTTAACTCTTTAGAGAATGCTTTGTTAGCTTCTTCAGGCAATTCAAAGGGTCTAAGTGAAGCTTGAGTTTTTCCATCGTATATTATTGTTTGTTTTGATACTATAATTAGTGATTCAGGCATTTCAGTGATTGATATTCGAAATCCAGCAATAATTGAAATTCCATCTTCTGGAAATGGATATTCCTTTTGGATGAAAATATCTGTGTTGGTAATTTTTTTGTTCTTCAATATAAGAAAATGAAAAAATTTTTCCAAATTCAATCCGGCCTCATTTAATGAATAGAATTTACCAGAATTTTTTAAGCTTATTATATAACGATTATTGAAATTGACAATATTATTTCTTCGAATTTGATTCGGGAAAATTGATCTACGTGAATAGATAAAACCATCTTCATAATAGCATCCAAAAAAGGTTGGTGAATTCTGCTTCATGTATTGCATAATAATTTTAAAAGAGACTTCTTCACGATTAATAGGAGGTGTGATTTGAACATCATATTTGTAGATTACGATTGGTGAAAAATGCAATGGAAAATAATTTAATTTCACGGTAAATGTTGATTCAATGCCATTATTATTATCTTCTGATTTATTCATTTTGTTCAACGTGTTATAAGACGACGATGATGATGATGGTGATGATGCAATAGCACATCAACATATATTGCATTGGTTTTTCTATCCCATCAGGACCATTCATATATAAAATAGAAAAAACCAACTCATTAAAACTTTTTTATCAGGAATCAATAATCTTTATTGATAATGTTGATATTGTTATGTAATATTGTATCGTTAGGTGTGGTTGTCGTGTATGTTTGTGTGTGTGTTTATATGTGTTTATGCTAACAAGTGTTTTCAATCAATGAATGACCAATTCTCTTGTTGTCCACAGGAAGCTTACATTTTCACATAGGACTTGAGTGAGTTGATCGCCGAATTCCAATTCAACTATAACATTGAGCGAATTGAAAAAAAAGAATGTGTCATATATTGAATGTGTGTGTGAATAATAAAAAAAAAAATTATACAACAAAAAAATCTTTAATGTGTTTACAAGAATTAAATTTCTCTCTCTCTCTCACACACACACACACACACCCTTACATACATATATATCACTTGCACACGGTTGAGATCTCTTCTTAGGAGTCCATATACATCCGTTTCTTTGATTGAGAATTCTTACATCAATCCACACACACACACACACACACACACACACACATACATACACACACCAACACACAGGACCAGAAGAGATCACAGGAGGTTTGAAGGTTTGAAAAAAAAATTATTTCATTCATTCATTATATATACCTAAATGTGTAACAAATAAATTAGGAAAATGAAAAAAAAATAACCAACATTGATGATGAAAATAATCAGTGAAGAATCTCGAGACGAGATTCACATTCACTATTCAAAGCCATCATCATCATCATTTTGGAGAATAAATTGAATTTTTTGTTTTGTTTTTTTTTTAATTATCACATTTGTTTCTGTTAATTGGATTAGATTTGAGAATTTTAATCACACACATACTCTCACTCACTCTCTCTTCTCTCTCTCTCTCTCACACACACACACATCACTCTCATTCTGTCAATCTGGCACAATGATTAAAGAATTTTTTGAATTCTGTTTTTTTTATATGCAAAAAAAATTGGCAGCTTTCATATCATTATTTGAAATTTTTTTTTATGGTAATATATCACACTCACTCACACTCACACACAAGCACACAAACATACAGATAAATCTCACATACAATTTATATTCTAATTATCTCTCTCTCTCTCTCTCTCACTCTCACACTAACACTCACACAATTATACATACCTTTATTAATTCATCGTTTATGAATTAACAAAGGTATGATTAAAATTTAAATGTGGTGTAATTAATTATGTGGGAGGGGGTGTTGTAATTTCAATGTCATTGTTTTTCTGTTATTGTTGTTGTTGTTGTTTCATCAGTATTCATCAAATGTATGCCTGTATATATATGTGTGTGTGTGTGCATGTTTAAATTGTATTAATTAATTTTTGTATAAATGTTTATAACAATTTCTTTGTAAATGTTTCATGTATTTTGATAGATTTTATAATCAATTCACTTGTATCATATTGTTGTAATCAAACTTTTTTTTTTTTTTGACAATGTTGATTGATGAGATTTTTTCTTTCATTATTGCCATCAATGATGTTGTTTCATTGTTGTTAAAAGACAGATAAATTTTGTTGCCAACATGCAGTATGATTGATTATTAATATAAGGATATGGATTGAGATATTTATTCGGAATTGATCGATCAAATGTCATAATTTCATCATTCTGTGGCAAAAAAATAAGAAATGAATAATTTTTGTAAATAAATTATTCTGAAACATTTTTGTTAACATAATCATGATCAAAATGTTTCATTTGTAAAACATGTGGTATCATTGTCGTTTTGGTGGACGAAACATTTTCATTATCGACATTAATTATTCCATTACTATACATTGGTAAAGAAATAGGAATGCAACAATTGGTTACCCATTTTTATTGCCCACTTATGAGAATGTCAATTATGACAAACACATAAGAGTACTTATTGTTTATAAAAAAATGATGATTGATTTATATATGTAAAACTTACCAGGAAGCGGTAGCTGTATTATGTTGAATCTGAGCATTTCCAAACATTTGCTGTTCCGTTGGATTCAATGTTTGTTGGCCACTTTGTTGTAAAGTTGTTAATTGTGATTTGACACGTTTAATTTCACGCAAAGCAAAGGCAATGGTGCTACGAACTTTATTCGATTTTGAACGTTTACCACGAGCAAGCATTTGCTGTACTTGAGGCAATTCACATAATGTTAACATATCGGCACCAAATACATTGGCTAAATCGCCAATTAAACCGGCAGCCGATGATATAATGCTATCAGGTAATTCTTCCCATCGACTTGCAAGTGTCATTAAAAATTGATTGATGAGCAGAATATGTGGCTGTAAAACTTGAATACATTTAGGATTTGGTCGTTCTTCATCGCCTTTTAATGCTTGTACAATGCCAGTATAGGCAAGTAGAATGGAATCCCAAAGATCGTTCAGATAATCTACAAGCTCATAATTGACATGATTACAAGAATTTGCTTTTGGCATTTGTTGAACGCTTGTGTTGACCGCATCGACCAATGTTTGTAAGACATGATTCAAATATTTTTCGAATTTAAATCCAATCGCCAAAGCAATGTCACCGAAAACTTTCAATACTTCAGATTTAACTTTTGGAATCAGATTACTTTGAAGAACTTCGGTTAAAACAACAATCAATTCATCGGAGAATTGAGCAATGTCATTTTTTAACGAATGACATAGATCCGAAACGATACCAATGGAAATCGAGCAAAGCTGAGAATTCTGATAGCTTTTCAAACCGAGGAATAGATAATTTTTAAAAGTTGGCAAATAATTTAAAAATCCTTTTTCCAAAACTTCGGCCAATGTACCTGCCACAAGCAATGCATCTTCACTTACATTACCAGTTTTTGCTATTATCAAAAAGAAAAAAAAATTATAAAATCAATGTGAAAAAAATTAAATAAAACTTACAACTAAATCCAAGAATATGGATCATTGCAGTCATGATAGCATCGGATATTTTAGGACCATCTTCAGGAATCATTTTTCGTAACACAGATTGTAGTGCCGAACAAAGTAACGATTGTAATTCCAATAGATTTTGATCCATGTTTCCCGTATTCTCCAAAGAAACAAACGAACGATTTAGACGATCCAAAATGATCATTGTTGTTTGCCGTACAATTTCATAACAATTTTGTGGACTATTTCTAATCATTTCCATTATGGCTTCGTATGCCGATGAACGTAGATTGTTCATCAAAGCATCCGGTCTTTCGGTACATTGAAGTAAATGATTTATGATATATTGAAAATATTCAGACAATGCATTTGATCGTGGATTTTCATCCACACCTTCTGCATTACATGCAATATCATTGGCACTTTCCGATAATGAATTGAATGCCAAACATGAATGAACTGCAACACGTGGTTCAGATTCAAGACTTTTGATCAAGACATCCACAACTAATTTTAGTATATCGGGCTTGAAAATTACTTCGGACACTTGTTGACAAATGACTGATAGCACCCACATGGTAGTGTCACGAACACAGACAGAATCGTCTCGAGTAAAATTTATAACCGTAGGTAATGCTTCCGTTACAATTGGTATTAATTGAATCTGTGATGGGCCTTCCAGTATTGAACCTAAAGCCATCATGGCTGCTTCACGATGATGCCAATCAGGACTGCCGATATTTGATACAATAAAAGGCAATACAAACTGTGGAATATCATCGCCAGTACAATTAGCTAACAATGCTAAACAGACTGATGCTGCTTTACATGGATTCCATTCATCTTCATCTGAATCTTCTTCTTGTTGTGTTAATAATTTAAATATAAATGGAAGCAGAAATTGTAGTGCACCTTTTGCATAAAATTTGGATGTGCGTTGTGGTGGACGACCTTGTTCTTGGGCATCAATTGCTTCATATTGTAATTCAATCTCTTCTTCGCATACATTCGACCAAAATTCGATACCTTGTAAGCAAATATTGGGATGTGAACTTTTAATTGCTTGCATTGTGATTGGAAACAATGCCACACGCATATAGTGTTCCATATGTTGATAGAATAATGACATTATTTTCACCAAACATTGTAATGCGGCCACCTGAACATTGGGATCCTGACATTGTGTTGCTTCACAAACCACTTGCATTATATAATGTCTTTCATTTTCTGTATCAAAATTTGCTTTAATATAATCCAACGAATTCAACAAAGCAGTTGTGGCGGTCAATTTAACGGCATTGGATGGTTCATCTTTACGCATATTATTTACAATAGCCGTCAACATTTCATTCGATTGTCCCACTAATAATGAAGGATTAACCTCTTGACGAATATAACCGATTGCTTCCAATGTAGCAACTTTTTTTTGTTCATCAACATCTGGTCTAGTTGCATTATCTGTTAATAATTTGATCAAATCTGGCCAAAAATTGTGCATCAATTCAATGGCGGCTATGTATGCAACACATTGTGATGATGCTGATGGACGACCAGTTTCGGTGCCAAGACTATTGATGACATTAATTTTAATCTGATCACGACATTCTTTTGGTAACGATAACCATTGTTGCTGTAGACGTGTTCTTTCTGTTTCATCTTTTGATGTTAGCTGATTTTTGAGTTGAAGACCGGCCAACATACGAACATAGCCATTGATTTTTTTATTGACCAAAACTTCTGATAATGATTTGAGATATTCGGGCTGTAAGAACAAAAATAATAAATAATGAAAATCGATCAATATAAAAATATAACTTACCAAATTTGAGCGACAAAATTGTTCCAACAAATCATAAGCTTGTCGAATTTCATTTTGGTCTGTAATAATAACGAAAAATTAAATATATAAAGAATGGATAAAATTTCTAAATACAAACCTTGAGAGATGGCTTTCTCAAGAATCTGAAGAATAGTCATTGTTCGTAAAGTTTTTGTTGAATTCGAACAAAAAACCGATAAAATCTATTCTATTCTATTATGACGCTTGTATTTATTAAATTAACAAATTGTCAAAAATGACTCTAATGATTGAAAAAAATTTCCTTGATTTAATTAGTTAAAAATTAGTTTAAAACAATAGTATCGAAAAATATGAATGGTATGATCGATACCACGTTGTTTTTGTCATAAGCCGGCAACCAATATTTCTTCTAAGTTATTATGATGATAATGATGGTGATGATGGAAGAATGCGAAAAAAAATGCCGGTGATATATAGTTATATGAAGTTGGAAGAAAAAACGCCTTATATATTGATTATAATTAATCAATCAATTAAATGAAACACAGAAAAATATTTTTTTTTTTTTTTTTTTTTGAAAACACTACAAAAATTAATGATGATGATGATGATGAACAATAATACAAGTAAAATGAAAAAAAAAAAAAACGTTGGACAGAAAAAAGGCGGATAAGACGTAAAGATGAAACAAAACGAGCTAATAACGGCCAATTTTTTTTTAAGCGAGTAATAATAAAGAGAAAAAGAAAATGAGCGCTATCACATCGTCTCAATGCCACAACACACACACACACACACATTCTATCCATAAATTCATAAACATTGTTACGTCATTTCATCTATGAACATCTCATATTATGATTAGAAAATTTTTTTTTTTCAACAGGCCACGCAAACATTTTTTTTCTGTATATTCATGATCAATAATAATACAACACATCATCAATTTGAACTGAACATTCAAAATTTTTAATTTTTATTTTTAATTCCCAACTTTAATCATCAAATAATCATCATGGTAAAAACGGAGAAAAAAATTACCTGCCATTTTTTTAAATTTTTCTGGGATTTCAATATGTGCATGCACACACACAATATAGTCTAATTCGATCGATCGATTTGTCGATCGATAATTCATAGTTCTTCATTGTTTTTTCTTTCTTTGTTTTGTTATTTGCATGCAATTCACATTGACTGAATTCTTTTCTTTTAATTCATTCGTTCATATCGCTCCCGAAAAGTTTATTTTAGAACTAAATTGTTCGAAACAGTTATATTTTTTTTCATAAAAATTGTATCAAATTTTGGTTTTCGTCTAACTTTTGTTCGATTTGATTTTTTAACATTATTTTTCTTTGTTTCAATACCAAATAGCCTGCTTCTCCAAGTTCAACATCTGTTGGTGCCGGCGGAAGATCACCAAGAGCAATGGGAGGTGGACGAGCAACTGGAGGTGGTGGTGGTGGTGGTACTGTTAGACAACGTCGTACCGGAACATCATCGGCTGCGGCAAGTGGCCGTTCAAGAGCAGCACAAAATACAACCGGAATGTGGCATTTCTATACGGATGATTCACCCGGTATCAAAGTGTAAGTTGTTTTTTTTTGGTGTTGTCCAAATTAAACAATTTTCTAACATAAACCTATTGTATTTGTTTTTCAATGATAATAGTGGTCCAGTTCCAGTTTTGGTCATGAGTTTGGCTTTTATTGCCAGCGTATTTATGCTTCATATTTGGGGCAAATATACTCGATCGGTTTAGAATTGGAACGAAAAAAAAGATTACAAAAAAAATTTTATCATCTGGACCAATTCATTTGATTTTTTTTCTCAATCCCTTTTTTTTTTTGGTTTAATTATGATGTTAAAATATTTTATGTGAACACAGAAAACAACTGAATGCTAAATGAAATAAAATTTATGTACAAAAAAGCGAGTTTTTTTCGATTTTTTTTCTGATGAATCAGTCAGATTATTTTTTTTTTGTTGCAAAGATTTATACACCACCACCACTTCTTTCGACAGAAATTCTTGATTCAAGATTCAAAGCCTTTGCAAAACGATTATGAACGACAACACCGTTTTTGATACAACTCATCAATTCCAAATATTCACCAAATTCGATGCGACCATTTTGATTTAGATCCACTTCGGATAATATTAGATGTAAATCATCATCAGTAACTTTAACACCTTGATCCTGTGTATTATAACAACAACAACAAAAAAATTAATTTGATTCACAAATTCAATTGATTCATTACTTACTTTTAATGATCTTCTTAGATCATTAATACCAATATATCCTTTACGATCTCGATCAAGATCATGAAATCGTTTGCTCAATTGATTAATTTCATCTTTCGACATTGAAATTGGTAACTGTGATCGAATCATTTGATTAACACTGCGGCCCATTTCACTGTTAAGGAATTCTTTCGCATTTTTAAGCTCTTCTTCCTGTTGTTTTTTACTCCATTTAAGTTCTTCACTCATAATTTCAACGATACGTGGTAAAACCTCTTCAGTGGCTTGAACATTTAGGAAAGCTAGTCGTGTTCGACGTGCTATAACATCGACAGCCGTAGAAGCATATTCTCTTATGGCATAACGAACTTCGGCTTCAAGGTATGGAAATTCCGTATGTAATCGACGACCAACAACAGGCCATCTTTTTCCAGTAAGTTCAGCTAATCGTGCTACCGATTTAGCTTTATCACCATACGTGGTGGCCAAATGGATTGCAACATCTTCTTCAAGACCATAATCTTGAACTAAATTAATGTGCATAGTGGGTGTCCATCCTTGTCCACCTTCTAATTTTAGACCAAGTGTCATACATTTGCCTGCATGACCTAGGGTATCAGGATTATCATTGATTGCAGCATCAACAGCCTCTTCAGCCATTACTCTATAAGTTGTCCATTTTCCACCAGCTACGGTTACTAGACCAGAATTTTTACATACATCAATGATATGATTACGAGCAATTGATTCAGTGTTTGGTTTAGATGGATCTAATACCAGAGGACGTATACCAGCCCAAGCTGACATTACATCACCACGTCGTACATCGATTGTACCCGAAAGATAATGACGAATTTCATTCAATATGAATTGAATATCTTGTTCAGTCGGTGATGGATGATGAGTTACTTCACATGAACGATCAGTCGTTCCAGCAATGGTCCATTTTTCCCATGGTAAAAAGAATATAACACGACCATCACTAGTGGCCGGATCAAGTAATCCCATGCTCGATGGACTATAATATCCCGGTAATACAATATGTACACCGATACTTGGTTGACAGATTTTTCTCTGTGTTGAATCGCTCATCTGGCGAATTGAATCGGTAAATGGACCTGTAGCATTAATAATAACTTTAGCCTGTACATCCCATTCTTCATTTGTCATTTGATCTTTCAGTCTAGCTCCGATTAATTTTCCAGTTTCAGGGTCTTTTCGTAATGAAACTACAGCCACATGATTAGCGACGGTAGCACCATATCTTGCAGCACTTAATGCTATAGCAATATTCATACGTGCATCATTATGTTGACCATCATAATAAACAATGGCACCTTTCAATGATTCGGATTTTAACATTGGAAACAATTCTAATGCATTCTTTTTCGAGAGAAAATAGCTTGATTTAAGATTACGACTTCCGGCAACAAAATCATAGGCTTTAATTCCAACCCAAAAATATGGTACTTGCCACCATTTATAAACTGGTAACATGATCGGCAATGCTGATGATAGATGTGGTGCTATATCCAACAGGTTGGCACGTTCTTGTAACTGTAAAAAAAAAAATTTAAAAATATTCGTGAAAATATTCAATTCAAATTGTAGAGAATAATAAAATGGATGCTTACAGCTTCTCGAACCATATGATATTGATCATAATCAAGTTTTAGGATTGCCTTTTGAAGATAACGAACACCACCATGAATTAATTTTGTTGAACGACTAGATGTACCGGATGAAAAATCATCCAATTCAACTAAAGCGGTAGACAAACCACGTGTAGTTGAATCTAACGCTACACCACAACCGGTTGCACCACCACCAATAACAAGAACATCGTAAATTTTATTTGGTTCTTTTAATTTATTCAACATATCCATACGACTTGGCAATATTTTCAATGGTATTAATTTCTTTTTTTGTTCTTCAAAATCATTTTGCTGTGTATCGGCAACAACATCTCTCTAATGATGAAATAAATAAATTTTCAACAAATAAATAAATAAATAAACAAACAAGAAAAAAAAACCTGATTAATAAGACGATAACCGGCATAGCCAACAACACCGGTTCCGGTTGTGTAGAGTAGAATCTTTTTTATTTGTAATCTTGAAAAATTACCGGTTGCCATTATTGTAATATGTGTTGTTTAAAATTTCGATATATAAAAAAAACAAATGGTAGAATAAATTCAATTTTCGGCGGTCTTTTGCAAAAATTTTCGAAAAAAAAAAAATAAAGAAAAAGATAAAATTATCATCATAATAACATAATATGAATGAATAAATTATTTATGATAATCACCCTTTGATAATTTTTTGCTGAATTGATCATCATTATTCTATAAAATATCTTTAATCGAATGTCAAATATCTGGTGTTTTTTTGTGTGTTGTTATATTCGTGGTGTATATGTGTTTATGAAAAAGTTTTTCAATGTCATCATCATCATCATCATCAAGCGAACAGACAAACCAACAAACACACTTATTATAATCAAGACATACACATACACACACAACCAAGCATAAATAGATTTTTTTTTCTTTAAATGAATGAATTGGAATGAAAACAAATAAAACGTGAAACATGATAACATTTTCTAGCAGTTGTGAATGATGAAATAATTGTGTTATTAGATATTGATGATGCTATATAGTAGAGTATTTTCATCATGCCCGTTACAGAATCTATATAGGAAAAAATCATTGCTATGTTGAAAAAAGGTGAAATATATCATATATCATATTCACATTCACATTCACATTTATATTATTATATATATGAAACACAGTGATTTCCAACCAAATTTTTTTTTGTTGTTGTTGTTGTTACAAACAAAATTGAAATTTTCAACATTGAAAACAAACATTCAAATCAAATTAGATTTTTGTTTTGTTTTGTTTTTCATCCATTTTTTTTTATTACAAAATTCACACTTCAATTCAAAAATAAATTAATCAAGAATTGTTTTTTTTGAATTCATTGCTTGTATAAATGAATATAAATGTGTAGAGAAAATATTCACGACGTATTTTTTTTTTTTTTTTTTGTTTGTTTTTGTTTCATACCATTCCACTATTTATATATTATTTTTCATGAAGAAAAAAAATCACAGCATTTTGTAATAGATAAATTGGGCATATTTTTTTTCTCTTATTTGTTTCAAAAAAAAAATTAAACAATTGTGATTTATAATGTAGGTTCCCCAAGTTAATTTAATTTTGATCACATATCCTCTTCGGTTGTATTTGAATCAACAGGATATTCTGAATCAATTTCTTCATCATCTTGTTCAGCATCTTCTTCTTCATCGACTTCGTTATCAATTAATTCATTAATTTCGGCCATATCTATGCGAAAAAAAAATTTGAAATTTTCATTTTCTTTAAAATTATAAAATAATCAAATAAATACCGATTGATTGTTCTAAGGAAATATTGCTATAATTAATTGGTCCAGTAATATAGGTACTTCGTTGTGTAAATGGCGTTGTTGTCGGTGTTGAACTCATTTCTGATGATGTATCTATATGGCCTGTATGTACGATAAATTCTTCAGGTGATGTCTGATTTGGTTCAGTAAATTCTTTATGCTGATTGGCTGATCCTTTTGGATCGATATGAACGGCCCATGAAAAATTTAATAAAGCAAGATGTGTTTCACCACGAATCTTATGTATCTAGAAAATTTTTTAATAAATTAATTGATTGAAGAAATGATTATTTTTTTTTACCACAAGCAACAAAACTTACTCTTCCAATCAAAAAGAATATCAACGATTCTTTAGGTACCATAGTTTTAAGTTCTTCTAATTCAACTAATGATTGATCATATTCTTCCATGTGGAAACGAATCAAAGCACGATTATATTTGATAATAACATTTTGCGGATCAATTTTTGATGCTTCATTTAAAAGATGAATAGCATCACGAGATTTTTTCAGATGATACAAAATAAGGGCCAAATGACACATCAATAATGGATTATTTGATGATATGTCCAAAGAACGTTTATAATTCTGATATGCTAAATCATATTTTTCTTGTTTATAATAGATTAATCCAATACCACACCAGGCATTATAATGTCTTGGATCAATACGTGTTGCATTCACAAAACAAGACATTGCATTATCCAATTCATCAGCTGAAATTAATTCATGACCTAATAAGGTGTATGCATAAGAAAAATTTGGATCCACCTGAATGGCTCGTTTTAAGAATTTGATCGATATTTCATGATCTTTTTGTAATGAAAAACAATTGCCAGCAACGCACCATGTTTCCGGTGCTAATTTATCAAATTGAATTAATTCTTGTGATAGGCATGATAATTCGAGTTCTTTTTGTAAATGCCATAATGCTGTACTATATGTTTCAAGACCTTGTAATCGATATGGTTCAATTTGACGACAAGTTTTAAAACAACTTATAGCATCATCATGTGCACCCATCTCAAAATGACATCGGCCAATCATTGTGAGTACAAATCCAGTATTATAATGATTTAAAGGTAATTTCTTAAAACATTCGATTGCTTCACGACAACGGTATTCGGCTAAACGTTTATAAGCGATAGCAAATTTTTTAATCAATTCAAGCAAACCATTTGCTGATGAACGTTCTGCGTTGATACCCGTTTTTGTTACATCGAATGAAATATCTAAAAAATAAAACAAAACAAAACATCAGATTTCATTAGTCAGTATCGTATTTGAATAATTGACAAACCTTGTAAAGTGGAATCATTTTCATTATTATTTTGTTTGACTATTTTTTGACTTTTATCAAATGATATTGTACGACGACATCGTTTGACAGGTGTAACTCGCCGATCAACAACAATCTTTTTTGCCGATGTAGAATTTTCCTTTATTGAACGTGTATCTGAATTAATAAGGCGACTACTACGACGTGTTAGTTTTGATGGTAAATTATTTGTCGTTACTGGATTGACCACTAATGATTGTTCATTGTTATCAATAAGCATTTGAGCATCTTGCTGATTGGATTCTTTACGACCTAGACATCCATGTTTATTATCAACTTTTGTATTTGTTATAACATTATTTCTGTTCAATAAATTCACTGATTCTTGATCAAGACATAAAACACCGAATGAATGACCAGATGATTCAGTTTGATTATTGTGATTACGATTTGAACCAAGATTCGATGTTTCGATTAAAACCTGTGAAGACGGATTTGTATGATTTTGAGTATTGAATTTACGACCATTTCTTGCAATATTTTTTGTTGGTGCTAAACAAGTCATCATTTTCCATTGGCCATCCGATTCCGGAGTAATAACATCAACCTTGTTTGATAAAGGTGATTGTTTCAATATGGCATATGGTGTGGATAATTCGATTCGATTTTTGCTATTATTTGATGATGGTTTTCGTATTTCTGGTGTGACAAAATAATGACTAGTATCTTCATTTGAAGTCTTATTATGATCGTTGTTTGTTGCTGTTCTTGTGGAAACATCATCAGATGATGGTATCATATTAATCTGCGATGAATTGAATAAATTTATCAATGGATTTGTGCCACATGTAAATTTTAAATCCAAATTATCCAAATTAATTAATTTATCCGTATCAACTTTGGACGGATCGATTTGTAATAATTTTTCAATTGAATACCATAGGAACGGATTTAATTTTAAGCTTAATGTATAATAATGAATAGCGGCTTTTGTATCTTCTAACTTATTGAATAATTGTCCCAATAGTTGTGCCACAAACGATGCATTCTCACCATAAATACGGATTAGATCTTCTTTTGGAAATATTTGATCAGAAAGTGGGTCAACATTTATTGGTTCGAGTAAAATATTGGTCGCTTCTTCTATTTTACCCAAATGAAAACAACATTTTGCTCGCAAAAAATGACAATTCGGCGATTTATGTGGATTATATTTGTTACGTGAAAGAATAGAATGGGCAATATTGTATTTACCCGAACGAAAATAAGCCGTGGCGAGTATGAATAAATTTTCTTCAGTGTTCACTATAAACAATCCGCAAATGTCAGAATTTAATGATCAAAGAAAAAAAAACATTTTGTTCAAAAAAAAACTCACCCTCGGCATAAAGACGTTCTGAAAGAAAAATTGCATCTGCATAGGAATAATTCTCCAAGGCAAAAAATATTGTTGCCTATAATTATTAGAATGAATTAAAATCTTTTTATTTACAAAGTCAAAAAAAAAAAAAATCATCAGAAAAAATACCTTGATTGGCTCCTGTATGAACATGATAAAATGGATAAGTGATCACTTTCACTATCAATTTAGTTAAATTTGGATTATAATGAATATAAAAAAAAGAAAATTCTGATGACACTGATGATCAATTCGGCATGGGAAAAATATTAAAACGAATAAAAACAGAATTTTGATTTTTTGAATTGAAAAATAACTCAGTTTTATAAACAATTCAATTCAAAAAAAAAAAATAATGGGCATTGACTGTTCGACAAAACAACACACACACACACACACAATTCAGTGGGGAGAGGAGTTGGAAAAAAAATAACGAGCTTATTCGGCGACTATTTACACAGTATAGGCACTATTATTGAAGAGAAATATTGACAATTGCAAAATTTTTTCCTGATAAAAAAAAACTTTCCATTTTTCCTCCTTGTTATAGTTGAAATGATGAATAATTTAAATTGATCAAATAGAATTGATTATGAAAATTTTTATACAATGGAATTTGGTTTCGATTTTCTGTCATAAAAATTTAATCAATCAAATTTATTAAAATGAAGAAATTTTTCGCAAATCAAAAGGAGGAGTTTATTGAAAAGAAATACAGTGATACTTTAATTAACGATGACAATTTGTATCGATAAATGACAATGTTAAATGATTGACTTACAACTAAATCTCATAGATATATGATTTATCTATGCCGGGCCATTGTTAATCAAGACATCCATCGTTAATTAAGGTATGATATTTTTCACTTTTTGCTTTCAATTTATCATCATTAATCAAAGTAACACTGTAAAAAAAAATTTCAATCACGTGATATCCATCCATGAATATATGAGAAAAATACGCTAAACACAAAGGTGAAATGTACATATATACACAAACTGAAAAATAGGGAGAAAATTGAGCTCATGAGTTTTTCTTCTTATCAATTTATATCACCATCATCAAATAAATGGTGATGATAATACGTCTTGTTAATTTATTTTTGTTGTTGTTGTTGTTGTTTTTTTTGTTCAAGGATTTAATTTAATTTTTTCATCTTAATTCAGAATTTTTCAATTTCAATCATTTTCAAGATCAATTTTTAAATCGAATGTTTGTTCCTGTATTGTTGTTGTTGTTGTTGTTGTTGTATAATCATCAATACCAGCATTAGTCATATCAACCAGTTGTAAGGTCATTATACCTTAAGCGGCTGAAAATACAATACTACCTCAAAACCATTAGCCTAATTCATTCATAACCGGAATTTTTCATTCATACAATAATGATAAACTGACCTATCTGATATCAATATAATATAATATATTGTGTGTAGGTGTATTATCTCTTCCTTGTTACATTCGACATCTATTCTGATGGTTGATTTTGATTGATGTGTGCTTGTTGTTTTCTGGTTAGCTTTTGGTTTGTGTGTGTGTGTGTCTCTATTACTATGTGTTCATGAACGTCAATTCTTCAAATCAGGAAAAAACTGGCTTTTCCTCATCATCAACATTATTCGCTGCTATAACAAATACATCGTACAACCAAATCTGAGCAACGACAATTGCAATGCTCATCAACCAAAACAATTCATGAATTGTTTGCCTGTGTGTGTGTGTGTGTGTTCGTGTATGTTTTTGTCAATTTCATAATGATAATTTTGTTTTTAATCCATCGATAATGTCAAACATTTTAGATCATCATACAAATGATTATAATAATCGTACAACAATTGTGATAAAATCAAAATCAGATGAATCATTGAAGAATTTATCAATAGCCATCGATAATGATCAAGAAGATTTTGATGGTAATGATCATGATAATAGAAACCAGTTTATAATCAATGAATCATCATCATCATCATTGAATAATAATGATGAAGATAATCTAAAGTTATTCGATCAGCAACAAGTTCTATCATCACCGAATACAACTACTGACCTTTATAATAATAATAGTAGAAATAAACCTTATCTATCGACATCATATTCATTTCCCGGTGTTAGAGATTATCTTTTATTCGGTGATTGTACTAATAATACTACTACAACAGCCATTAGTTTTAAGGATAGATCGACAACGACAACACCATTGACGAATCTATCCGATTCATTTGCACAATTATATCTACCGAATTTTGCCCAACATATATCGACAACAATCATGAGTGGATTAAATTGGATCAATCAGATTAATGCTGCCACATTGTTTCAAAATTTTTGGACATCATCTGGATTTTTTCGTCGTCGATTTTCATCATCATCATCATCGACAGTATCGTCATCATCATCCAACACAAATAATCATCATTCAATTGCACAACAATCTAATAATCAAAATGTAGATGATCTTACTTATAGACAATATAAATTTGCTAAAATTTTAAATGGAACCATACGATTACATACGTTGAAACCATCTGAATTGATTGAATTGTCAAGTTTTGGTCTTGTAGAATTAGACACTGATGTTGAACCTGGTATTGGACATGAATTTCAGGTATTTTTGATGACTTGAAAAATGTTTATGTTTATCATTTTGATTGACATTTTTCTTCTCTTTAATTTTTTTTCTCGTTTGTTTTGTAAACATAAATTAACATTATAGCGATATGAAAATGATAAAGCAACTTGGTGTGATAGTTGTGGTGAATTTCTCTTTCCACCAGTTATGGATGATATTAATAATAGCGGTATTGGTGATTCAAAAACAAAACAATATAATAACAACAACAACAACAATAATGATGATTATGATGTTGATGTTGGGCCAAAGAATATTGCCGCTTCTACAACCAAAACGACAAAAACATCAGTATCCGTACAGGCCGATCATTTACTACGTACTTATTTTCAATGCACAAAATGTAAATATGTATGCCATTGGAAATGTCTTGATTTGATAAGAATCGATTGTCGACAACATTCACCACAATCAACAATGATTCCTTCGTCCAATAATGATATGGCAAAATCCGGCGAAATTGATAGCAATAATAATAATAATAACAATATTGATGATGAACAAAAAGATGATCAAAATATTGCCGATATTATTTCAATTACGAACAGTATCGATAGCTTTGATGTTGAAAATAATCAATCAACATTTTCAACGGAAACTTCATTCGCTGATGATAGTGATGATGAAAGTTCAGAGACAACAACGACAATGACCACTAGCAACAATAGTATGACATCCGTATTTAATAATGATGATGATATTAATAGCAAAAATGAAAATATTGAATGCAAAAAAATTCAATCTGAAAATAATAATGTAAATCAACAAACAGCAGCTGTTGTAAATAAATCATCTATCATCGAATCGTATCTGATAACACCAAGAATCATATTGGATTTACGGGCCAAAATTCTTAAATATAATGAACGAGTTCGAAGTCGAGGATCCGGATTAGGTATCACATTGATCGATGAAGAACGTTGCCTATTTCGTGGTTTTCTACGTGTACACATGAATCTAACACGACCGATTAATGTAATTGCTGGTAAACGACCACCATCCATTTATGATATTATAAATGAAGAAGAAAATAATCAAAATCAACGACGAACATTGACTAGTTTCTATATGCCACGTGATACAGTGAAAAATATTCATATTACCAGTGATAGTACTAGTCTACAGGTGATCAAAGCCATGTTGAAAAAATTCAAAGTTGTAGATAATCCACAGAAATTTGCCCTATACCTACGGCGACGATTTCCACAGGAAGAATTGAATAAAAATGGTGGTGATGAAGTTATCAATAATGATTTAACAAGAATATCTGATGACAATCAAAATGAAATGACAATCAGTAAATTTTTAAAGACAGCCGGTCATGAACATAGCCTCAAACGATTACATGATCATGAACGACCATTAATTTTGCAGCTAGAATTTGATAGTTTTGCATATGGTTCTGTTGATATTGTTCTACAAGAAAATGATAATGCCGATATTGCATGGGATGCATTCGAAGTACCAGAGTTAAGAAATTTTCTTAAAATTCTTGAACGTGAAGAAGGTGAACATTTGGAACATGTGAAGAACCATTATCATGAAATGCATCGTATATTAAAAGCATTGATTGATTATGAAGAAAGTAGATTATTGAAAAATTCCAACAACAACAACAACAACAATAATAATAATAACAATACCGGTAATCAATCTGATGATAATAATATTTTAACTGTAGCCAGTTGAAATGATTTTATTTTGGTAAATAATAATTGTCCATCTATCCATCCAAAATGTTGTAATTTTTGTTAATTGTTTGAAATATATTTTTTTTTTAGCTGAATAATATGTATCACAACATACACACACATACACACAACATCAATTATCAATCTGATCAAATCAAATGTAAAACAATGGAAATGAATTTTTTAAAAAATAAAAATAAAAATTTATTTTGTTTTAAAAATCCGGAAATAAAATTTTTAAAATTTAGATTGGAAGACATTTTTTTTATACAAAAATTTACAAAGATTTTTTTTTTGTTCTGATATTTATGAACATCACAATCATATGTGAGAGCGACATTTTTGTTTTCCATTTCGAAATGCGCAAACTCACACATTAGTTTATTGGCGATGATGATTCGTTTACTCCTCTTTTACATCAATCCACCATGTTGTTCAAAATGTCGCCATGCAAGGCAATAGTGTGTGTGTTTACTTGTGTGTGTAGAGGTATATATATAAAAAAAACCAACAAAAAATCCTGGTTTGTTGCTTAGATATTTTATAGTTTTTTTTTTTTTTACTTATGAACAACAACATTTTATTTGGCCCAAAATGATTACTTCATCATGAAATGAATTTTAAAAAATTTATTATTATATGATGACCATATGATTTTTGGTGACAATTATTATAATAATGAAAATTGTTTTTCAACCTTTAAAAAAAAAAATTAATGACAAATGATGTTAACTTTTTTCCAACCAAACCATTATCATCATCGATTTTTAATGTTCGATAAATGAATAGAATTTTTTTTTTCATCTCCACTCACCAAAAAAAAAAATCGCCATTTTTCATTTTGTATATATACAAATCATCATCATTCATAAATAAACAAATGTGAAAATTTTTTTCAATTTTTTTGAACCATTAGTGTATGTCAGCCATTTGATGCATTTATTCTAAAAGAAATGATTTCTTCAAGTTTTTTATATATTCATTATATTATTCCATTGTGATATTTGTTTTTAAATCGAATTTTTTTTTTTGAAAAAATTGGCAAAAAAAAAATTCAATATGACCACCTTGTTACGTCCTATATGAATGATTTTATGGTTTTCACATTTTTCCCTTTTCATCATCATCATCATTTATTAAAACGCCATTTTTCTCACGAACAAAATTATTTTCAATTTTTATCCATCGATTTTTTTTTGTTGCTTATAATTATTGATTCTATTACCAAAATAAAGCTAAATAGTTGCTAACAGAAAATAGTTATCATCATTAAATATTAAAGTGAAATAAAGTGAAAATGTCTACGTCTGTGTTTGATCCAAATCAACCATCCACATCACAACAGCATTTTGAGCAATCATCATCATTATCATCATCGTCATCAACAATGGTTAAATTAATGAAACCGAAATTAAATCTATCCAACTATCGGCGACAAATTCGTAGTCGTCGTATAGCAGCAGGTAAATTCAATAAAACATCGAATGGAAAATTACGTAAATGGAAAAAATTGAATCTACGTCGTTGTGCAAATAATGATGAAGTTGATTTACATAAAGTGATTTATTCATGTTCATATCAATATTATTCTGATGATTATTTAATGCGTATACATCAAGTATTAAGTAATGATCTTGATTATCATATTGGTTATCATAATATTGAACAGGAAATTTCATTGCCTACACATGAACAACATATTATCGATGAATTTGAGATAAATACTTTTGAAGATGTTCATGATTTTGAATTATATTCTAAACAGCAATCATTGAATTATATCGAGCATATGATTGAAAAACGACAACATGAAAAGATTCAGGATCAATTGGCTCAAGTTAGCTATGAAGAACCTAATCCTGATATTTTGCATGCTAGTTTTATTGATCCGTCACGTGTGGAAATGATATCCAAAAGAAAAGGTCGTCGTGGCGGAAATGATCAACCAGAATCGATAGCAAGAAAAAATCGATTAAATCGAAGCAGTACCGGTGATAATGATTCAGGTGATACATCATTTTATTCGGAAATATTCACTCGTACCTCTAGCCGTGGACGAATTATAAAACCGAAAAATCAAGATCAATGGCTATTGGATATGGAAGAATTAGATGCATTGGATGAAATTATGGATGCTTTCAATGAAAACAATCAACGTTTCGATAAGGTTAAATCAGCTAGTGAGGAGAATGAAAATTTACTACAATCGATAGAAGACCAACAACCGACAAAAAAATCACCGTCATTACCTTCTAGCTCTCAAATATTATCTCGGCCACAAGTATCAGATAATCAGCGATCTACACCATTAGCTGTTAGAAATCATTCAACATCAAGTAGCAGTTATTCACTATTATCACGTCCGAATAATCGTTCACTTTTAGCACAGCCATCAACCAGTCCAGCATGTCATGCAAAATCATTGCCATTAAAAACACATAATATACCATATAGTTTACCAATGAAAATGAATGGCGATAAAAAATCGATTGTTTTACAACATTCGACAAATAAAAAATTCGAATCATCTATTCCTTCACCGGAGGATTCGAAATTTACACCAATCGTACAATTAGAAGAAATTGATGCAAAAGATTCTGATGATCGATCTAATGATGAAAATCGGCCAGATAATGCAAACAATACGGATACCAACAATAATAATAAGTTGGAATTTCCATCGGATAAACTGAATAATTTGCAGCCAGCAAAAGTATTTTCTCGTTTAACACCATTGGGATGGAAATCATTTCTCATCTGTCAAAATGATCCAACATTGTATGAATTTAATTATGTAAATCTAGGCCATGATCGAACCGTTTTCATCGATAAAATTCGAAAAATTGGCGAAAACAATGAATCGGAAAAGTCGAAAAATCAAAAATGTAAAAAAATGTCATTTTCATTTTCGGAGGTTCCATTTTTGCATCGTTTACAACAATCTGATAATGAATTTCGTTTGTATTTAAGTTCTACACCAATGTTGTTGAACATGTTGAATCGAGATAATGAAGAAAAAACTCGACAATTTCATGAGAAAGCTGAAAAATATATCAATATTTTAGGCCGATTCTATGAAAAACATTGTGAAAGACGAATGAAAAATGATGCTGAAAGAAATAGAAATCGACGAACAATATTACGTCGATGTATAATGAACGATGTACAAGAACAATATTCCTTTTATTCAGATAAACCATTTGATGAAGTTTGGAATACATATCCACGATTGGAAGTACAGAATAAATTGCAACCGATTCATACGGCAAATAAATCGATTCCCATCACGCCAAAATCAGCATTTCCTAAACCAATAACAGTAACATCATCATCATTACCAAATCCGATTTCAGTTAATACAACAATATCGAAACCTATCACAGTAACACCATCGATGACGGCAAAACTCAATTCCAATGGTCGAATACAATGGTATCGTAAGGAAATACCACCAATAAAATTGACAACACATCCAAATAGATCATCAGCTGGGACAGGAGCAGCAGCTGCAGCGATTTCTGCTCAAGTTCAAAAGAATGGAAACAATATGAATCGTCCAGTTGTATGTAAAATTCCTAATAATGTTGGTTTCAAATTACATCAGGCTTCTGTTGATTTGAATAAGAAAACTATTCAGATAGTACCATCGAATATTTTTACAACAACGACAACAACAGTAACGAGTACACAGTCAACAACATCGAATGCGAAACCAATATCAGCCACTTCGAAACCAATAATATTTCGAGTTCAACCATCGGCATCATCGGTTATTAATCAAATTGTACAACAAAAACGATTAGCCGAAGATCAGCAACAACAACAACAACAGCAGCAGCCACCATTAAAAAAGATCAAGACTGAAATCGATGATGATGATGAAATTACAATTGTACATGAACATATTCCAAAAAAACCGATTAAATTGATTCAGGTATGTCAAGTCACATGTGTTTCTTTCCTTTTAAATTTCAAAATTTCTGTTTCTTCAAACAATAGGTACAACGAAAAATTAAAAAGCAGTCGATCACACCAAACAGCGTTATAAACGATGAGAAAAAAATTATCTCCATTGTGAAACGTTTTCCGCCAAAAAAACAGAGAATCGTTTCCAAAGTCTTATTGGTTTGTGCTTTTGCTGCTTTCATTAAATCAAGTAAGTTTATTGAAATCTGAATTTTTTTTTCTCAATCTAATCTTCTGTCTTTTTTTTTCTTAAAAGAGAATAATAAAAATTTCAATCTTAGCAATGGTGTTAACAATGCTAAATTTAGTGATCAAAAAGTTAGTAAAAATTTATTTTTCAATTTTTTTTTGTTATCTAATCACATTTTGTTTTCACTTTCAGCGTCAAAATTGTATGAAAAATTTTATTGATAATATGGATTTGGATTAAAAACAAAAACATCTGGAAGAATTTATACTGAAATTATATTATTGTGATCAACCCCCTTCTTCCCTTTTCGCTAGCGAATCAATAAAAAAAAAAATCTTGAAACAACAAAAGAAAAAAAAACTCAACTTTCAGCTCAAAATAATGGTTAATGAATTTATTTCAATTAGTGATATTCGATATTCGAAAATTATTGAATAACAATAAACATATTACTAATTATATATATCGAAAAAGGCGAAACAAAATATTGAAATTTTTGATCAATTGTTTATTGGATTTTTCTTTTTTTGTTCATTTTAATTTATTGCATTAAGTAATAAATAAAATAATTTTTCAATTCATAAATTGATCACATTTTGAAAATTCATTAATTTTGATTGGTTTTTTTTAAATCTGAAAAATAAAATTTTTTGTTCTTTTTTTTTACTTGGAGATTAATCAAAGAAAAAAAAATGTATTGGTTTTATCATCGAAATCTATTGAAACAGACACATATTGGACCGGAAACATTTACCGGTAATACAACAACTGCTATACCATTATCATATATATCAAGTCAATTATTATCACAATTGGATGTAGCACGTACACAGATTATAACAATAATGTTGGATGGTGAACCAGATGCTACAAAAGATGAAAAAATAAATGAATTATTAACACAATATCTATCATCATTTCGTGGTTTTATCTATTTACCAAGTGAAACGACAACAATTAATGATCAGGCATTGATTAAATCCAATGATCCAAATAATCCGATTCAATGTCGTTCACCATTACGACGATTATTTCGTTTTAAATGGGAAGATTCTTGTGCCGAATTGAAAACATCGGCAAATGATTGTCTTTTTGAATTGACATCATTATTAACAAATTATGGTATATGGTTAATGCATTGGTGTCGTCATGTATCGTTAACATTACCAATGAATTATCTACCACAACATATTGTTATTATACAAAAAATTTTACGTCGTGCTGCTGGCCTCTTTAGATGTGTTGGACAATATTATCTACCACATCTTCCTGAACTACTTCGTACAAGATTTGATGGTGATCCAAACATAATCGATGCATATTATTTTCAATCACTTGCTGAATCATGGGAAATTTGGTTCATCAAATGTTTGATGGATATGTTAGAAAATCCCGATAATTCCGAAATAAACGTTCATGGTGGTCCAATTGAACCGAAATCCATTTCACAATTAGCATTGATTATTTCACATAATTTTCATCAAGCTTCTGAACGATTAAAAGCAGCTATGGCTGAATTAATGAAAAATAATTCGAATGAAAATGTTGTCTATTCACAATGGTTAACATATTTAGAAATGAAATTCTATTATTATCAATCATGGTATATGATTGCACAGGCATATGATCGATGGTTAAAAATGAATAATATTAATGATGATCATTTACAAGTGGCACGTGAAATTATCGAAGCAGATCGTTATCGTAAAATGGCTAAAGAATGTTGTCGAAAATATAATTCTAATCGCCGTAAACAATATGAAGATCGTATTAATAAAAATAGTTTTTTGACTGAATTACGATCATATATACAGATGCTAAAAGAACAGCTTCGTACAATGAAACGACCATCGATTGATTTCGAACAATTACCAACGGATTATCAGAAAGATATGGATGCAATTATTTATCAATTACCATCATTCGATGAAATTTGGAATGTTAGTTTATATGGGGAATTTGGTGTACATTTGAATAAAGAAGATGCAAATGCATTACAGACACAATTAAATCATATTAAAGAAGAACGACGAAAAAGTAAGTTAATAAGTGATGATTTTGATTAAAATATTCTTGATTCTCATGAGATAACTCAACACAAAACACAGAAAAACCAACAAAATTACAGGCGTTAACTAAATGGTTGACAAATAAATCCAAAGAATTCATATCTACGACAACAAAAGGAGAAACACAACAAGAAAAGCAGCAGCAGCAACAACAACAACAACAACGTAATATAAAAGTATCACAAATTGATTTAAAATCTCCGATCCCATATCGTGGTAGTGGGGTCGGTAAATCCACATCACCAACAACATCGAGACAAAATATCACACCATTAGCAGTTCCAATTGATGGTGGCAGCTTGGTGAATGAAAAAGTAATTGATGATAGTAAATCAGAAACTACGAAAACAAGTCGTAGGAAAAAAACTCCAGCGCCTAAACCACCAATTCTTAACAGTGAAACCCAAACCATCACCACCACCACCACCGCCACCTCCTCTTCCAGGTAGAACTATAACAATTCCACCACCACCACCTCCTCCTCCGCCATCGATGTCTCCAAAAATCGATAGAAAAATTGAAGGAAAAACTCCGAAAGCAACAATGACGACACTACCGCTATCAAGTAATCAATTTCAACAGGAATTACGAGCACGTATTGAACAACGTGAAAAACGTCAAATAGCCGGTGGTGGAAATGTATCACCATCAAGACCAAAACAGCAGCCAACACCAACATCACCAAAATTTAAACGACCACAATCACCAGTAGCCGTGGATATAGTGGCTGCATTGAAACAACGTATCGGTGAAATACGACAATCAACGTCGAGTAAAAGTACGGAAGATCCACCGACTAAAAGTAGTAGTGAATCCGATGCTAAATGGTTAAAATCTAATAAATAAATTTTAAATTTTGTTTTGATTTGTTGACAAAAATTTAAATTAAAAATTGATACAATAAACTTCCCGCTTTATTGGATGAAAATACGTTCCAAATCCACCCTATAGGATAGAATTGTTCAAATTGAAAAGTTTGTGTTCTCAATAATAATCATGCGTGTCATATAATTCGATTTCAATTTATTGTTATTTGTTTTTTAATCATCAATAATTAAGAGTTTATAAATTTTTTCTTTAACCAATAATGTGTGAAAATCTCTGTCTTTCAATAATAAATTTATACATCAATGTATTCGGTATTGATGTTGGTGAACAATTCTTACAGATGATGTCCAAAGAAATGTTAAATAATCGACTTATTTTATTAGAAAATTTGGAAAAACAAACGAATAAATTACGTTCCATGCTTGGTGAACAAATGGCCATTACTGATCATGATCATTTATTATTTATGAACGATTATTCGATTAAATTGGATCAAATATCTTCATGTTTGATACGATTATTCAATGAAACTTATAGTGAATATGAGAAAGAATGTTCCATAGAAAATGATGCTACCGGTAATAATGGCAATAATCAAAATAATTATGATAATGATGATGATGATGATGAAGAGAATATTGATCAAAGTCCAAAGACTACCACAATTCAAAAGGAAAAATATGAAATCAAAATTGATTTTCAATATGAAGATTTATTTATTGAACAAGAGATATTAGATTTTGAATGGAAAAAATGGTTTCGATTTGATGATGAAATGTGTGTGAAATTACGTATATATTGTCGTGATCGATTCGATGATGAATTACCATTACAAATGCGTATAGAATTAAAAGAAATATTGGCCACTTTAAATGATTCAACTAAAGAAACATTAATCGAACGAATCAAAAAGTTTACAATGATGATTCAAACAATACAAGAATTATGGTATCTTGTCGAAATTGTATATGAAACAATAATGAAAAATGGTTGCCATGATTATTATATTTGGTTATGTAAACTATTAATTAATTCGATTACCATAATTCATGAAAATCTAATGGGCATAGATGTGTTCTATTTTCAACATTTATTCAGTACAAAATGTCGAATCATATTTTTTGATTTTCAACATGAAGGCATCTATAAAGGTTTTAGTGATTCGATCCGTTTGAATAATGCCGAATTGATAACGAAATTATGTAAATCTGATTCTCTACCATCGAACCTGTTGCTCATCTGTTTGAAATATCTACTCATGTTACAACAAAAAAATCATATCGAATGTTTCGTTCAAATGTTTCAATGGTATGGATTTGAATCATTCAAAGAATTAGTGATAAAAAATCTTTCTAATCATGGTCGACCATTGAAATATATCCGATCAATATTTATCGATTTGGATCGTTTAATTATTGAATCTCAATCATCTACATCCAACAACCAACAACAATTATCATCGGAAACAATTTCATTGATGAAACGAATATCATCATGTGAATTTAAGAAAAAATTTACATAATTACAAGTTTTTTAAATTTTTTTTTCTTCTGATTTCAGAACAATAAAAAAATGAGAAAAAATTCGAGTTGAATGTTAAAATTTTTTTTTTTTTCAAAATCATATCGGTCGCCATCTATTGTCGATTGATCCATACAAATCTTGTATACAAAACAAGTTGTTCAATTGCTGTTCCACTACTTACGAATGATGATGATGACGAAGAAAACAAAACAAAAAAAAAAAAAAAAAATTTATTTTTGAAAAAAAAACATCCAGAAATCACCACTGTTAGTGGCAGTGGAAAAGATTTTTGGTCAGTTTTTTTCGTTCTAGTAGTAGCATTATTTTTTTTGTGAAATCAAAAGAGACAATATCGAGTGTGTGTGTGTGTGTGTGTTATTGATTATTCGTAAAGATGTTCTTGTTTAATTTCTTCATAAGAAAAATGTTTGATTATTGGATCCAGCATTTCGAAAATTGAATCAACCATTTTGGAATAAGAATCGACAATATAATATTTTGATTTTTTATATATTTTTTTTGTAAAATAACATTGTTGTTGTTGTTGTTGATTGATTGATTTTATTGATGAATTTCGAAATTAATCAATCACCCATTCTACAGGTGTGTGTTTTCTAAATAATAATAATAATAATGTATCTCCACGGTAACAATTCAACAACGTTTCTATTTTAGATGAACAGATTCATTCGAATTCGAATTCATTGACTCATCATTCATTCATTCAGATTGACAATAGTGCCTGTTTCGATGTGCCTAAATTCAAATTGAATTTTTTTTTTCATTATTGATTTACAATCTCATACTCAACAAGAAAATGAAAATGAAACGAATACAATCATCATCGTATGTTACGATTTCAATCATCAACAGATTGATCAAATTAATATTGTCCATTTTAATCATATCGATGATCGATCATCATCATAATCATAATAATCAAGTTATTGCATTTAAATTTACTGATCGTTTTTGTAATTTTACTGCTTATCCAAAACATGGCTGTGAAGAACCAGAATTTACTACTTGTATTGATAAAAAATGTGCTTGTCGTGATGAATCACATTTTATAATAATGGGTAGATTTTGTACGAAAAAATTATGTTCAAATGGTGAATTTTATGATGCAGCTAAAGGAAATTGTGTTCGACAAAGTAAAGCAAGTGCTGATGTAACAGAAAATCATTGTCGATATGATTATCATTGTTTTGGACAACATGTACAATGTCGTCAATATGGTTGGAATTATAATTGTGTTTGTGATCCTGGATTCCGTTATGATTCAACTACACAGACTTGTCTACCAACATATGGTATAGGTGGCTATTGTATACGTGATAATGATTGTGATGAAACATCATTACGAAAAATGTATTGTGATTTCAAGAATTTCGATCAAAATCATTCTACAGGTGGTGGTAATCATAATGATGATAATGGAAGAGGTAGTAATCAACATTCAAGTGGTACATGTCAATGTCAAGAGAATCATCGTTATAATTATAATATTGATGGCTGTGAACCATTAGCCGATATTGCTGAACGTGAACATAATATGCGTACATTGGTACTATTATTTGTTGCTGCTGGTCTTATATTTGGTCTAGCATTAACTTGTAATTTTAGCTTTTTTGGTGTTGGACCTAAACATCATGAATTATTCTTACATCAATTAAAAGCTGAAGAACGAATAAGACAAATGAAACGAGATCGATTATCTAGAGCAGAAAATGGTCAAACATTTTCATCATCATCATCATCATCATCACCACCAATAAGTTTGAATAATAATAATAATGATGATGGAAAAAATTTATCCATGGTTGATAATGATCGCCAGCCACAATCATCGACAACTGTTACATCATTGGATGATATTGAAAATTCATCAATAACCATTGATGATGATAGCTCAAAAAAATCTGGACCAAAAACATCGTTGATTATGTTTGGATGAAAAAAATCCTTTATTTTTCTACTATAGACTTTTTGTTCATTATTATCAAATATCCAGGCATTTATTTTGCTGTTGTTTAAGAAAAAAAAAACATTTTCAATTTAATAATTCTTATATAATTTAAAGTTTCTTCTTCATTCATTCATTCATTCATTCATTCATTCATTTGTTTCTTTTTTTTCTCTTTTTCATTTTTTTTTTCCATTTCTAAAAAAATACACTTTGTAATCACACGAATATTCTATGATTCATCATCATCATATAATATAATTCTGTATAAAATCTGAAAAATGTAAAACAGTATTGAATACGCAGCTGATTCCTTTTCTTCTTCTTATTCTATAATTTGTAATTCGATTCCACTTTACTTCGATATTCTTTTTCTTGTATTTTCCATCATCATCATCATCATCATCATCATTTTTTTTAATCGTAATCAGTATTTTTGTATACTCGTCGTTTATTTTTTTTCATTATTGTTTTCTGTGTGGAGAACAAAACCAAACCAAACCAAACAAAAAAAACAAACATTTCTATCGACTAAATGAATAAAAAATGAAATAAAATTTTTTTTTTTTTGCTCTTTTTTTTCTCATATTCCGGTACATTTCATTGAATCATAATTTTGTTTTTGTTATTACGCAATCAACATGAAATAAATTCACATTCATGGCCACTAGGTAACAGCACGGTGGTGGCATAGACACACACAAACATACAGGCAGAGACAAAGCCATCATTATAACCAAATGGCCGTTGTTTTTTCCAAAAAAAAATAAAAAAAAAAATCAGATTTATAATATAGCAAAACCCAGCGCGCGTTAGAATTTTATTATTATTTCAACCAAAACAAGAAACCACCATAGAAAGTGTGAATGCAAATTTTTTTTTTTTATTTTTTTTTTTTGCGCGCGCATATAATTCGTGTTTGTATAGAACACAAATGCATGTATGAATGCATGCAATAAAAACATGGACACACACACACAAATGAAGAGCGTGTGTGTGTGTGTGAGAAAAAAAGAAACAAGAACCAATAATAGCCAGAATATTTGTTTGGTGGATGTTTTTTTTGTGTATGTATGTGTGTGTGCGATTGAGATATTGGATTTCCATCATCATGATGATCATGATCATGATGAATACAATAAATGGAGAAAGAGAGAGAGAAAAAAAAGCCGGCATATCACACACATTTTACATCGAAAAAAGAAAAAATTCATGCATCAAGTTTGTTTTACAAATTTACAAATTCATCGAATGTGATATAATAGAATTTTTTCTGTTTTGTTTTTTTTATATAAATTAGAATTTTTTTTGTTTGTTTGTTTGTTTGTTTGTTTGAAATGATAAAAATGAAAAGCTCAACAACATTTTCCAACATTCAAGTGATTACGGATTGGTGGATTATCATACCATTTCTGGATAGAGATTTTTGTGAAAATTGAAACGAAAAACTTTGTGATTTTGTTCGTGTGTATTGTGTAAAATTTTTTTTCTCGACATTACGATGTTTGAATGCAACCAATCAATCAATCAATGAAGAGAGAGAGAAAAAAAAATGTTTGAATATCAATTCGTTACGATTTTATATTTGTATTTATTATATATTCATCATCATCATCATCAACGATAACAATCATCAATTGATGACCATCATCATCGTCATCACGGCAAATTTGGTTGTCCAACAATTAAAACGAAAAAAAAATGCACTAAACAAGTTTGATGATGATGATGATTGAATTATGATGATTGACTAGAATGGATATATGAAATTATCAATCAATCAAATTTTGTTTGCAAATTCATGAATTGTTGGATATAAATAAATGATGATAATGATAATGAGTGATAGATGAATTTCAAATTTCGTTTTTTTTTGCATTATTTATTTCCGAACAACAACAACAACAACAACATCGACAACAAAAAAAAATTTACATTCGACAAAACATTCGATTTCATCATCATAGTTGTGTTTGATTGTCACAGTGAGAATACAAGTTTTGAGAATTGGAAAATTTTTTTTTTTTTTTTTGTGCTTGTTTGTCTGTGTTGGATGCGTGTTATTTTCATTTTGATTTTAATTTGTAATAAATATGTTAATGTGATATATACACCAACAACAAAGGCAATTTTTTTTGACATTGAAATTTTAAAATTTTCATCATTGTAATCGATAATCGATTGGCAAAAGAATCCCACCAAAAAAAAAAAACCAAAACTTTACCAAATTTAACAACAACAAAACATGCAAATCTAGATGGTAAGTTATACAATTCTTTTCTAAATCAGATAATTGAATTCTGAAAATTTTTTGTTTGTTTGTTTCAAACCAGTGATCAATCATTTGAATTTCAATAACCAAAGAATTAATAAATAATCAAACGTGACGAAGAAAAAAAAATTCGATTCATTCATTCAACTCATTAATATAGTATATATTTTTGGTTCGAAATTGCTGCGCATTCCAAATGGTGATGTATTTTTTTTTTTTTTTGTTCTTTTCTTTCATTTAATTGAATTATCATTGTACACACGTGTTGTGATCATTGCAATTTCATTCATTTTTTATGATGTAATCATCATCGTCATCCAATGTTGTTTCCTTGTGTGATATGAACAAGCTGTACATTTGGCCATTTCCTATTTTTTTTATTTTTATTACATCATCATCATCATCATTCAATCAATCAATTGACGTCACAGCTTATTCGTGTCTGTTTTCAATTAGATCTTTTTTTTTTTTGTTCAACAAACTAACACGCACAACAGATAGTTTGAAAATACATTTTTTTTTCTTTGGTTTTACTATATTCTCACATTTGAATGAAATCATCATATATTTTAATATTGGTTGAATTTAAATTTTTTTTGTTTTGTTTTCGTCGATTCAAATTTAAATTCAATTCCAAAAAATCAAATCAAGTCAATCCAGTCTGTCATTCATTCATTCATTCAGTCAGTCAGTCAGTCAGTCAGTTAGTAATTCACAAATCAAAAGAGTGAATTTTTTTTTATTGCATTAACAAAAACAACAACATAAATAAACTGGATTTTACCGGTTATTTTGAATTTATTTTTTTTTTTTTTTTTTTTTGGCATATATGACGATGTGATGATCATCATCTTCATTGGTTGAATATATGAGTTTGAATCTTGTGAATTTTTTTTTTTTTTTTTGTTTTGTTTTTCATCATAGATTCATTCTTCCCTTTTACTTTTTCAGTGATCACCCCTTTTTATATTTTTTTTTTGTTGTCGTTGTCGTTGTCGAACTGTCGATCAATTGAAACGAAAATTGATACGTGATCAGAATAAATCAAACCGATATCGAATGTTTCTTATATTATACTGTATATTCGTAATAGAAAAAGAAGGTGGATAGAGAATGAAACAAATTATTTTGAATCGATATATCATTCATCGATAACCTCTCTATGTATATACATTAATATATGTCATTCGAATTTTTTTTTTTTGCCCGATTTTCAAATTATTCTATTGCATCGCAAATAACACAAACATACATACATCATACACACATTATCTAAAATTGATGATCATCATCGTTTTATTCATGGCCATAGACCATAAATCATTTTTGATAACATGGGTATGCGTATGTTTTTTTGTGGATTCGATTCGATTCGATACGACATGCGTCCATGTATAATGAAATGTTCTTTTCGGTTTTTGTGATTCTTTACAGTTTGAATGGCTAGCTGGCCAAACCATCGAAATGAGCATTAATAGCAAACAGAACTTGACACATTTTTTTTCCTGTTTCAATTCAATTGTCTTTTTTTTGTTTCATTGTTTTTATGCTTATTATTATATAACGATAACGATGATTCTTGTTGTTAAGGACTTCTTTTTTTTCATGTTTGCTTACTGTTTTCTTATGGACAATTCTAATGCATATATATACTTGGACCTTGAATCCAAAGAAATCGATGTAAATGATATAAATGTATAATGTAGAAGAACTACTGTTATTTTGTCAATTTTTTTTTTTGTTTTGTTTTGTTTTAATTCACTGTTTCCTAGACCCGAAAACAATTTTACAATGTGTGTGTGTGTATGTCCTTGTCGTTTATTTGTGGTTGAGGTCAAAAAAATTTTTTTGTGTTCATCATCGTTAAGATTGTCATTTTCAAGTTCTTGATTTTGGTTTTTTTTCTATTATAAATGAATGAGAGATGGAAATCTTTGTTCAAATGGAGAAAGTGTAGGATGATTTGAAGAATATCATTTTTATCAATTATTAAAATCAATGGTCATGGTACTGGATATTTTTCATCAAAAAAAAACTGAATATATCTAGATGATGATGATCAAAGAAAAGGTCAAGTTTTTATCATAAATGAATTTGGCATATATTCTGACCGTATGTGTTTAGCCAACGGATTTTTTTCTGATCATCATCATCATCATCATCGATTTAGGCAAACCGAATATAAATCACTATCGAAAAAAAAACTAGACAAATGTGGAAAAAACCGGTAGTAAATACCGGTGTGTGTGTGTGTATGTGTGTTTTAATACCATTATCATATCATGGAAATCTTTTTTAGGTTTTTTTTTCTCTTTAGCCACCTTTAAGCCAATCCATGTCGGTCATTGAATGTTTAATGGATGGATTTCTCTATAATTGAAATACGGCATCTGTCCAAACGATGTTCGTTTTGTGTTGTGTTAGTTCGTCATCCAATTTTTTTTTCTTTGATGAACGATTTTTCTAGATTTCATTAGACCAAAAAAAAAAATTTTTGTTTGTTTGTTTGTTTGTAACTCTTTGATTATAAATTTTTTATAATTGGTGATTTGTTCATTTGAACAACAACAACAACAACGAAAAAAATTCAATCGATATCGATTTTGATCGGTTTTGAATTAATTAATTTTTTTTTATTTTGATTCATAATCACGTCTCTATACATAATTGTCATTGTGATTTTTTTTTTGTATCGGAAATATTTCAATGCCATTTTTGTTCAAATCGATTGATTTCTATGATGATGACATCTAAATTCTATTATATTTTGATTGCGATTTAGATGTCATTATTATTGATGATGATGATGATGATGTCAAAGTCACCCATCGAGAATCGAAATAAAAATCATTTGATCTACTACTACTACTACTATTGAGGTTAGATTACATTTATCACCTTCAGGTGTCATCTTATTGATTATCATCATCATCATCATTTATCTACTACCCCACTAACACACACACACACACACAACTACATATAACCGTATCATTTTTTTTTCTTTGCTTATAAAAACAAAAATCAAATCAAATGTTATAAAAGTCGTTGAATTTGATTGAATTTTTCTCGATATTTGTTTGTCGACACACACACACACACACACAGTTGTGGTCCTGTGCATGTATTTTTATAATATCTAAAACAACAAATAGTGTGTGTACCAAAAAAAAACTACAGCAACAACAACAACAACAGAATTTCCATTTGTGGACAAATTTTTTTTCATTGTGTGTGGGTGTATTCAAATTGAATTCTCAATTCCAAATTTGGTGCTGTTGATCCAATCATTGCTTAATTGTTTAAAGAATTTTTTTTATTTGGACCATCATTCTTCAGGTAAATATAAAAAATACCTACATGATCTATTTATCCGATCTATTTATTCAGAATTTTTTTTTGTTGTTGATAACATTACATTATATTGCTTAGATTCTGTATATTCTAATTTGTTTTTGTCTATTTTTAGAATCATTCATTCATTCTCTTTCATTGTATACGAGATGAGAATTTAGGTCATCATCATCATTATTTAGATAGCGTGAAAAATTTTTTTTTTGTTTGTTTTGTTTTTTATTTTTTCGTAAAATCTCGGTCGGTTTAGCTGATATCTCAATAATGGTTATGTTTCAATTCATATTCGGATTTGGAGAAAAAAAATTGAAATTTTCATTTCGAATTTTTTTTTTTCATACCAAGGGAAATGAAAAAAAAAATCGAATAAAATCGAATAATCATCATCTGCAGTTGAAATCTATTTTACCATTTTTTTACTTTCATTTTCTTTCTTTCATTGATTTAGTTTTTAAAAAAATCGTCACGACGACAAGTCATTTGTTTCCATGTTTCAATTGTTTTTTTGCTTTTCCAATGTTTCTTTAAATTGACTTTATTCATAATATGATTACTTCATTTATCGGCGGTTCTTTTTTTGTCATTTATCTGGTTATCTACAAAGATATAGAATCGGAATTGACGTAACTGAATAGTGAAATTACCTTGTCATTTTTTCCCGCACACCACCACCACCAGAATACACTATTTTTTTCGTTGTTACTAAAATGACAATGACAATGAAGCCAAACTTTTCATGATTAATTTCATCAATATAGATATGCATGCATGTGTGTGTATTTTCATTCAATGTAAAGTAAAATAGAATCGTCAATCAAATCTCATTTCGTTTTTCATATTACCTGTACACATTCGATTGAATTTTTAAGGCCACACACACACACACACACACAACCATTATATCGATTCTTGATGGTTACAAAAAAAATAGAAATAGAAATACCCGTGTGTTCCAGAAACTAACCGAACATACAATATGCCACCACCACCGCCACTACGATTGTAGAAATGAAATAAAAAACCACATGTGTGAACACACAAACACACCCCATTAATTTGGAAACTAATTTTTTTTTTATTGTTGTTGTAGAAAGGTGAGTTGATTCATATGAAAAAAAACAACCATAGACCATAGACCATAGCCGTAATACTCGTTTTCGTAATTGTCGTCATATGATTTGAGTGACGATGAAAACAAAAACAATGGCTATAAAAACACCAAGCACCGGTTTTTTTCTTTCCCATTGATCATTTAGATAATTTTCTCTAACTCATTTCTCATTTTGATCCAAATGAAAATGAAAAATTGCTCACTCAAATTCACTTGACAATGATTTAGTTTTTTTTTTTGTTTAAATTTTTAATTAATTAATTTTGATTCCTGTTTCGAAACAAATAACAACAACAACAAGAATGTCAAATCGAAAGTGTTGTTCATTATTATTATCATCATCACAATCACAATCATCACCGCCAACGATCAGAATGAAATATCAACTTTTAGCGTATGTTTTTTTCGTTTTTAGAAAAATTTCATAATTTTGAAAATTTAAATATAAAAAATTTGGTTTTTCTTTTTCCAAAACACCGGTTAGCAACTTGATTCGCATACACAGTAATATATTGTATATGTTGGTTCACTTTTAACCGAACATCCATATATATCATGGATGGATCCTAACTGGGGAATCATTGGGAAAAAATTAGTTACTAACCCAATGTGTGTGTGTGTATATGTGTGTGTTTGTGTTTCATCAAGAAAAAAGAAATCGGCCCACTACGTCATAGCTAACCTTGACTCAATTTTTTTCTTTTTTTTTTTTTATTTCATTCGTTGTCGATTTGATTCACAGATTCATCAGATCGTAGAATTGATTTTCCATCAAAAAAAAAAGATTTTTTTGTCGTTGATATATTGATTCTTTGATTTTATACCGACTATTGTTTTCAAAAGATTCTTCTTATTTCTCCATTTTTAAGAAAATTAAAATTCTTAAGAAAATTGAAAAATTTAAATACATCAGAATCAGAATTCTATGTATGTGTGTGTGTGTGTGTGTGTGTGTGGAAAAAGTAAGAAAAAAAATTTCGACATATTGACATCGATGAATGAATGAATGAAATGAAATGGAATGAAATGTTTTGAAAGATGATAATTAGACGTAATAAAGACGTCCAATCTGTTAATGATGATGATGATGATGATAATGATAATTTGAAAAATTGATGCTAAATTTAAACATACAATGTGTGTGCGTGTTTGTGAAAAATTAGTACTGAATAATTGGCATCCGATCATGCCTGAAATGATGTGATGGAGAAAGTTTTTTTTTTGTTTCTGACAAAAATTCGTCGCTTTTTTCATTGTAATTTTTTTTCTGATATTTCTAAAGTTTCGTAATATTAAAATGTAATGTTAGATCTTGATTTTCAAAAAAAAAAAAAAAAAAAAATTGATACTCAAAAGAATTACTAATAAAATCATTTCCAATGTTCTCACAATTCTCACTCACTCTCTTTTCTTCTAGCTTGTCTTGTCCTTGTTTTGATATGTTTTCAATATGTTAAATTGAGATTGCAGTATATATTCATATATAGTAGTATAACAGTAACAACAACAGCAATACCAAAATGAAAGCCTAAAAGACCTTGTCCTCGGATCATTATCACGAGTGAGAGAGAGAGAATGAGCGAGAATTGATCATTTTGAAGAATCATCGATTCATCGTCCTTCACTCTTTTCACGAATCGATTGTGTTTGACCCGTAAAGAATGACCAAAAAAAAAAAAAAAAATGCAACAAACAAAATTCCACCGGAAGATTCATTGTTATTTTTGTGGTGGTAGTTTTTTTTCACATAATTGAATTTTTCAACAAATCTCATATGCTACTATATTGCATAATATCAAGTTTCAAAGTTTTTGTATACTACCGTGGTTTAATCCATATTGTGTTACGAACGAAGAATCTGCTATTTTTATGGCCAAATGCTTTCCATTTTTGTATAGCTGTCTGGTTACATTTTTTTTTTTTTTTTTTTTGGACGAAAATAACAATTAATATTAACCATAAATATATGATGACATTGGATTTTTTTTGTATGTCCGTCTGTCTCATCAAAAAAAAAAACCAATTGACAAAACTGACGTTTAGAATCTCATTTGGTATATCATCTTTGTGAATGAAAACAAAAAAATTGATAAAGATTCACGCGCATGGAATAAAATGAAAATGCGAAAAAAATGTGAATTTCTCTTTCTCTCTTCTCTCTTTTTTCATCATGGATCGAAGAGAATATTTTGTGGGACTAACGAAAAAAAAAAAAAAAAAATTTTTGATTTGTCTCAGCTTCGTCTTTCATTCTCATATCAATTCTTCTTTTGATTCTCATATGAAATCTACTTTTTATGTGTGAGAAATGTTTGTGTGTGAATGATTTCAGTTACAGAAAAAAACACACATCATTTTCTATATTTGAAATGAAATGGCATTGCTTTATATAGTTCAATTCAATTCAATTCAATTCAATTCGATTCAACACACTCACAAACAACAGTGATGATGATGATGTCGAAATCATCAAAATGATGTTTGTGTCTTTCACACAAATATGATGATAGTTTAGAACGCCATGAACCTCAACGTCTTTCATTGTTGGTTATTATTATTATTATTATTGTTGTTGTTGTTGTTTTAATATTCTGCTTTTTTTTGGCACATACACACACACACACACACACTGGATTCTATCTATATATCACACATAGCGGCATTGCAATTTTTCTGAAAAATTCTACAATATTCTTCTTCACGATGAAGACGATGCTGATGACTATGTGAAAAAAAATACATTACCGCTATTTAGAGGCGCCAAATGAAGAATATTCTGTTTTTCTTTTTTTTTTTTTTTTGTTGTTTAACTTGAATCACAAAATAAGCGCCCGCGCATTCAATCTATTCTATACGAGCATTTTTCTTTGTATGTATGTTTGTGTTGTATATGAAAGAATGGTGAATACACAAAACCAAACCCAAGCAAGAGCAGATATGAAGGAGAAGAAGAAAAATGAAAGAAAGAAAGAACCTCGAACGATAACTGAGAGAAAGTGAAAGAATTTTCACAAAGAAAGAACAGACAGATAAAAACAAGAAAATAATTTTTTTTGCGGTGCGCTATTGTGTGTGTTTGTACTATGAAAATGTTATTCTGATATCACTCGATTCTGGCTTTTAGATATATTTCTCTCTCTGTGTGTGTGTGTGTCATCTGATGTTTTGATGAATGAAAAAAAAATTTTAAATAAAATCATCATCATCATGTCCACTGGATAAGAAGATAGATTAACATTTCTTAACACTGGCCATGGCCAATTATTATTTAAAAATTTAATAAATCATTCATCCATCATCATCATCATCATCATCATTCAAAATTCATTTTTGTGTATGTGAATGTGATGTTCGGTTTTTTTTAGATTCTTTTAGTTAGCTAGTTTATTGTGGTGGTTTTGTTCTCGATTCTTGATAAGATTGACCACTGTGATTCATTTGAAAATGATCAATATTTTTCGTCCATTATGCAACAATATAAATAAATATTTAAGTGTTTGTGTTTCGTATTCCATATGACAATGATGATGATGACGATGATTATGGCTAATGAAATACATACATCGTTAACACCTTTTGGTGTTACCACCACCACCACTATAGGTGTCGTTGATGATGATTATTATCGACAAATAAACAAAATCAATAATTATGGCCAAAATAGTGATAATAAGATTTCTGATAACCATGATTTAATTTGTGACAATCATTTTGATTGGCAAGAATATTTCGTCAAAGACGACCATCATCATCATCAAAATGATTTTTCAATGAAAATGTCAAATGACATTCTGTTAGAAAGCCATTTTTCTAATAATTCTGTCAATATTCTCATGATGATGATGTCATTGTTGATATTTAATTTACGACGATATCAATATCAACAGCAACAACAACAACAACAACAATTTGAGACGAAACAAACTAATTAACTGGAAATCAGTTGGAAAGCTCAAAATATAATTTCATGATAATAATCACACCTACAAGCTATAATCTTGTATTTACGTAATTGAATATTCTGTCTGCGTGTGTGTGTGTGTGTGTGTGTGCTACTATTTAAGGGGTTAAAGAATTTTTTTCTTGGTAAACTTCCGACCGGAATAAAGAAAGAAAAACTTTGAATAAATTCTCATATTTCTTTTTCCTTGTAAAGAATCGCTCAATTCGTTTGTGTATGATGTGTGGATGTTGTTGTTGTTGTTTTGACTTTGGATTATATATAAACAACAATCTGTCATATAACTGATGAAAGATTGAATGGTAGAAAATTCAATCCAAAAAAAAAAATAACGTGAAAACGTGTAAGTTCCCTGTTTTATATATTGATTTTATATTCTTAAAATTGTAATATAGTGGAAACGGAATTGACAACAGCAAAAAAACGTGAACATATCTGTTATTCTGTTGCCAATTTTATTTCCAATATTCTTAATTTACATATAATAATAATTCATTCGCCATGAATCTGTGTGTCTCATTTGCATATGCAATTTGTATAGGCACACAACCACCCATATGAGAAAATAAAACACATATATACATTAATTAGTTTGGTTGATTTGTGGTTGTTTTTCCCCTATCATTTTCTGTGGAAACAAAAATCAGAGTAAGATTATCATCATTAGATTTTTTTTTGACAACATTGATATGATTATGATATATAATGATATTATCTACTTTAAGTTTGTTTTTTTTCGATTTGCTTGTCCAATATTGTTGTCACTAGTGTGTGATAAATTAACATTTTATCTTTACAACAAATTCATATTCATATATGAAATAATTCAAGCGCGAACCAAAAGAATAATAACTTTTCTCTGTTTGTATCTTATAAATTTTGTGTAATGAAAAGTACAGAATGAAATCATTTACGTAAAACAAGAAAAAAAGGTTAGATAAATAGACAGAAAAAAAAATGATGCTAAACAGGTCAAATCTTCACTTAATGACAATAAAATTTCAAATACGATTGAAATTTTCAATGAAAATTATTCGCGATGTGTGTGTGTGTGTAAACAAAAATTCCCATCAACAACCACCACCACCACCATATGAGAAAAAAAACGTATGAATGACTAATGGCAATTACCATTATCATCATTTTCGGTGATGGATTGACGCCAATGTATATATGGTTTTTATATGTTTTGATGAAAACATGGAGGAGAAGAAGAAAATGAAAAAAAAAAAAATCTGTGGTTGATAAATGATGACGACGGCATCATAATGAACTAAAATGTGAATGAATGAATGAATTGAATTTAAATGTTTTAAGTTGTTGTTTATTTGTTTGTGTGTGTGTGTGTTATGGATGCTATGAGTATTTTTTTTTTTTTTTTTTTGCATATTCAAGTTGAATCTTCATTTATATTTATTTATTTGTTGTTGTTGTTGTTTTGACATTCAATTGTTTGTGGCCGTGAACGATGGAATTTTTTATTGATTTTAGGTGATTAATAAATGACGTAATTGATGTTTTTATTCATATATGAATTTCGTTTATATTTCATTTAAGATTTTTTTTTTTGTTTTTCCATTTTGATCAATTTTGATCAATGATGATGATGATGATGATGAAAAATGAGAAAATTTAACCACACACACAAACAACAAATGCACGCATGAATAATTGTTTGTTCAAATTACATCATCATCATCATCATCATTTGTTTAATTTTCACATGGAAAATCATCGTATTCATGTGATATGAAACAAAAAGAAACACGCCAATCATCTTTTCTTTTAGATTTTTGAAATTAGATTGTAATATTTGGAATCTGATATCTAGAGAGATAGAGAGAGAGAGACGAAAAATTGAGAATTGAATTTTTCATCTGTTTTATTTTTGTACAATTTAAAAAAAAAACAGTAGTATTAGGATTGGTTTTTTGATGGGAATCCATTACAATAAGAGGTATTCTAGGGTATTTGGTAATTGATTGTTTTTTTTTTGTCATCACCATCATAATTCATTGTCATAGTCACACACACACACACACACACACTCGTAAAATGACACCATAAATCCTGAGAATCATGATGATGATGATGATGATGATAATCGAAAAAGATACATCATTGAAAAAAAGTATGGATGTGATATTGAGAAACAATGAAATATATCAAATGATCTGATTTTTTTTTTCGTTCACTCGGTTCTAAATATCTGTCTATTCATCGTTTACCTTTAGCATTTTATTTATTTTTTTTTTTTTGAACAAAACGAAAAAAAAACACAAAACATTCACCATGAACAAAATTCATTTCATAGGTTTCATTGCTAAATTCATTTTTAAATTTAATTTTAATTAGAGATTTTTCTTTTTGTATCTTGAATTTTGAAACCATTAAAATCTGTATTTGACAGAAACGAAACAAATGTGTGATACAAAAACCAATAAACAAATAAACATCAACAACATTGAAAATTTCCTACGTTCTGTGGAATTATTTCTTTGCCATCTATTTTTTTGTTTTTTTCAAACAAAATTCGTTTCCAAATGATCCAAAGACGTCATTTTTTTTTGTTGTTGTTAAATACAAACGAAATACTCTACTAATAGTGTGTTGAACAAAGAAAAAAAAAACAAAATGGCAACATTTCAACATTTTATGTATTTACGTGTACCGCCTAATATACCGACGATTGTTGTTGATGAACACCATGATAGCAATAATAATAATAATGATGATGATGATGGTGATGACCAAAATATCATAACTTTGAATGAAAATGATAATTCCTCACCCATGAGAACCTTTTTAACTGTACCTAATAGTAATAATAATATTTCTAATTATGAAAATGCTTTCTTTATTTCTCGCCGTTTACGACAACATCTACAACGACAACAACAACATCAACAATCTCGACGACGATTACGACCACGACCACCTTTAATATTTAGACCATTGACCACAATGTCTAAGGAGAATAGTGAAACTGATGTTGCTAAGGATCCGGGCTCTATGTCCAATAGACCAACATCTGAAACCGATGTTGAAGGTATTTTGTGATGATTTTTTTTTGTCTTCTATTATTTTTATTAATTTGTTTTATTTTATTGTATCGCAGGTCATCGTGTATTTCATGGCTATGGTGTTCATGTACCAGGTTCTGGTGCAAGACGTCGTCCAGGCAGTGGCGGTAGTGGTGGCCATCGTCGCCATAAAAGAAATGGCTCGAAACGTTCAAAAGATTCGGAAGATGAATCTGAATCTGAACTTATGCGACCTTGTATGTGATTTTTTTCCGAATATAAAAACAATTCATTAATTAATTCGGGAATATTTTTTAAAAAAAATATAGCCGATCGAGTACATTTCATCTTGGGTGAAGATGATACCGATGGTGGACATGAATCACATCCATTGTTTAGTGAAATGGCCGAATTAGTATCAAATAATGAAGAAATGGAATGGCGTGAAACAGCTCGTTGGATCAAATTTGAGGAAGATGTTGAAGAAGGTGGTAATCGTTGGTCTAAACCACATGTTGGCACAATTTCATTGCATTCATTATTTGAATTACGTAGCTGTATACTTAATGGTACAGTCTTGTTAGATTTGGAAGCTTCGAGTTTGGATCAGATTGCTGGTAATTTAATTTTAAATGTTTTTTCATGTTCGGAAAAAAACATTAATGAAATTTTTTTTACACCAACCATTTTCTTAATTAATAATTAGATTTAATGTTAGAAAGTATGGTACAGAATAATCAATTGTCTGCCGATGTGATACCAAAAGTGAAGGATGCATTATTACGTCGACATCGACATCAACATGAACGTCGTCATGGTGGTGATTCAAAAAATCGTCTACCAATTATTCGTTCATTGGCCGACATTGGAAGAAATTCTAGTAGAAGTATGTTCGGTTCGCACAGTAAGTTTTTAGCTATTCGTTTTTGTTCACAATAATACAAAACAAAAAAGCTTGAGTCCAATAAACAAACAAAATTATCACCATTCATTGTAAATATATATCCCCTTTATATCCGACATCATTTTTTCGATTCTCTGAAAAAAAAATCTTTTTTACTTTACTTTTTTTTTTTCTATCGCAAATACCTTTCAATTGTTACTTTTTTTTCTTTTTTTATTGTTTCTTTTATATCAATTTTACCATATATTTCTATCCAAATTTTTTTTTATCATTGTATACTTTTTCCTTTTGATCAATCAATCAATCAATCAATCATTCATTTGATTAATTTGATGATCAGGATCATTGGACAAGATCCTGTCCGATGTTCCGCCATCATCATCATCAACAGCAACTATAACAACAACAACATCATCACCGGCAACAGCATCCTCACACCCATTACCAACATCGACAACAACAACAACATCATATTCAAGTCCAACATCACCGATTCCTTCGGGTATCGGTGGTGGTCATTTATCATCATTATCTACTTCATCAACTACCGTATCAGCTCAACAACAACATTTCAAGGGCAAGAATACATTAGGTGTACCGGCACGTAAAGGTGCCAATATTTCTGGTATTGAAAAATTTCGAAATTTATTGTTTACCGTAGTCCATTTGTTTGTCCACATCCACAAATTGCATGTGATACTTGTTATTGCTTCATTTTTCTCTTTCGTTCCTTGTTTCTGTTTCTTTATTTTTTTCCCTTCATTGTCCATTTATGTTCACCTTTTTCGTTTCCTTTTTTGTTTCTTAAAATTGACCCTTTGGGTTCAACCATCTGCGTTTCTCACATAAATATTGTCGTCGCTGTTTTTTGCGATTAGAATTCAATTATTTTGTGCATTATTTTACTAGATTTTTCGTTAATGTTTCACTTTTCTTACTTTTTTTTTTTTTTTTTTGGTTATTGTCATTATTGTTTTAGCTCATAGCGATTCATCAATGCCGCAAAGTCCAAGCGCTCATTCGTTACAAGCACAAGGTTCCGATGGACAACATTTGTCTGGTAGTGGTGCTTCTTCTACCGATCTTCAACATAAAGTAATTATTTGAATCTAATTATGATCGCTTTGAATCATTAAATTTTTGTTTTTCTCATTTTTTTCACTAAAATACTTTCAGTTGAATCAAGGATTCATGCGAAAGATTCCACATGGCAGCGAAGCAGACAATATTCTAGTTGGTGAAATCGATTGTATTGATCATTCAATCGCAGCATTTATTCGCCTTAAAAACGCTTGCTATCTTGGTGATCTTACTGAAGTGCCCGTACCGACACGTTTCTTGTTCGTCCTTCTTGGTCCACACAGGTTGGTTCAAAACTTTTTTTTGAAAAAAAATTCAAAAAACTTGACCATCAAGTATCATTCTTTTGTGATTTAAATTAGCATTCCTGGACGATATCATGAAGTTGGTCGTGCAATGGCAACATTAATGTCCGATGATGTTTTTCATGATGTTGCTTATAAATCCAAATCACGTGATGATCTATTAGCTGGAGTTGACGAATTTTTGGATGCCGTTACTATATTACCACCGGGTGCTTGGGATCCATCCATTCGAATCGAACCACCGGTTCAAGTACCATCACAAGAGACACGTAAAAAACCACAGGAAAATAAAGAGCCTGAACTTGATTCTGAAGAGGAAGAAGAATTAGAACGTGAACGTTCAGGTTTAAAGAGATCTGGAAGGTAAAATGACCCAGTTTTATGATTGGCCAAGATTTTTACTTTTCTTCAAAATATCAATATAGGATTTTCGGTGGATTAGTCAATGACATCAAACGAAAATATCCTTGGTATCTTTCCGATTTCACTGATGCTTTTGTACTACAATCAGTAGCATCAATCTTTTTCCTGTATTTTGCTTGTCTGACTCCAATCATTACATTTGGTGGTTTGCTTGGAGATGCCACAGGGAACAATATTGTAAATATTGAAAATTTTATTTAAAAAAATGAATTCGTTAACATTTATTTCATTATTCAGGCAACAATGGAAAGTCTATTAACTGGCGCTATTTGTGGCATAATGTATGGTCTATTTTCTGGTCAACCATTAACAATTCTGGGTAGTACTGGTCCTGTATTGGTCTTTGAAACAATCCTTTATGATTTCTGCAGACGACATGATCTACATTATTTGAACATTCGTTTATGGATCGGTTTATGGATGGCATTCTTCTTATTGGTCATGGTGGCATTAGATTATAGTGCATTAGTGTGTTACATAACTCGATTTACTGAAGAAAATTTTGCCACATTGATTTCAGTCATTTTCATCTTTAAAGCATTTGAAAATGTAAGCCAGTGTTTGATTGAATTTCATTTATATCTTGAACTCAAATATATTTTCCATTATTTATAGTTATTTCATATTGGCAAAGAATATCCAGTGGATAGGCATCCTGACATACCCAAGAATTATCTTTGTAATTGTTCAATAGATGGAGAAATGTATGAATTACAGCGAACGCTTAGGAATGAAACAGCACTTAAAGAATGCAAAATATTGGGCGGAACATTGGTTGGCGATGGCTGTATGACGCCTACTTATTTGCCAAATGTTTTCCTCTTTTCATGCATATTATTCACAGCAACATATGCAATCTCCGTTTTCTTGAAAGAATTCAAAACGGCACCATTTTTTTCAACAAAAGTACGACAGATCATTTCAGATTTTGCTGTCGTAATTGCTATTGCTTCGATGACTGCATTTGATATGTGGGTTCATGTTCCAACACCGAAATTATTTGTACCGGCCGAATTCAAACCAACACGTGATGATCGTGGCTGGCTTGTACCGTTTTTCCATGAAAAGAATCCTGTTTGGTTGATTCCTCTATGTTGTATACCAGCCTGTTTCTCCACTATTCTCATATTTATGGATCAACAGATTACGGCTGTCATTATTAATCGCAAAGAATATCGACTCAAGGTAATTGACGCGATCTATTTGAAAGTAGTAATTTCTCATACTTTATGAACTTACAGAAAGGATGTGGTTATCATTTGGATTTGTTTATTTTATGCATCTTGGTCGCTATTGCTTCAGTAATGGGTCTACCATGGTTTGTTGCCGCCACTGTACTTGCCATGACGCACGTCAATTCATTAAAAGTAGAATCACAAACATCAGCTCCTGGTGAAAAGCCACAATTTTTGGGTGTCCTCGAACAACGTGTGACGAATATCATCATCTTCTTATTATGTGGTTTGTCGGTATTTTTCACGCCATTACTCAAACATATTCCCATGCCCGTATTGTTTGGCGTATTCTTATATATGGGTACCTCTTCATTAAAAGGATCACAGGTAATTAAATGGTTTGAAATACAAAATACGACTGAATTTTCTTTTCCTTTTTTTGCTAGTTTTTCGAACGTATCCTCATCATATTTATGCCACAAAAATACCAACCAGATTATATATTCCTACGACATGTTCCAACATGGAAAGTGCATATATTCACTTTGATCCAGCTTCTTTGCTTCGCATTATTGTGGGCAGTTAAATCATATAAAAAGATTTCAATCATGTTCCCGCTCATGGTAAATAATTGTCATTTTTTATAATAATTTTTAAAATTTAATCGAATCTATTTTTTTTACAAATAGTTATTAGTTATTGTCATTGTCCGTAAATTATTAGATTTTGTTTTCACTCGTCAAGAGTTGAAAATTTTGGATGACATTATGCCTGAATCGACAAAACGAAAGAAGATTGAAGAGAAAGAATTATTGAAAAAGAATGATGATGATAGTTCAGCACCAGGTGGTGGCGGTGTCGTTGGTGGTGTTGGTACTGTAGCTGGTGCTACTGCTGGATTAGTACCAAATACAAGCTCAGGAAATGTGACCATACCATTAGCCAATGGAAATGTATTGAAAATTCCTGTTAATAAAATCGGTACCGAAGAGGAAAAAGAACCAGATATAAACATTACTGAACAATTATCTAAATCTAATGCATGGCGTTCAATTAATCACGATACAAATGGTACAACCAAAACACATGGAAAACCACCAACCAATGCAACAAATGGTCAAAAGAAAAAAAATCGTGTGAATAAAAAAGATGCCAAAAGTGATGAGGAACAAAAACGTCTATCAACAATGAGAGAAGAGGATGATGAAGAAGATTGTGGTATAACCATAAAAGTTGATGCACCAACACCAGTGCCTACTGCAATTAGTTCACCTAAAGATGAATCGTCCAATAGTAATGAAACACCAGTTTAAAATTAACAGCGAAAAAAAAAAAAACTAAACCACCAATTCAGATAAAAAAATTTTAATCAACGGCAGCAAACAAACAAACAAACAAACAAAAAAATCTAAATAAATAAAAAAAACATGAAATAAAAATCAATAAAATAAAATACAAAAAAATCGAAATCATCAATCATTCATAATAATTCATAATAATAACTAAGTAATTTAAAAGAAAAACCAATAGTTGCATCGATTTTATGTCACAATGAACAACAACGATAAAATGTTGAAAAGTAATGTTTAATTGTAACACCCGAAGAACAATGTTGAAGATCATGATTAATAAATGTGATTTGATATAATAATAATTAATTAACAATGGTAAATGGATAATGTTTGATCATGATCTTTAAAACAATGTAAAAAAAATTTTTTTTTTTTGACAAAAATCGTTGAAAATATTCAATGTCGATTGTTGATCGATTCGATCCAAAAAAAAATGGATGTTGAATGAATGTTATACAAAACAGGAATATTTTAGAAAAACAAAACAAAAAAAAATATTTTCATCATTTTAAATTGTCTTTCTTTTTTTTTTCATCATCATCATCATTCATCATTCATCATAGTTCATAATTCATCGAATCATTTTAATCATCATCATCATCATCATCATCAAAATCAATCAATCAATCATTCATTCAGCCAGCCAGCCAGCCAATCAATCAATTAATCAATCAACCAGTCAAAATGAAGAAATAGGTGAAACAAACAAAAATTTTTTTTTTAGCTAATTTCCATTTCATTTCATTTCATCATTATATTAAAATTGTAACAAAAAAATAGATTTTTTTTTTTGAAATTCAATAATTTTATGATGGTCATCCAACAAAAAAAAATGGCGCAATTTACCTGATTGTCAAAAAGGCAATTGATTTTTTTCCTATTCTTCATGAATCATTTGTAATCCAATAGGAACGAGAAAGAATTAAAATTCTCTTGTGAATTTTTTTTTTTGCTGTGCGCTCTTCATTTTTTTCATTATAATCAAATCAGAATTCACTTTCAATTCAATACAAATGAATGATTTATTTTTATCTCAACAGAGAATGTCAAACAAACAAACATCCAAAACAACAACCATTTAACAACAAATGATGATCATCATTCATAATCATGAAAAAAACAACAACAACAACAACATTAGCATCAACAATTCATTCATCCAAATAAATGATTTCGTCCATCATTATTTCATCTTTTTTTTCTGTTTTTTTCGTTATAAGTAGGAAACCAATCAAAATGGTTTTTTTTCGGAATAATAATTTTTGTTTTGTCCCTCGTCTATCGTTTAGTGTTGCTGCAATCATCATTTATTCATTCATTATTTTTTTTTTGTTTGTTTGTTTGATTTATCCTGAAATTTTTTTTTTATTATTATCATTATTGAATTATGATGTTTCTATTCTAAACAAATTTATTATTCTTACGACAGAAAAAAAACTCATAGGAATATATAATAAATAAATCAGAGAATAAAAATTTAATCTCAAGAATACCGACTATAACCGAATATAATTATATCATCTGATCTGATACACGTTGCACACACACACACACACACTATTTCCATTGGTATTTGTCTATGATGTGTACGGTAACTGTATATCAACCAGAATATTCTACAGAATATTCCAATAAAAATAATAATAATAATGATGATGGTGGTGGCAGTAAAAAAAACGAATCTATTTTTAGATTCTAAATAACGAAACACATACATACATATTTTATGGATTCGAAATATAGTTAGAGAGAGAGAGAGAAAAAAAACAGAAAATTCATATATTACAGGTACGCACATGATGATGATGATCACGATTAGTGGAATTAGGTAATATCGGTTATAAAATGAAAAAGAGAATAAAATCTAAATGAAAAATTTATTGTGTATCAAAATAATATAAAAATAAAAATGATGATGCAATTTTTTTTAATTAGATTTTGTTTGATATTTTGTTTTGTTCTGAAAAAACTATCAATAGTGACCGGATGTGCAGAATGTTTTATCCGGAATCCACTATATATGCATATAACAATATTCAAGTACATGGGAATTTTTTTTCTTTGCTTCAAATAAAGAAAATGATTCTTGGACCAAAAAAAAAAAAAAAAAATTCTTCTTGTAAAAACATTATTTTTACCTGGTTGTTTGATTTATTTTATTTATTAAATATAGTAGAAACAGAACTAGAATGAATGGATTTCATGCTGTGTGTGTGTATGTGTTTCTAGATTTTAATTTCCACATGTATATTGCATAAATATTTTTCTTTTGTTATTGCTTTGTCCGCAATGAATTAAATGTTTTTTTTACTTCATTATAATAAGTTGTATTGAATATGGTACACACACACAAACATTTATCTCCAATAAATTGGAATTCTTATTAGTTGTGTTAGTGGTGGTGAATGTGTGTGTGTGTGTATGTTTCTGGTTACCACAACAATCACGGCAATAGATTTTTTTTTCGGGCCAAATTTTTTTTTCTTGTTCTGTTAATCACATGTTCATTAGTTTGATAGTTATATTTTCATTTTGTTGGTTGTTTAGTTTTTTTTTTGTTTTGTTTAACTAGGTCTAGTTTTGATTTTTTTTCCCTTACTTTTTTTTACAGTTAATAAAAAGATCCGGTGGTAGTATATTATCATTGCTAGAATTAATAAAGTGACGAACAAATCACAATTTTTTTTTTTGTGTGTGTGTGTGTATTGAATGATGAAAAAAGCAAGAAAAAAAAAAAGAATTGTCATTTGTGTAATTCATTCGTTCATTCATTCATTCATTCATTACATACACACACACACACACACAAAAAATCATTTATGTATGTTAATGAATAAAGAATGTGAGTGGAGAAAGAACTAGAATTCATAGAAAAAATTCCATACATTCATCATACATCATCGAATGAAATACTGCCTGGATCTTGTTATAAATAAATAGATAGATAAAGATGAAATAAGAAATGAGAATTTTCTTTTTTCTCTTCTCCACTCTATCATCTATATCTTGTTGTCCAGTTTTTTCTGATGATTTTCTTTTCTCGCCATCATCATCACCATCATCATCATCATCATCATCATTTTTTTTTCATATCCATAAATATAAATCCAAACACAAATTCAACAGTCAAACTGAATTATTATTTTTTTTTTAGTTTGTTTGTACATTTCATTCATTTTGGATGAAAAAAAAATAAAATAGAATAAGAATATTGTCATTTTTTGTTTTGTTTTCTTTTTTTTTTCTTCTTCTTCAATTTCTTCCATCACACACACACACACTCGACATACTCCTTACGGCTCTTTTTTTTTGAATGAACAAAAAAAAAAAACATAATTGAATCTCTTTTATTTGACAATATGACAACACACTTCTCTGAACATTCTCTCTTTAAGGGAAAGAAAAAAAAATCTACAAAAGTTTGCCGGTATGCCATATGGATTCCATATATATGGATTGGAGGCTAAATAAATAATAATCAACAAACCATCGAATCGAACAGTGGGCAAAAAAATATTGGTAATTTCTTTTTGCTTGCTATCAACCCAAACAGACTATTTGTGTGTGTGTGTGTGTGTGTGTGGAATTTTACAAATCGAACATATATTTAATGATGATGATGATGATAATAAAAAAAAAAAAAAATTTCATATTCTGATTCTTGAAAATAACTTTGCCTATCTCTCTGTGTGTGTGTGTGTGTAGTCGTCATAGTTTTTATCGTGTGTATGTTTGTATTTTATCAGTTTCATATAGATAGAAATAAAGTAGTCAAGTTTTTTCTTACACACAAAAATAGGAAAAAAAAAGCTTCCACAAGTTCCAAAGAATTAGTATATGGTTGGTGATGATGAAGATAGAGTTGGTATATGGTAAATTGAGAATCAAAAAAAAAAAAAAAAAATCATGCGCCCTTAATTTTTTTTCTGTGTCTTTATAATACTACAACGACAACGATAATGATTCCAATTCATTTTAATACACATATATATAGGGTGTTGCTGAATCAATTTTTCTTCTTTCATTTTTTTTTCTCATATATTGACTTTGTGATTGTATTTTGTTGTTGTTGTTGTTGTTTTCTTTTTCATCTATTTCTATCTTTTGGTTATTGGATCACATTATACACATTTTTTTAAAATCTATATTTATGTATGTAATGTAATCACATAATGATGAATATTATATAAAATAAAATAGGGACCCCTTAAATTCTTTTTTGTTGTTGTTGTTGTTGTTGTTGTCGTTGTCGTTGTCGTTGTTGTATATGCGTATATCGTATGTGTGTGTGTATTTAGGTTTTTTTTTCTCCAGGTTACCCAGACTCCCTAAGTAAAAATAAAAATTTGCCATTGTATGTTATGTTGATTCTGTTTCAGTTGGCTTGAAACCGTTGCCTAGTGCACATCGTCTTCTTTTTTTATTATTCTGTAGTATTCAGGTAATTCATACACATATAACCAAAATAGGTGAATGAAAATAAGCAAAAGAATTGGTGAAAAAAATCTAAACTAAACCCATATTTTTTTTGGTGCTGATGTTTTCTTTTTTTATTATTCTCATGTGTATGTGAATTCTGTCGGTGTATTCTGTGTGTGTATGTCTGAATATTTTTTTTTCTATTGAATTAATATTCCAAAGCACGTATAAAACAACAACGAAAACGACGACGACGACGACTATAACGAATTTTAGTTTTATGTTTTTTTTTTTTGGTTCTATTTTTGTTTCAGATGATAATGAATATCATTCGGTTATGTAACAATTTTCTGAATACTTTTTTGTTTAAAAAAAATGTGTGAAAAAATTCTTGTAAATGATGTGGTTGGTCATCATCATCATAATGTTTAAGTGCAAATACATCTAAACGATAACAATCGATTGTTTTTTTCTTTCTCTCTCACATACAAATCAATGCCAAACAAAGTGTTTGAAATATTTTTCTCAAATAATTGTAAATTGGATTGCCACCAATCATTATTGGCTATCCATTGTGATGTTTAATTCTTTTTTCATCTGGTTTTCAACAAATTTTATTCCATTATCTGTGATTTTTCTATTGCTCAAACCTATTTATCATCATATTTCATCATCATCATCATCATCAAAATATTTATGGATGGCAAAAAATTCATATCAAATTTTTAATTCCATTAATGTTATCAAATCATTTATTTTTAATAACCAATGTTATTCATGCTGAATCTATTGTTGATATCGATACAACAATTTACAATGATTTAAATCAAGAATCAATAGAAAATAATAATGAAAATTCTGATTCAAATTCTCGATCATCATCACCAGATTCATCATCTGGCCACAACAATGATGATGAACAACGTACATCATCATCATCAGCATCAGAATCATTAACATCAACGACTGCCAATGATTTTGGCATTCACGATGATGAAGTAAGTAGAATAAATGAGAAAAATTTTTTTTTTTTTATCGCACAAGAATTTCATATATAGAGATGTACTGGAATTTGTCTCATTTTTTAGACATTAATTTTAGTGTTTTATCTTTTTGAATGTTTTGAAATACATTTCAAATGAATATTTGTTCCTGATTCATTCAATGTTGTAATTTTTTGTTTATTTGTTTTTTTTATATTTTTCTTCATTTATAATTTGAATAAAGCAAATTCTACAAACAATTCATGCCATTAGTGAGGGAAAATATTGTACGGCTTCTATGAATACTGCCACTGGAATTTCCGCTATAGGAACATTTCCGTCCTCCATTGCTTCATCATCATCATCACATTCTATGGTTTCTGCTATGGCCATTGTTAATGTTTCGAAAAAAATCGATGATGATAATAGTGATCAAAAGATTAAAAATCAAAAATTGAATAGGAAAAAATTACGTTCGAATCAGCAAAGAAAACGAGCAACGGAACAATATCAGCATCATCATCATCATCATCATCATATTCATAAATCGATGATTCAATTGAATCAAAATAATTCAACCTCATCATCAACAACAATGATACAACAATGGCTCAATGAAATGAACAAATTAGAATCAATATATTCAAGATTTCATCATCAACAAATTAATTTATTACTTTTACATGAAAAACAACATTATATACGTCATTCATTGACTAATAATGAACAATTTAGACGTGTAGAAAAATGTATTGATCTTTTAGCAAGAATTTTGGGCGATTATGAACCATTTTTGGATCGTTTTCAGCTTTTAAATCAAACCATTATGCAGACACCATTGATTGAATCGAAAATTTCTAGGTAATTTGATATATTAAAAGTTCAAGATAATTTTCAAAACATGAATTTTTTTGACAATTTTTGTTTTCTACCCCCTATTTAGTCTTTCAATAGCATGGAATGATGAATCATCATCCACATCATCATCGTTCGACGATATTAAATTACAATTTTTTCAATGCAACGAAACAATGCCAACATTAAACAACAACAACAACAACAGCAGCAGCAGCCGCAAAAAATGTCATGTTATTTCAGTGCTCGAATCAATGCAAGTGATATCGAAATGGTTTTCATCTAAACTATTACAAAAATTAAAAGAGAAACGTATTTTTCATCATCAAAATAAAAATGATTCAACAGAATGGTCAAATCTTTTCTATGATTGTCATCATAATCGTTGGTTTATTACATATCATTCATTGATATTACAAGCCATTTATGATAATGATGATGATGATGGTGGTGGTATTGATAATTTAACAACAAATAAAACGAATGCGAATGATAATTATGATATTGATTATAAATATTGGTTTCGTGTTCGTGGCATTATAAGTGCCGATATTGATGTAACTGACACTGATATTAATCAATGTGGTGAAGAATTTATTGATGAAACAAAAACAACAACAACAACAACAACATCGTCGGCAGCCATTAATGAACCAAAAGAATGGCGAACAACATTGAATCTATATGGAACACATAAATGTCATAATGAAAATAGTGAGGTAAATTTTTTTTTATGTCTATGTCATATGCCAATATATGTTTTAGGAGTGAAAAGGGAATTCTTTTATATATATTACTTTATTTTTCAGATTTGAGAATTGAATTTACTTGGAAATTTATCGTACAAATTTGAAGCAGAAGTATAGATTTTTTCTTTTTCTTCATTTTTTGTTTCTTATTAGCGAATACACCAAAAATTTATTCATTAATTTAGCGCTGAATGAATCTTCTTCTTATTTTTTATCCCAAGAACTTTATTTCATTACATATGCAGCAAATTTCTTCATTTCAATTTCTTTCGTACGCTGTTTTGCATTTTGTTGTTGTTGTTGTTTACATTATGGGGTTATTTTTTTTTTGTTGAGGAGAGATAAATAATGGCAAAATATCAACGTAGAATATAAACAAATACCACATAGAATTTGCTGAGAGAGAGAGAAAAAAAGTCAAAAAAGTCAACAGTAAATTAGATTGTATTGAATCAATGTAATGGATAAAAAGAAAATTGAACAAGAAAAAAAAATAAAGTTTTTTTCTTCTTCACAATTTCTTTGATTGTATGGACTGAAATTGTTTTTTTTTTGTTGAAATTGAAAAAAAAACAATAACGATACTCATTCATTTCTATTTATATATAAATTGAAAACTTTGTTGTTGTTGTTGTTAGATTCTAAATTCACTCTATAGATATATATAATGAATACTCTGCCCACACACACACACAGGATTCAGGATAAATTTATTGAATTGTCTTTAACACCGTATCTGTGTTTTTTTGTTTTTTTTTGTTTTAAATTCAATTGTACAAAAATGACAAACTTTTCAAGTGTGCACTCATCATCATCAATATAATAATAATAAAACCATATAAAACATGATGCAGTCAGCAGGAAAAAAAAATTTTTTTTTTTTTTCCATTGATAATAATGTTGATATGTATTGACATTTGAACGTTTTTCAACAAATAGCAACAAACAACAACATTGATTCAACATTGAGACAGCATTCAACTTGAGTATATACTTTGCGCTATTGAAGAATAAGAAGAAGAAGAAGAATGATGTGTGTGATGATGAATTAAATTCTAAAACTTAATTGTATTTTTTTTTCTTATTATTTGTTGGAAAATAATTTCATCAATTCAACAAATCTTGACAATCGTATTCTTTTTCTTGTTTGGGAAATGAATGAAAAACGCTCACACACACACACACACACGCACACACACATACATCCGTTCCAAGAGAATGAATGTGAAGCTAAAAAAACTGATAATAAATCTAAGTTAGTGATGGTAACAATATATTAAATGAATAGACATGAGTGCCGGAATTTTTTTCTTTCTGTTCGATTCTTTACCGTTGTGATAGAGGTGGTGACGTAAATGTATTTGATGATGATTATTATTATTATTATTATCAATGTAGAAAACAAACATCCAAACATTCATATCAGATCTACTATAATGTACCTACGGTAAATTTTAATCAAACTTTTTTTTAAAAAAAAAATCTATTTTTTTTTCATTACTAATACTGTGTGTGTTTGTTTGTTTATCTTTTCCGGTGAAAAGATGTGATGTAAACAATCAACATCAATTTTTTATTCACTTGGGTAATATCAAGTGTCAATTCACACACACACACACACACACACACCCAACAGCATTTGATTTGACTTTACATTGATTTTACATTAAAAAAAAATAGAAGAATGTGAATCCGAATCAATATTGTTTCATCTTTTTTTTTCTATTTATGAAAAATTTATGAAATAATTTTTTTTTTTGCCATTTCATTTCATTTTTAACATCCAGTGTATTTTTATTTCTGGTCTTGGAATGTATCGTGGTGGTTATCAATGTCGATGTAAAATTGGGTAAGTATGGAACCAGGATGATGATGAAAAAAAAACTAACTCAATTTTTTTTCTTGCATTTCGTTATGATTATCATCATCATCATCATCATTTTTTTCTTGTTGGCCTAATAATTACTATTACGATGTACAGGTTTCATTCGACCGTCACAAATTTAGGTCCCAAATTCAATGGTACATTAATGGAACGTTCTTATCAGGATAAACAGGATGGAAAAAGGTAATAATAATAATAACCTTGCTGTTGCTATTGTTTGTTCATTCATTCATTCATTCATATTTCTGGATGAAGAATGCATTCTTTCATTCTTTTGTTGTTGTTGTTGTTGTTTGTTGTTGTTGAATAATTTCATATTTTTCTCTTTTGTTATATAATAATCGTTTTAATAGTCCGGCATATGATTATATGTTTAAATGTGAACATTGTCAACCTGGTTGTGATCAATGTCAAGATAATTCACCATGTTTATCATCATATAATTATGCATTTCGTATATCATTATTGACAATAACAATATTATGTATAATATTTACATTTATATTGGCTTTAAATATATATCGTTATAGACGTTTAAAAGTCATTAAGGTTGCATCACCAATATTTCTTTGTATTACATTACTTGGATGTGCTAGTATGTATATTGAGGTAAGTTGATTATTAGTAGTTAATTTATTCATAATGATAACAACAACAAAAAAACTTTCAATTTTTCACCCCCCAAAAAAAAAAGACTATAATGATATTTCCTGTGATGAACACTACTACTTGTGTACTGACAAAATGGACTAGAAATTTTGGTTTCTGTCTTACATATTCATCATTATTATTGAAAACATGGCGTGTATCATTAACATATCGTGTGAAATCGGCACATAAAATTAAATTAACAGATAAACAGCTATTACAATGGTTATTTCCCATATTATTAGTGATGGTCATCTATTTGGGTGCATGGACCATTTCGGATACACCAAAACCAAACTATATAGTTGATTGGAATAATTTAAAATTCAAACAATGTGATTATAGCTGGTGGGATCATAGTCTCACTATTGGTAAGTAATTTTTTGTTTCACTTTCTCTTATTTGATTTCTACATTTATTATTCATATTTATCGATGATGATGATGATGATAGGTGAATTTTTATTTCTGCTTTGGGGTATAAAAGTTTGCTATAATGTCCGTAATGCTCAATCATTATTTGATGAAGCCAAATATATTACTTGGGCCATATATAATATAACCATTGTAAACATGGTCGTAATTCTTATCCAGTAAGTTTAGTTTGTGTTTTTTGTTCGTAAATAGGTTTTTTTTTCTTGCTCATTGATTTATTCCTTGTAATCATCATTTTTTTTCGTTTCTTTCCATATAGTATATTTATTCTACCAGATTCTGGTCCTGATATAAAATATTTTTTCGGTTTTCTACGCACACAACTGAGTACAACTACAACGGTTATATTGATTTTTGGTCCAAAATTTTATCGTGTCATCAAAGGTGAAGGTGATCTATGGAATCCACGTGCACGTTGTATGATGGCCGATACATTTGCATTCAATAATGGTATTGGTTTAGCACATGAAGAAACCACCGATCTTTATCAGGAAAATGATGATCTTAAACGTGAAATACAAAAACTTGCAGCACAATTAGAATTAATGAAACTATGTCAAATGGAATTCCGTAATCGTCATCTAAATAATCATTTGAAATTTTCACGTATTCAACAACAACAATCACAATCAGATTAAATTTATAAATTCATGTAATGAAACAGACAAAACAGAACTAGAAAGCCGCTATAGCTATGGCTACCATGATGATCAAAAACCTATATATACGTACGAGAACAAGAAGAAGAAGAAATGAAAATGATGACGTAAAAACAGAAAAACAGCAACACAACAATCTATTGCGCAAATGTATTATCAATCAAATTTTGATATTGAAACAAAAACATAACATTTTTTCTTTTCATCTAAATAAAATGCAATTTACGATGATGATGCTTTTTCCATTTTTTTTTTGTTGCCGGCACCTATATGTGTTTATGGGAATGGATTTTTTTTGGTTCTTTTAGTTTCCTGATCTTGTCTTGTCGTTTCCATTTTCATTTCGACAATGATGATGAAATTGAATGTTTTAAATTCCTTTTGTCGTTGTCGTCGTCGTCGTCGTTTTTGAATGATTATGATGATGATGATGAAAAAATGGATGACGATGAAAAATGATATAGAAGAATAAAAAAAAAGAAAAAAGTTTAATTTATTTTATTTCATTTTTTGGTTTGTATTTGTGCTTGTATTTCGTTTCGTTTTGGGCGCGTGTTTAAACTCCCACGAAACCTGATCGATATTCATCTTGTCATCATGAATAAATGAATGAATGGATGTATGGTGTGAAATAGTGTGTATGTCGATTTGAGACGATTAGACAAACACACACGCACATCTCATTTTTCAAAAAAAAGGTGAAATTGTCAGAAAAAGATAGTGAAAAGGAAAATGTCTTTATTTTTTGTTTTGATAGAAAAAAAAGCAAATGAAAGAATAAATGAAATTATAGTATTCAATACAATTTTCATGTAGGTGTTTTTGTTTCAGAATATTGATCCAAAAAGGTGATTTTTCCACAACAACAACAGCAATAGCAATCATCATTAGCATCGAATATAATTGAAGAATTGTCTTCTTGTAGTAAGAAACAAAAGAAAAGATGATAGTTTTTTGCTAATTGCTTCAAGCCATTGTGTGGGAAAAAAAATCCGTTTGTTGATGAGGACAACCTTTATTTTTATTTTTTCTAATCATCATCATCATTGTCGTCATTTTCGTTGTTGTTTGTTGTTTCCATGGATGTAGTTTTTCCTGATTCATTTTCATCGTGTTCTTTTTGATTGTAATAACGATTTTTCCAATCTTTATACCTATATATACAGAAAAAAAATTATTTATATTTAATGATGAAGAATTTCATTCGTTTTCATTGTTTTTTTTGTTAGTCTGAACTTTGTTTTGTTTTTTACTTTTGCCCATTTCTTATTGATTGATTGATGAAGTGTACAGTTTTTTTTTCAACATTCAGAATACTAAATGAATTTGTGTGAATCAATTTTTTTTTGCTCTCTATACACAACCATAGAAGAATCACTAGAGTAGAAATAATTTTACATTTTATATACACCCAGTAGTGAGTAAAATTGATTTTCAGTTAATTCAATGTTTGTGTAGAATATTCATTCATTCATTCATTCATTGACCGTAATAGACAAATGATAATAGATTGGTCTGGAATGTCTTGATATACCGGATAATGATATGGTAACAGTACTTGCTTTGGCTGAATTGAAAAGGAATTTCTCAAATATTCTCAAATTTTCAAATGAAATTTTTTTTTTCTGTTTCTTAATATCATGCATCATTGGAAAAATATATTCATTGGATAATCAAAAATGATGATTTTTTTTTTTTTTTTTTTCGAGCAAAAAAGTTTGTCATGTTAAAAACAAAAGCATAAATCATGGATGCACACACGCACACACACACACACGGTCGGAAATAGAATCCGGTTTTTGTTTGTTACTGGTTGTCCATAAAATAAAACCAAAAAAAAAAAAAAAATGTCTTTCTCAACAACAACAACAAAAGTTGTGAATTGTAAGGCGAGAAACCTATTCATATTTACTAACCTCCAGATATCATGATATTTATTCGCTTCGCCCCATTCTTCTTTATGATATACATTTTTCCAGCCATGTTTAAAATGTCCTTTATCAGCATAATATTCATTTTTTCCTTCTTGTTTCATATCCGTTGCTGATGAATCATTACCATTGTCGTATTGGATTTTATTCTCCACTTTACGATGTTCCATTGGCAACATATTCTCGATGAAATCTTTTTCATTTTTTTCTTGTTTTTCATCATCATTTTTATTTATTATTCGTATTGGATTCAAATGGCTAGAACTTGGCTGTTGAACATCGGTCAATGGTATAAAATCCATTGTTCTTGCTTCTCGTTGTTGTTGTTGTTGTTTGGTTTCATCGTCCATATTATTCATTGTTTTGTCCAACATTGGAGGTCTCCAATCGGAAAAATTAAAAAAACCAGGCTCAATTTGTCTTCCAATAATTGCCGTACTGGCATTGGATTTTGTATTATTTTTTATCTTGGTTTCCGACAATTTCAGATGATCACCATCATCATTATCATCGTTATCTTCATCCAAATCAATTTCCTCGTCATCATCATCATCATTATTTACAATTTGTTCAGGTTCATAACGTGAATTATATGGCCAATTAGCTTTTGTTGTCGCCATCGTCGTCGTCGTCGTTGTCGTCGTCGTCGCTGTTTTTTCTTTATCTTTTAATTTAGGATTATTTTTTATCAATTGATCAGATGGTATTTTGGATTTAATGTTTAAATCATTCCAATATAATGGATATGATGGTTGATATGATGGAATATTATTCCGTAGACGTGGTTCAACAAGATCCAGCCAGAATGGCCTATGCAATTGTTTTTGGTTACGATTTTCAGAAGTTTCAAAAATTTCTTTTGGAGAATTTAATATAAAATGATGATTTGATGTTTGTTTTGTATTGGTTGCCAAAGTTTTGTATTTATTATTTTGCTGTTGTCGTTGTCTAGCTTGAATAGCTTCACGCAATAATTGATCAAGAAGAATAAGTCTTGTGCCGATTTGTTCAAATGGCGTTGATGATGATGATGATGGTATATATTGAATATTTGGTGAATGAAAACTTGATTCGGCCGTTATTATTGGATTATTATCAAATGTTTCAAGTGGTACAAATGGTTCATATATTGTACTACTACTGATACTACTACTACTGCTGCTACTATCTGTTGTACCAATATTTGATGTATCCGTATTACTATTGAATAATAAAGTTGTTGGAAAATCTTCGGGAATATACAAAGGTATTGTCAATTGAAATAAATGATTTGATGATGATGTTGTTGGCAATCCATTTAACGTTGTTTGATAAGTGGATAAAATTGGTGTCGATTCTGTGGATGATTCGGACATTTGAAGATCATTTTGAATTTGTTGTTGTTGTTGCTGCTGCTGCTGTAGTTGTCGATTTTCATCATGAATCGGTTCAAATACTGGAATACCAATTGGTGGAATAATCGGTGGACCGAAAATAGCCTGATCAGAAAAAATTGGCATCGGTATTGTTGTCAATGATTTGGATTGTCTATGATTATAATTGGTACGTTTTTGATGATCCGAAAGCCATTGATGTGATAATTTTGATGTTTTTGCACGTAATTTTTCAAATAATGATGTTGCAACCAATAATAGATTTGCATCGGCAACATGTACAGGATTGCTGCCAAGATTTATTATCTAATATTAAAAACATGTAATAAATTATTTTATCAATGATGAAAATACTATTCAAATACTATATATAGTTACCCATAAATAAATTGTTATATAACAGATTAGCATTTTTTCTTCTTCTTTTTTTTTTTTTTTTGTTTGGCTTATAATAATAATGATGATGATATTCTGGATGTAAAAGAATTGAATTGCTTCATGGAATCATTGAATTGTCCAATAAAATCATCGTCATCACCATCATTATGGACAACATGACATTAAATGAAAATAAAAATTACTTCAACAGCGACAACAACAATCTAATTTGATTCAATAAGAATGTGTGTGTTTGATTATGATGAAGATGATGATGGAATCTGGTCACACACACACACACACATACACATGTACACATTTGAAATGGAATTCAATCAGTAAAAATGAAAAAATTCCAATTGTATATATAGTGTATGGTTTTGTAATTTGTCTCACAATTTTTCTCTCTTTTTCATTACTACAACTGATTTTATTTTACTGATTTATCATCATCTTCTTCATCATCATCAACCACCATATATATATATTAGAAGAACTTTACTAATAATATATAAAATAAAAATTCACTTAAACATTTTTTTGGTTGATTATAAATGAACTAAACATTAACAAAATCAATTGAGAATCATTGAGAAAGAAAAAGAGAAAGAAATAAGATGAGATGAGATGAGATAGGATAGTGTTTGAAGAAATTGGATCAGAATTTATATATATTATTATCATCAACAGACAAAAAAAAAGCTTTAAATGAAAAAAAAAAAATTATTCGGACCAATAAATTTTCTTCATTTTCTTCTCACTCATAATATCATCTCATATAAATGACACAAATTGTCGACAATAACCGAGTGGAAAAAAGTGATAAAAAAAAATTTTTTTTTTCTTTTCCAATCATTCATTTTATCTTGCCTTTTTTTTTTTTTTTTTGATAATACCAAATTATTATTACCGAAAACACAACTACTATTATTACTATTTGACCGTCACATTTTTCATTGTCACACACACACACACACACACACACACACACACAAATGAACATGAACATGAAAAAAAACATTCATCATTTTTTTTTTTGTTCACGCCACACACATACAGTGGATAAGTTTTTAATTTGAATTTCTCTCTCTCTCTCTCTCTCTCTTCTCACTTTTATATATACATACCGTATAATCATCATCATCATCGTTTTCATTATTTTTATTATTATCGTTCATAAATAATCAGTTCCAATGTACAATATTGTACATACAGCACACAACACATTTATTCCAAACAAAACATGAAAAAAAAAAAAAATTTACAAAAGAATCCCATGATGAGAAAATCTTATGTTGAAATTTTTTTTTTTATCTTTTCTTCTTCTTCATTATCATCATTTTATTCATTGCTATAGTGTGTCTATTCGGTTATTTGCTTGTTTTTGTATTGAATTTCATCAATTTTTTTTCTCTCTCTCTTTCTGTGTGTGTGTGTGTGAATTTTAAATGATGATGATCATGTAATATTAGTTCAGTTTTCAAATGTGAATTTATTTGAATTTTTTTTTCGTTCGTTCGTTTGTTCGTTTTTCGAGTTTGACAACAACAACAACAACAATAATGATCGGGTTTTTTTTTCTTTTTGGTAAATGAAACATATATTCAGGTGGAGAAAAAAAAACGAAATTCATGAAATACCGGGAGCTAAAAATCCATTATGTTGATTTGATTTTTTTTTTCGTTCTTTTTTTCACGATTATTGTTAAAGCGAAACGACGACAAAAAAAATTTATTAAATTTGCATTTTCAAAAATAATACGGTTGAAACAGTGAAACAAAAAAAAAAATCTCCAACCTCAAAAAAAAGCCAAAATGCAGATGAGCAAATCAAAAAAAAAAAAAAAAAAAATTCTGCAAGAATTCTGCATATATGTCACCATATTCTATTCTTTTTTATTTCACTGACAAAAACAGAATATAAGAAAATTGTTCAGAAAAAATTCTTCAGCTTGACTTGTTGAATTTGTATTGAATAAAAAGAAATCAAAAAATAAAAGAAAAGAAAAGAATTTTTTTCGACTTTGTCAAATATATAGATCAACAATATACATGTGAGACTTATTGAATTTGGTTTGCATGTATGAATACAAATAATAAAACTCTATATATATTTTGAACATAATGAAAGCGGTGCATTCAAGTGTGTGTGTTTGCATTTTCATAAAAATCTGAAATCCAATATCATCATTATATGATAATAATAATAATATGGTTGAAATAAAATTTGATAAAATTCGCATCAATAGTTTTCACATAAATCCACAAGCATCGTCGTCATCATCATCATCATCATCATCGTGTATTGATCACAACAGAGAATCAGTGAATCCAGAAAAAAAAACACCATCACACCAAGCTATACAATTTCAAATAGGTCAAACAGAAATTTTTATTTTGTCAATAGATTTGAAATATTGAAAATTTGGGATAAATATATTTATAAATTCAACTTGAAAATGGCCACATTGCATATTGTATAGAAAATAACGTAAATTTTTATTTATTATTATTTTCAATGTTTCTGCGTTTGTGTGTGTGTGTGTGTGTGTGTGTATGAATCGTACGTTTTTATAATTCTGTCTGTATGTAAATGTATAGAATAATTTTGTTTGTTTGTTTGTTTGTTTCGGTCTGGATTATTGTTGTTTTCAAGGTTGATTAACATATGACATTGAATGAAATGAAATTTTTGTTACAAAAAAAAAAAAATTTTTTTTTCTAATGCATTCATGCAGGAATAAAATGGAATTAATAATAAATGATGATGATTAATGTGAAAAACACAAAGTATTAATGTTGTTATTGTCTATGATGATAACGAATGATGATGAATAATGATTCATTACATAATAAGCTCGAATTTTTTTTTTTTTTTTTGCCCCATAACTAGAATATGTGTTAGAATGAATTATGTGTTCAATTTTTAATTGATTTTTTTTTTCTTCGATGTCCAATAATAATAATAATAAATAATCTACTATATCTAATCTTTTTGTATTTATAATGATGATGATGATGATTCTATAACTAATACTACTACTACTACTACTATTACTACTATTACGGCTGATGGATGACAATGATGAATATGAAGATGATGATGATGATATTATATAGATTAGAAAACAATAACGAATAAATATGAATGTGAATGAATGAAAATGATAAAGATGTTTTTGTTTTGTTTTGTTTTTTTTTTTTGTTGTTGTCTTATGAGGATTATAATGATTATAATGATGATGATGAATGGATGAATGAATGAATGAATGAACAAAACGAATAAAGTGTGAAATGCGGTAATGTTTGTTAATGATGATGCCGAAGATGATGATGATGATGATGATGATGATGATGAATCCAATAATAAATAGAGAATAGTGAAAGAATGATGATGAGAATGCCCATGAGAGAATGAAAATGAGAATTTTGATTCTTTGATAAAAATATGTGTGTGTGTGTACGTTTTTTTTTTGTTTGTTTGTTTGTTTTCGTTTCGTTTCGTTTTTTTGATGATTGTAGTTGTTGATGATGATGAAAATGAATTTGTTTCGTTTTGTTTTTTGTTTTGTTTTTTGATGTGATGCAATTTAATTTCAGTGCTTATCATATAATGAATGGATGAATGAATGAATGAATGAATGAATGAATATGGATATGGTTGATAATATTGATGATCATTGTTGATTGTTGTTTAAATGTTGTATGTGCGCTCGTGTTGATTTTTGTTGTTGTTGTTGTTGTTGTTGTTCACCTTTTATTTCCTTTTGTGCCCAAATTTATCTATTTATCTCCATCATAATTATTCATAATCGCCCGAATAATCATCGCCTTGTCCACCATCACCATCATAATCGGCTGAACCACCATCAGAATTATCGCCTTGTCCATGATCATCATGGTCCTTATTTTTTTTATTTTTATTGTTTGAATCGTAGTAATAAGAATCAAAATTTCCACCACCATAGCTTACCGAATAATCATCATCATTGGTTCCGCCACCGCTATGATCATCACCTCCATCATCGTAGCCATCACCGAAACCATCATCGGCCAATAATAAATGTCGTCCTTTTCGTGTACGTAATTTCGATGGTGATGATGATGCAGCGAAATCATGGCTTGCTTCATTATGTAGTAATAAATCTTCTGGGTCCGTGTCATCAGGATCATCTGGTGCTATTTTTTTTATAACAAAAAAAATTGATTGATCAATAACATTGAACCATCATTATAAAATACCATACCATCAGTTCTAAAATCATTAACATTTTGACCAGTAAATTCAGCCATTTGAGCAGCATTTGGATCAGGAACAGTATTATAATCATGATTCATTGTATCTAAATTAGATTTTTTTGTCGTTGGTTTTTGATGAAAATAGTTGAATCTAGTTGAATAACGTTTAGTAATGCCACCATTGCCGCCACCATTTTTGCCAATAGATGTTGGAACATTAGAACCATCAGCAGCCGATGTATGACGATAGTTATATTTATTTGAAACTGGATATGAATTCATGGTTGGTCGTCTTTCCGATGAGAAAAAAGGATCAACACGATTTGAATCCATATAATTTGGTGTCCTTCGTCGTCTATTCGATGTCATGATATTGCCATCATTTTCGTCACCATTAAATGCTGATGCTGATGATGATGATGATGTTGGTGCATGATGATTATAATAAAGATGATGATGTGGAAATGGTAGATTATGATATTGATGTGCCGGTGATTTCATCATCATTCCATTATTACGATATCTGGGTAAATCAGCATTGATCGGTACAAATCTCGATTCATCAGTTCGGGTTCCTTTATGATGAATGCCTTTCGATGTTGGATTATTTTTTTGTTTGTTCTTATCACCATCGATGAAATGACATTCACGTGTCATGATGTACGAACCTCGTTTGGCTCCATTTTTAATTTTTCCATCCTCGATGCTACGTTTTTTACGTCGTCTACGAAAATCATCATCACCCATTCCACCGCCATCCGTATTGGATTGTCCAGGTAATGATGCTGAAATTTCCTTATAAACCTATAATCGATTCGTTTTTGAAATATTTTTGTTTTCCGTGCCACGCACAAACACACAGAAAAAAGACAAGGAATCATAAATTTGTTGATCGGTTACATTACCATTTTATAAACGAAATTTTTTTTGGTCACAAAATATCCACGGTTAATCAATTTGAATAATAATTTACCGTTTTACAGCCTTTCAATGCTTCCACCATTGGTACATTGAATGATGCCGAATTATCCTGATCGAATTCCGTTGTATCATCATTATTCCATGGTATATCGAAATCGCCATCATCATTGCCATCATGTTCCTGTCGATCAACATCACCATCGATTTCATCAATAATTTTCTGTGCATTTGCATTTTGATCATTGTTATAAGTATTTGTTACCGTTCCATCTCCTTGATTATCATGTGGTGGCTGCCTCTGTTCGTCATCACTATCGATATCATCATTATCGTCATCATAATCACCTTCATAATCTATGTTAGTTTAAAATGATTCATTTTTTTTATAAAAACAAAACTCATACTCATCTGTTGTTTTGTTCCATTATTTTTTCTTTGCTTACCTGATTGTCCATCATCATCACGTGGATTATTGCGTACAACATCCATTGGAATCGGTGGATAACCATGACGATTACCAGGATCATCTAATGTCCATGGATCATAACTATTGTAGAAATTTCTACTTTCTGATGAATTTAGATTCAATTCTTTTTGCTGTTGTTGCTGTTGGTATGATAACACTTTCTTCGCTATCATTATTAATATTGTTTGGCAAATATTGATGAAAATATACTGTTGATGTTGCAATTGATGATGAAGAATTATTATTATCATTATTATTGTCACTATGTAATATTAATGTATTATTATTATGTGTTGTTCGTAATGCTAATGGTGGAATGGATGCATCGATTGTTCCAATGAAAAATGTTGATGGAACACTGACCATCATCATCATCATTAGAATTGATATCACAAACATTTTGATAATTTAATTAATTATTTTTTTTTCTCTCTAAATTATCTGTAATGAAATTTGTTGTTCAGAAAAATTCTGTTGAATTTTCAACAAAATTCTATGAAAAAGAAGAAATAATATACACACACACACACACACACACACTGATTATTCAATATGACAAACAAATGACAATAGATTCTTGATTGTGGCCATATGAAACAACAATGTTGTTTTTCATTTTGTCGATTTTTTTTAGTTACTGTACAACAACAATGAAAATCAAATTATTCAACACAAAAGCAACAAACGAAAACATGTACGATATCAGATTGATGAAACTTTTACCTTCAACTGATTAATCTGTTGATCTTTTTATACCTGATCAATCTACCAATCATCTATCATTTTTGTTTTCTCCACCAGATGAACAAAAAAAAAACAACCGAACACCTCTCTTTCTCTCTCACTTTCAATATCTTTTTCACTTTCTTCAATCTCTTTTTTTTCTGAATCACAGCTGTCAATATTTTATTTTATTTTTTCTTTGTCTAGAAATCTTCAATTTTTTTTTTTTTTTTGGTTTTGTTCACAAATTGATCTGGAAATAAATCTGGAACAAATCCGATCGCTAAAAAAAAAATTCCAATACGACCCGATAAAATATCAATTGATAGTACTAGGAAGGAGCCATTGATGTCATTTCTGTTGATAATGATGACAACAGGTGAAACAACACCTTGACGAGACGATTATTTTTTTTTCTTTATCATCTTATGTTTGTTTGTCTCGGTACAGTGTGTGTTGATAAGAAAAAAAAGCATAAGAAAGAAAGAATTAAAATCGTAGTTTGGGATTGTGGAGACAATTGGTGACATTGCGCTTCGACCTGTATATACGATAATAATAATAACAAAAAAATTGATTTGATCATTTTTCATGGAATTCAATTCGTATCATTATCATCGATATTATTATATTACCATATAACACACAGTTCATGACATAAAATATGGCTGCTTGTCAATGAAAAAATTGTAATAACCAATTGTAATTGTAATTATCAATTTAACAAAATGAGAATTGAAATTGATAATGGAATGCCAATTATCTGGATAACAATTTTTTTTTTTCGTTCGTTCGTTCGTTTGTTTGTAACATTGTAAATAAATTTAGTACACAGTAACAACAATTATTATTCCGTTTTAAACTTGAATGAACTTTTTTTTTGTTCTTTGTTTTGTTTACCGAGAAAAAAACGAAAAAACGAAAAAAAGAAAGTGAAAAACAAACCAAATTGGCAATGATTGTGTGATCTAAATTAATGTGGATGTGTGAAAAAAAACAATTAGATGAATCGGATGATATTTTTTTTTTCTTCGGAATGAAAAATTTCCAAATTTGTGATGTGACCATGGCCCAGTCAAGATATATTTTTTTTTTCGTTCTGCCTGTATTTGTTCACGGAAATCATTAATCATCCATTTGACATGGTTCTTCTTGAAAATTTTTTCTGTTTATTTGTTCTTCTGTATATTGTTTTATGATGATGTACTGTCGATTGTGTTTGTTATCATCGTGTTTTTTTTTGTTGTTGTTATGAGAAGAATTTTTTTTTATTCTGTTTTTTTTTGTTTCTAGAATTTCGTCTTTTTTTTTCTTACATTATTATTTCTCATTCATTCATTCACCGTACTGAAAAGAAAAGAATCTCAAGTATGAGAGAGAGAGAGAAAAAAAACCTAAGTGTTTAAACAAAGTTGATCTATGGATTTATCGTAAAAAGGATCTAAACTTGAAACGATAACCAATATATATATATAGATGATGTTTGAATGTTGTACTTTTTTTTCTTTTCTGATGTGGTAGAAGAATATTCGTTCTTCTGTGTGTGTGTGTTTGTGTAAAGATAAAGACGGATAGTGTCTATAGGGAATTTCGAATAAAAAAGAAAAATTCGTTCATATATTTTTCAACTGGTTTATCATCATTTCCATTAAGAAGATAATCAGATTCCAGCTTTTTTTTCGTATTTTCGATGCTAGGTAATTTTTTTTTTTTTTGATTGAAAATTGTAATTTCAGTGGCAGAAAAAAAAAGAAAAATTCATGTCATAATCATGCATCAATATTCAATTAGAATGGAGAATTCATGGTGATGTTTCAACGAGACAATTGTCGTTATTCGTACCGCAAAAAAACAAAATGAGACTTAACACGTCGGAACAAAAAAAAACAATGATCAATAATCATAAACAATTCAACAACATGAAAAACTAAATTGATGGGAGGAGGAAGAACAAAATGAAAAAAAACAATACAACGAAACGCGTCAACGAAAGAAAAATTTAATATCACTTTAAACTCTTGAACACACCGACAAAAAAAAACCAAAAACAAGTTTCAAAATGGATAAAGTTAAAATCCTTTTTTTTTCGTCATCCTTATTCCCACAACAACAACAACAACTTCGAACCTCAAAGTAGTAAAAAAAAAATCAATCCATCCGTCATGCACTAAATGTCGATCGATCGATCGGTCGGTGTTTGTGTATATTGTTTTTATTATGGCGCCCGACAAACACATTTACAGAAGAAACGAAAACGAACCGATTTGAAAAGAACAAAATCCATTTTGTCGTTTGTGTGTGTGTGTGTACGTGTGTGTTTTGTGGAATATCGAAACCTAATTGATTGATTGTTCATTGATTGTACGTTTTTTTTTGTATTTTGTTTCTTGTTGTTGTCATAATTACAAGAAAATTTTATTTTCCTCATAAACTTTAATGTGATATTTATTATTCAAAAAAAACGAAACAAACCTTACACACACACACACAATGATTATACGCGTGTTTTTTTGCTGAAGAATGGGAGGTGTTTTTGTTGTTCAAAAAGATAATTATCAAATACAATGCATATAATTTTTTCTATTGTAATTTTGTTCTTTGAGGTTCATTAACACCCACACATTCACACACACACACAAAAATTTTGTTTTTGCTATCTCTTTTTCATCATTTGGCACATCTTGGTTCAATCAAAAGTATTATTATTAGGAAAAAATCTGTTACTGCTGCTGCTAATGCATCCGAATGAAAAAAAAATAGTAAAAAAAAAAATTTGGTAACCAAGAGTTTCCGGAAAAAAAATATATAATGCAGCCAATTAATTCAGCCCGATTCTAAAATAGGATGTTTGGGCCCGAGGGGAGGTAATTATAGTATTTTTTTTTGTGTTGCTGTACAAAACTTTTTTCATTCATTCATTTATTTAGCTCATACATTAAATATAGCTATAGCTAAAAATGTCATTCAATGTGTTACTACTAATATTAATCGTGAATTGATAGAATAGTGAATAATTATGAAGAATGAATAAATTGACAAAATATATCGAAGAAAAAAAAGTTTCCTTTGTTTCACTCTCACACACAGACCCATCCGTGGCAATTCTGTGTTGTTTCATTATCATATATGATGATGAAATAATTATTCTTTTCATCACCACCATTGTGTGTGTGTTTTTGGATTTTTTTTTCTATTCGTTGTTTGAATAGCAAAAGATAACATACACACATAGTGACATTTCATATTCTATGTGAATACAATTGAGAAAAATTAATTAAATATTGTGAAGCCTTCGATTAATATTTGCTATAATAAAGATGCTAATAATGATGATTATGATGGGCAACAGTAACAGCAACAGCGAAAAATAGAGGTAGCGTTTTTTTTTACTGTCAACAACAACAACAATACAGGTGAAAGTAATTTGTTTTTGTATGTCAAATTTTCATTTTTTTTTTTCAAAAATTTTGTTTTAATGGAATTTGTTTTTGTTTTCAAAAATTTCAATAATAATAATGATGATGATTGATTATTAAAAACATTAATTTATAATCACTGTGTATGTATGTGTGTGTTTGCGCAAATGTTTTTTGCATTTGATTCTTGTTATGTTGGATTTTTATTAAGTAATTACTGAACACTTGATTCGTCATTATTTATTGATCAATGTTATAATTGACAATTTTGAAAAATTTTTTCGTTTGACTTGATTTTGAATGATTTTGTTCACGATTTTTTTTCTTTTTATATTTTGGATTATTATTGATTTCATTGTTATTATTATGACGATGTGGATGTGGATGATGATGATGATGATGTGGATTATAATTATTATTTCCAATGAAATTTTTATTTGATGACGTTGTTGGTATACGATGAACAATATTTTCACGATGTCGTTCGGAATCATTATTGTTATTTTTCGATACCAATTCTGGTGAATCAGATGTATATTGATGGTGATAAAAATTTATGATCGGTTTTGTTACAGGATCATTTGTATAAGAAGACGAAGAAGAACTGGATTCTGGTGGCATTGGTAATGGAGCTAGTGATGGTATTCCCATTTTATTCCATACTGGCCATTTGGGTATTGGTCGTTGAAATTTTTCCAATTTTTTATAATTATTTTCATCATCATTATTGCTAGTATTATTGTCATCGACATCATCATCATCATCACCACCGCCACCTTCATTATCGTTTCGATTTTTGGCTGTTTGTTCATCATCAAAATCTTCATCATCATCAACATCATCATCGGAATCCAATGACCATGGTGAACTATCCGGTTCCTCGTCATCGATATCATCATCATTATAAAGTTCATGAAATGATGTTTGTGGTGATGATTTAGTTTTTTTATTCTTAATGCTAATCTTTTGTGGCATATTATCAGATGATGTTGCCATGAATGGTTCATCGATTGTTTTTGAATTTTTATTCTGTGTATTGTTGTTTTTATCACGTGGATTTTTTCGTACATAAAGTACAATATATTTTTCAATTTTTTTATTTTGACGTTTTTGTCTTGAATTTTCATCAAGATTATCATCATCATCATCATCATCATCATCATTCGTTGTTACTGTTTCATAAATAGTTCTACGTTTTGGACGATTCATTGTCGATGACATTGGATAAATTGTACGTCGCCAATATACTTTTGCTACCATTGGTTGTCCTCGATTCAATGGTGGTAACACGGGAAATTCGGATAATTTTCCAGCATATGCTTTTCTTCCTACACGAGCTATAGTATGATATAAACATGAAAATAAATTATGAAAGAATTTTTCATTCATATTTTAGAACTTACCTTTATTTCGATTTGATCGATGTCTAGGAATTTCATGATGATAATGATTACGATGATGATGAGGATCATCTTCGACAATAGATTCAGCTGGCAATATACGTTTCTTTGCTCTTTGTAACATATATTTCGGTGGCCGAAATAGTCGAAAACGTCGACCTTTATAAATGATGGTTTCCGGTGGCGGTACATTTGTTGGTGGACGTTTAACTTCAATAATATTTACCACTTGTTTTCGATTATCAATCAAATTAATTAAATCTTCATCATCATCATCATCATCGTTAGAATCATCGTGTTGATTTTGTCGGAATCGAATACGTTTTTCTTTGTTTTTAAAATATTGATCAATATCACGTTCTAAATGATATTCATCATCATCACCATTGTTATTGTTATTGTTATTGCTACGATCGCTATAAATAATTTTCGGTTTATTCGTCAGAATTTTAATAGCTGAAGAATTCGGATCAATCGGCTGTTCGTCATAGAATACCATCGATGATAATACTAAAGAATTATTTTTATAATCATTGGCTTCACTTATAGATAATGATGGATGATGATGTTGCTGATAGACGACCGTTGGTGGTGATGTAATATTTGTTTTTGATTCCAATGCTGTTGATATGATTGCCGGTGATGACACTGTTGCAGTAACATCTGTTTGATTGTTTACATCTGTTGTATGTGCTGCTGGCAATGATGAATCGGTGACATTTGTCGACAATGATGATGATGATGATGATGATGATGTGGTTTCAATGATTGTTATCCTCGATAATGCAACAATGAATAAGATTAAAAATTGAATAATCATTATGAATCTGGCCATTGTTATCCACGTTTTTATCATCGAATAATCATACAGACATTTCGATTTCAATAATGAAATGGTATCATTTCAATATTATAATTTTTTTTCTGTGCGATTATAATTTGCAAAAAAAACCTTGAAAAAAATGTCGTTGATGATTTGTTTTGTGTTTCGTTTAGAATAACTCGTTCTGGATATGAAATGATGAGAAAATGATTTTTTTTTCTTTCTTTTCATTTAGTTCAAAATTTAGTTTTTGAATTTTAAAATGAACAATGAATGAGAGAAGATGGATAAAAATATCAAAAAAAAAATGTTCGAACGATTGGAATTTATATGGGAAATCGATGAGATTGATGATGAAGAAGACTTGAGATACTGTTATGACGGGTATCTGCAGCAATCTATCCGAAAAATGAGAATGGCAATGTGCAATGATATAAATGTTCTATATCATTCAAACAAATCAATATCACACACACACACAAACTTCTCACACTCATACAATAAACGAATGTTTTTTTTTGAATTATTTCAACGAAAAAAAATTTTTTTAATTTCAACAATTCGTTACATGAAGAACTTTTCAAATGTGAAAATCAGGAAAAAATCAACCGCCCGTAACTTATTGGCGTCGATATCGCCAATTTTTTTTTCGCTATTTCGTCCTGTCCACATCGAACGTATTGCGGTTTTTTTTGTTTTGTTTTGTTACATGTTGTTCAATCGTCAATCATCAACAACTTTTTTCCACTTAGTTTCTTACAATATTGTTAGGCAATTTCAATAAAAGTAAATTAGCTTTATGGTAAAAAAAAACTAATACTAATAAAAAAAAACAAATCGATCGATATACATTTTCGAATGATAATAACGAATTTACGTTCACAATTTACGTCGTATACGATGAATGTGAATGATAAACGAACAAAATAGATGAAAAAAAATGACCTCAATTGAAGAAAAACTGAACAAAAACGCGAGCGACGACAATATCTCTCTTCAATAATGTTTCAAGAATTTAGATTAAAATAATTTTTTTTTTATTGACAATTTTCAGATTCATTTATCGTTTAGACATAAAAATATAAGATTTTGTAAAAAAATAATTCGGAACTAAACCATTTGGTGCTAAATTTTTTGCTATAGTATCGAATCCAATCGATTGTTGTTGTTGTTGTTGTTGCATTCGAGATAATTTTCTATTCATATCCTGTAATAATGATTTTAATTTCATCAATGTTTGTCTTTCTTCTTTCTTTGTAATTGTTTCAATTCGTTGAATAAAATCTGATTGTATATAATAAAATAATTTAAGAAATTGTCTACCATATGTTGATAGCATTTTATGTGCTGACATTGAAAGAAAAGCATCCAAAAGTAATGCAGTAATCTGATCGGCTGGTTGATCATTTAAAATCATTGCCAACCATCGCCAACCAAAATGAATGTTTCGTGGATGTTCTTCCATTGGCATATTACATTGTATGATTGATGAATATAATTCCATCAGTGAAAACATTCTTGATTGAAATGATTCTTCTGATTCTAGTTGGCCATTTTTATCGAATTGATAGCCAAGAACAATGGTGTATTCAGTATCATTTTGGTTATTTGTTCTTGTTGGAAAATATGGTATCACATATGGACAAGAAAGATAAAGATGAGCAAGAAATATATCGCCAAACATTGATACATTTGCCCATAATATCACAATAACTGGAGCCAATTTTAAAGAAATATTTTGCTGTTTACTAGCCACAAGCTAGTCAATGAAAAAAAAAAAATAAGGAATGGCAAAGTTAATCATTAGGAATAAGAAAATTAAAAACACTCACCAATATAATTTTTACAGTTGTGGTGATTGCAAAATGATATGAATAATCAGCATCGCTAATTGAAATTTTTTTCCCTTTATGTTCGAACCATTTTTGTCCAAAAAGATTGAGTAATCTGGATACTTTTTCACGTAAATGTTCGATAGAGATATTACAAATGCTATTTATTATACTACGAACATAGAGCTGTAATGCAGTACGTAATGGTTTTTTTGATTCATTATCCTGAAATTGTTGACATAAATTTTCAAACTTGATCAATTTTGATTGATAATCAATGTATAGATCTCGAGATGTTTTGAATTTATTTTTTACAACATTTTCTTGTTCATTCATCACTGTTTGCATCATTGAGTCATTAATGTTGTTACTTGATTGAATTGAAATTGGCTTTTCGGAAGTTAAATTCGATGATGATGATGTTGAATTTTTCTGAGCAATTTCATCTTGCCGACGTTTTAATTCAGCAAATTGAATGGAAAATTTTTCATTAATTTTAAGAAACTCGCCAAGTTTATCTTCACAAAATTTTCTATCCTCATCGGTGTATTCGTTTTTGGATAAAAGTAAAACCTCTATATCTTGTTCTAATAATTTAGCCACATTTCGTTGGTGATTTAAATCATCATCATCGGGAAATTCTTTTAGACGTTCGTCGAATATCCGGACAGATTGATCAATTTTTTCCTTAGAAGTAGTTAGCCATAATTTTAATTCATTTTGTTGTTGTTGTTTACGTTCTTTTTCTTTCAATAATAATTTATGTTTCTCTTCAATTTCTCTCAATTTTAGATTCCGTTTTCTAGTTCCCATTGTATCATCACCGGATAATGATTGTGGTTTTGTTGAACTTTCCAATTCAATTTCAAGTTGTTGAATTTCATCATCATATTTTTTCTGAAATCTCATTGATTCAAGTAGATATTTTTTCTGTATCATTCGCATTTGATCTTCATATTTTTTCATTATTGATTCATTTTTTTCATTCCATTCACGTTGTCGTTCCTCTAATCGTTGTATTACTTCAATTTTCTTTTGTTTTTCATAATTTTTCAGTTCAATATCGGTTATTGAAAAATTTGGATCATTGGATTTTTCATCCAAATCATCATTATCATTATCAGTGATTAAATTATCCAGCGTATCATCGATAACTTTTTCATGATTATTAATGCCATTCAGATTAGATTTAACGGTTGGCATCATCAATGAATGAGACACTTTCGATAATGGTGAATGAATTTTCATCGATGGTGATAAATTCAAGGTGGCCAAATTTTGTTTAACCGAATTGACAATTTCCTAAATTTTTTTTGAAGATAATTTTTAGTAAAGAATTGAAAATCATTAGACCTACCTCGGTACGTCCTTCTTCTTTCCAATTACAATCATATTTTAATTGACCTTTTTTCGTTTGCTTTAATGCTTCAACAATCGTCGACATGGTGTTTTATTGTTTTTCCATTATCATTATTATCACAATGGATTCTAAAAGGCGGCATTTTTTTCCCATCAATCAGCTGATGTGAGTCGAAAATTTTTTTAAATTCTGGAACGTATTATATGAATGGCAATTGAAAAGGAATATTTGAAATTTTTTTTCAAAAACTCGCGCTTCTAACGAAAAAACATGCTGAATACAATGAACAACTTTGACATTTTAATAATGATAATAATAATAATAATCCTTTCCAATGTAATGAAATTTGAATTCAACCATGGCGAAAACAACAACGACAAAGAATATATTAATTCAGCCGGAAAAAAATTTCTATAAATATCCGGAAAGGATAAGTAAATGTTTTTTTGGCTAAAATTAAATCATCAACATCGTATATGAATATCATTTAGTGATGAGAAAAAAACAAACAAACAAACAAACGACATGCATGTAAACCGTAACATTAAGTTAAGACATTTTATATTTATGAATCCGTTTATGAAGAATGATTTTTTTTCTGTTGAAGCTATTTTTAAAACATGAAAAACCATGGATTCATGTTTCATATCAATTTCGTTATTACTATAATGGTGGTAGTATAGATGTAGTTTGTCGACCGCAAGACAATTGGCGAACAGAACAGAACAGAACAGAAAAGAAAGTATCAAACACATGAATCTTTTGGATTTTGTTTGTGTGAATTTGATTTATCCATTACAGTGCAATATTTTTTTTTTTTTTTTACTATCCAAATACTATCCAAAAAAAAAGCAACAAGTTAAACACAAATGATTGATTGATTAATAATCATCATCATTATTATTACTGGGAATAAATATTTCAATCGATTAGTTGATTTATATTATCGAATTATCTTTCTTCTGTAAGGTTTTTTCCTCATCATATATAGAAAAAATGCTGGAGGCTGTAAAAAAAAAAAAAAAAAATGCAGACACACACCATACATTCATACATTCAAACCACACAAGTCATATAAGCCACACATGTGTGCTTTCTACAATCATAAATGTACTCACAATCAAATAACAACAAGAAGAAAAATTCACACAAACATCGCTGTTGTCATGATGATGATGATGATCAAAAAAAAAAAAAAATCTAACCATGGCATGGCATGTGGCATGGAACACACACACACACACATGAGAGACATTCCACAATTGGTTTTTGAAGAACATTGGACACGTTAATTTTTTTTTTTATCTCACCAGAAAAGAAAATAAATATAATAAAATTGTATCTTTACAACAACAACAACAACAACAACAAAAAAACCCGTAAAGTTGCCAATTGTATTTTATCAAATTTTAATAATACTTTTATATATTTGGTTTCTTTTAAATAAAAAACCACCATTATCAACATTTTATCATTGGTAAAATTTTTGTATTTAACGAAAATTTATTTATCAATGAAAAAAAATTGATAATGATGATGATAATGGAATAATACACGAACATTTTCTTCTTCTTTTTTTTTGCATTTCTCTCACACTCTCTTAATCATCATGTCTTGTATATGATCTTTTTTTATTATCATCATCATCATCATCACATCATAATCATCGAAACACCACCAAAACCACTAGCAATTAAAATTGTTGTCGTCAATGACGAATCATCCGAGTTACATTTTTTTTTGTTTCTGTTTATTTGTTCTTTTTCATCATCACTTGTTGTTCTATGAAAGAAATTCATACATTATTATACATTCAAGTGCCAAACTTTTCTGTACACACAAACAACAACAACAACAACAACAAGTGAGAGAATTTTGAATTGAAACAAACAATAATCCGATTTATTATAAACGAACGAATCAAAATTGACTAAAACAAAAACCGACAATAGCGACAACAATTCGTAAGTTGAATTTTTTTCTGTTTTTTTTTTGTTGCCATTGCGAATGATTCTTGAAATTCCATACCACATTCACAAAAAAAATGCTTGCTTCTATGGTTATAAATGAATTCTATTCTCATTCAATTGTGTTTTTCATAAAGAATAAATTAGTGATAATGATCAAATAATTCATCAATATTTCACTTGTTTTTTTCTGTCGAAAATTTATCATCATCATCATCATCATCGAATAGTGAGTACATTTAGACTTTATTTTTTCAGGATACTTTTATGGCGATTGACAAAAAAAAAATTCTTTATTCAGAACCCCTGAATATTTTAAAGATCAAAGGTTGTCATTCAATTGTATGGTCGTCTTTTTGTTAATATTCCATTTTTTTTTCTTCATGCCATGGCACCATATAAAATATATTGATGATGATGATCTTTTGATGATTTTTTTTTTTGAATGTGTATAAATTTTCTTTTGCAGTTGCGTATAATTATTATCATCACATTTTATCCGTTTGAATAGAGAGGAAAGAGAGACACAAACACGCATGAGACATGCTTTATTTGATTTCAAAAAAATGAAGCATGGTTTTTGAATGGCCAAAATGAATGGATGAAGAAAAAAAACACAAAAAGTAGTGGTATATCATCTCATCAACATTATCATCAACATCGTGGTTAACTAAAATGATTTTTTTTTTCTGGTTGTTCGAATTCGCCATGCTACTGTTGTGGCTGCTGCCGCTGCTGCTGACTTTTACTTACCTAAAAAAAATAGAGACAAAAAAAAATTGTGTCCAAATGCATGCGTTTTTTTTATATATGTCGATGTCGGAGTCTGCGGTTTAAAATGATTGACTTTTTTGCTCTCTAATGACAAAAAAAAACCACGGCGCTTGTCTATTTTATATACTGTAGCAGGAATCACATTCGAAGAGAAGAGGTCAAATACAGAAAAAACACAAGAATAGAGATAGATAGTTTCTTCCAAGAATAAAGAATTTTTTTTTGTTTCATCCAAAAAAAATATTGTGAACAGACGACCGGCGTCCGTCCTAAAGAATTCTACATTCATTCGTCAATTGTATCTTGTGGGTATTTTTTTTTTTTTGTTTTGTTTTGTGTGTCAATTTATTACATTTCCTGAAGCAAAATTTATTTTATCATTTTTTCTTTCAAATTATTCGCGCATGAATTTCAAAACAATCATTTTCGATTTTTAGATTTGTCTGTGTGTGTGTGTGTGGTGGATAGATAGAACACAAGAGAAAGGCCAAATGTCGTTATCTCGGTGTGTGTGTGGACGACGACTACGACGATGATGAAAATTTGTCCAAAGTGCACATGTGAATTTCATTTTTTTTTTAGTTATATGTTGTGTATGTTGTCTGTCATGCTTTGTTTTTGATGATCGTTTAGATGTCCTGATATTTGTTTTTCTTGCTGCAGTTCTTTTTTTTAGTTTTTCTGATGGTTTTTCAACATTCTTTTAGTTGTGCATTATGTGAACATGAATATAATAGAAAAAATAATACGACCAAATAATCTAACAACCATAATGTTGTCATCTTTGTTGTTGTCGTTTTTCATCGAATGATCATGATGACCTTGTGTATCCTCTGTTGACAATATCTTTATATTTTATTCGTAAGTTATTCTTCAAATTTTGTTTGGTTGTCGTTTTTTTTGTTGTTGGCCAAAGATTATGGTGACTTGCAAATAGGTAGCTGCAGGAAAAAAAATTGAGTATTCGAATTCGAACTCTATTCGAATTGTCTATATGCACACACATTATGCTTTTAGAAGGATTAGTCGTTTGTATGATATAACGAATTCACCAATCATCCATATGCGTGAGTTAATCTTTTTTTTCGATTTCCTTTTTAGCATACATTTCCTGTCTTGTTTTTTTTATAATTGAAAATTTTTTGTTCAACATACATACATAGTGTTATTATTTGTATGATGAAATGGCAAATTCATGATCCATGTATTTACCCGATGACGATGATGATGATGATGATGATAATGCATAAAATGATATATATCAAATACATTGAATGATAATCATAGATAGACACATTTATATTGTGTGTTTGTAGTTGGTAATGATATAATTGACCGGTGTGATAAATATACCCAAACAATGAATGAGATTAGAAGAGATTGTCATTATTATAATAATAAAAATTTAATTCGATTCACAATTGTTTTTTTGTGTGTGTGTTGATAGATGGTCATATTAAATGAAAATGTCTGTTGGAATATTCCCTGTTTTATATTTTTAATTTAATACGATTTGTGTGTGTGTGTCACTAATCTGCACGCGACTATTGATCCAAAATAGATTTGATTCCATGGTGACCTCACCCAAGCATTTTGTTGTTGTTGTTGTTGTTGATATTGTTGCCTTTTGGATCATTTCACCTTTTTTTCATTGATTTTACAATTACTCTAAAATTGTGACTATCGCAGCGCAGATATTTTTATAACTTATAATAACGATTTTAGGGCATTTCTTTTTTTTGTTGTTCTTTTCTTTCTTTTGTTTTAGATTATTAACCTGCGATAAAAATAATTCTTTTGGATAAATAAAATTTGGACTACTTGTTCTACACCCAAGCACAACTTTACATACAAACTGAATCCAATACTTCAAGTGATAAAATCATTATATATTACCATAATGCCTTCAGCATGTAGCACTGATCCTCCTTCATCAACATCTTCATCATCATCATCGGCAGCATCAATACAATCAGCTCCAGAATCATCATCATCATTAAATGGTGAAACAAATGGCAATGGAACATTATCAAATAATGACATAATCAATGATCAAAATGGTAATACCCATCATTCATCAACAACAAAGACGGCCACAATTAATGGTGATGGTTTTACCGAAGAAGATGTCGATGATGAATTACCATCCATTGTCGCCACTGCCAATGATCAAGTTAAAAATGATGATGATCCTTCCACAGCATCAAAAACAACATCATCGAATATTATTGATGAAAGTTTCGTACTTATTCATGATAATAGTTTCAATATCAAACTATCGGCACCTGGTACTGAAACATTTGATCTACAGGTTAGTCCAGTAGAATTGGTACAAGAAATTAACCATCAATTAATTGATCGTGAAGATACATGTCATCGTACATGTTTTTCGCTTCAATTGGACGGTGTCACTTTGGATAATTTTGCTGAATTGAAAAATATTGATGGTCTCAAAGAAGGTTCGGTTATTCGTGTAATTGAAGAACCGTATACTGTTCGTGAAGCTAGAATTCATGTTCGTCATGTTCGTGATCTTTTGAAATCATTGGATATGTCTGATTCATATAATGGAATCGATTGTAATTCATTATCATTCATGAATATCATTGCTCAGAATGATCTTTCCGATATAAAGAAAACGAATAAATCATTGCGATCCGATCTATTGGACTGTCTTCCACCTGATTATGTTCTTCCAATGTCTGACCAAGCTAGCAATGGCAATAATGTCAACAATGTGAATAATCAATCGGCAACCAATTCGAATGGCAATACCAATGGTGCCAATAATAATATCAATCAAAATAATAATCATTCAGGAATTGGGATCAACAAAGGTTGTGAGGTTCAATTAACTCCATTGGAGCCACAAAGCAAAGATCTTCCAAAAACACCATTTGCCTTGAAAGTTTTGACAGCATCCGGTTGGAATCCTCCACCTGGCCATAGAAAATTACGTGGTGATTTAATGTATCTGTATGTGGTAACATTGGAAGAGAAACAATTTCATATCACTTCATCGGCACGTGGTTTTTATGTGAATCTTTCCACTGATGAAGTGTTCAATCCTAAACCATCGAATCCTAAATTAATCTTCCATTCATTGGTCGAATTACTAAGTAATATAAGCCCAGCTTTCAAACGAAACTATTCACTTATACAAAAACGTCGTTATCAGCGACATCCATTTGAACGTTTGGTTACACCATATCAGGTGTACACTTGGGCAGCACCACAAATTGATCATACTGTCGATTCGATTCGTGCCGAAGATGCCTTTTCATCGAAACTTGGTTATGAAGAACATATGCCTGGTCAGACTCGAGATTGGAATGAAGAATTACAAACAACTCGAGAATTGCCACGAAAAGTTCTTTCCGAACGTATTATTCGTGAACGAGCCATTTTTAAAGTTCATTCGGATTTCGTTGCAGCCGCTACACGTGGAGCAATGGCTGTTGTTGATGGCAATGTATTGGCTTTGAATCCGAATGAAGATACAAAAATGCAAATGTTTATCTGGAATAATATTTTCTTCTCATTGGGATTCGATGTTCGTGATCATTATAAAGAAGTTGGTGGTGATGCCGCCGCTTATGCTGCACCGTCTAATGATTTACATGGTGTCCGTGCCTATTCATCATTAAACATTGATGGTCTTTATACATTAGCCACTGCCGTTGTGGATTATAAAGGTTATCGTGTTACTGCTCAAAGTATAATTCCTGGTATACTTGAACGTGATCAAGAACAATCGGTTGTGTATGGATCGATCGATTTCGGTAAAACAGTCGTATCACATCCAAAATATTTGGAATTGCTCAAAAAAGCCGGTGGTGTATTGAAAATTGTTCCACATAAAGTGATTAGTCAAGGTGGTGAAGAGGTAGAGATTTGTTCATCGGTTGAATGTAAAGGAATTATCGGTAATGATGGACGACATTATATATTGGATTTGTTACGAACATTTCCACCAGATCCACATTATGTATTGACCGATGGTGAAGAATTAAGTCAAGAGATGCGTGATGCAGGTTATCCACGTCGCCATAAACATAAACTTTCCTCACTTCGTCAAGAGCTTATTGATGCCTTTTTTGAGGCACGTTATTTGCTATTTATTCGAATGGCTGCATTCTATCTTCAACAATCTGATTCGGAGAATAAACTTGGATTACTTAAAAATCCTCAGCCACAACAACAAATCGAATCGGAATCAAAATCAGATGTTGATGAAAAGAAAACCGATAAAGATGAAAGCAATGAACAAAAACAAGAACCATCGATTACTTCAGACAAAAGATGATGAAGTATCAAAAGATTATGAAAAGATTGCAGAAAAAATTGTATCACCTGAAAAAATTAGCGAACCAGATAATAATGAAAAATCAACATCCACAGAAAATGCAACAACAACTTCTTCGAACAACGAATCGACTGAAAAGGAAATTGAACAACAAAATACAAAAGAGATTATTCGAAAAGCTGCCAACGATGTTGGATCGCTTAGTGATAGTGAATTTGATATTCGTTTTAATCCGGACATTTTTTCACCTGGTGTTGTTCATGCCGATAACGATTCAGAAACATTCAAAAGACAAAAACAATTGATCAAAGATGCAGCCGAATTTTTAGTCAAAATACAAATTCCAACTCTGGTAATTATATTGAAAAAAAAATCAAAAAGCTCATTTCATTTGAAATTTGGATTTTGTATTTTTATTTCTAGGTTCGTGAATTGTTGGACCATTCAATATATCTATACGATGGTTTAACATTGACCGATACTTTCCGTTCACGTGGAATCAACATGCGTTATTTGGGTAAATTTACCGAAATTCTTTCCAAACAACAATCATTAGATTATGCAATGGTATTTTGAAGAGTGATGCCTTTTTCCGCTTTATTCTTAATAATAATTATTCATTTTTTACTTATTAACTTAGTCAATTGCTGTTTGTGAGTTAATTTGTCGTTCGATCAAACATATGTTTGTCAACTATATGCAAAGTGTTGAAGTTGTTTACATGGCAACGGCAATCAGTCATTTTTTGAATTGCTTCCTTTCGTCGACAGTGACACAACCATCAATCATCGATGAAATAAACAAACATTCAAAACGAAGAGGAAAAAAATTCCGAAATGGGCGCACGGTTTCACCGAATGAGAATGGTACAGGAAAAATTGTTACGGATCGGCAAAGTTTTGATTGGCTTTCAATGACTTCGAAATCATTTTGGACACAATTACGTAACGAAATGGATTCATATTATGGTTGGAGTGCACCGAAAGATGTTGATTCAGTCGAATCATTATTGCATCGATATTCAATACAGAAAATTTCTTTACTTCGTATTGTGTGCATTCGAACAGGCATACAGATTTTGTTACGTGAATATAATTTTGAACATAAAAGTCGTCCGGCTTTCACAGATGATGATATATTGAATGTTTTTCCTATCGTTAAACACATTTCACCACGTGCTAATGATGCATACAATTTGTTTCAAAACGGGCAGCGAAAAATTTCAGAAGGAAATATTCGTGATGGATATGATTATATTTCCGAAGCATTAAATCTATTCAACAGTATATATGGTCCATTACATCCGGATATTGTTCAATGTCTTCGTCTATTGGGTCGTATCAATTATGTTCTTGGCGATTATGGCGAAGCGTGTTCATATCAACAGAAGGCCGTATTGATGAGTGAAAAAGTCAATGGAATTGATCATCCACATACGATTACTGAATATGTAAGCGCAATATCTTGTCTCATTTCATTATTGAAAATTTAATTTTCAATTTTTTTTTTTGTTTTGTTTTACCAGAATTTTCTTGCCCTTTATAGTTTTGCTAATTCACAAATCTCAGCATCATTGAAATTTTTATATCGTACACGTTATTTACTTTCATTGATTCATAGTCAAAATCATCCAGAAATGGCCGTCATTGATGTAAGTATAGTGATAATGGAAAAAAAATTGACCTTATTTATATATATTTTATTCTATTTCAACAGAGCAACATTGGTCTTATATTACATGCTATTGGAGAATATGATTATTCATTGCGTTTTCTTGAACATGCTTTACAATTGAATCTCCGATATTTTGGAAAAAGAAATCTAAAAGTAGCATTAAGCTATCATCTTGTAGCACGAACATTATCATGTATGGGCGATTTTCGTGGTGCTCTCAATAATGAAAAAGAAACCTATTTGATATATAAAAGAGAGTTGGGTGAAAATCATGAAAAAACAAAAGAAAGTTCAGATTGTCTTCGACATTTGACCAATCAAGCGGTGGTATTGCAAAAGAAAATGAATGAAATCTATAAAGGCAATGTGAATATGATTATACCACCGATACAAATACAACCACCATCGGTTAATTCGGTGATGGAACTATTGAACGTTATAAATGGAATATTATTCTTACATATAAGCGCACAAGATGTGGAAAATCTTCGTGAAATGCAAATAATGAAAACAAAACAACAACAAACAAATCAACAACAGGATGAACCAGCATCACAAATGGATGATTATCAAGAAAATCCACAACAACAATCTAGCTCAAAATTATTGAATGAAAATACTACCGGTACTAGTAACAGTAGTAATTCGGATAATATGAATAGTAATAAAAATAGTGCAATTACGGCTGCATCTTCATAATCGGAATTGTGCATGTATGTGTGTGTGTGTCCACTCTCATTTTTTTAAAATATAAATCTACCACATACCCGCGTTTATCATCACGGAATCAATAAATCAAATCTCAGCTGCCACATTTGATCGAATTTTTTTTTTCTTTCATTCGAATCATTGTGATCATTTTTCCCCTTTTTTCTCTTTTCAAATCAAATCGTCACACTTACGCGCTCATTTATTATTTTTTTGGTTCATATTCGATACTGGTCACTACAAATAAACAACAAAATGCAATTTGTTCAGCTACCACCACCATCACCACTAGCAACAACAACAACAACAACATCAAATCATCATTTTTATATTTGAATCTCACAAAAAAAAATACCTTGAATCCAATTGCCGATTGCCAAAAGTCATCAATAATCAATCAATCAATCAATCAATGTTCAAAAAACTTTCTAGTGATTTTCTACATTAACATGCATTCTTTTCCATTATTCTTTTCAATTTTTTTTTGTAGTATTTGTTCGTTTTTCTTTATGAATTCGTAGTTGATTTATACAATTTTTTTTCATTGTTTTTTTCAGTAGTTTTCCTCTTTCATTAATGATACTCGATTTGTATGATTAATTCTCATTTTCATTTTTTTTTCGTAGTCTGTTTTGTTTGTCGTTTTGTTCGAGGTTTTAGTGTTTTTTTTTCTTTCTCAAAATTGATTGATATAATAATAATAAAAACAATTTAATTTTGAATGTTGCTATAATAATACTGTTGTTGTTTTTTTTCAGTATTGTATAAATTATTGATTTCCATGTAAGAAATAGTGGTTATAAAATTGAATTTTGAAAATGTCTACCATATTCATCAATTTGAATGATGTTGAACAACAAATGGAACGAGAAAATACGATGATGGTGGAAGAATCGATTGATAGACCATTACCGTTGAATTTAGCTGGATTGAATATGGATGAATGTGTACAGAATATTCAATGTGATGTATCGACAATGTGGATCATTATCAATGATTTGGGCACCATTTATCAATGGCGTGTCCGTAATCGTCGTTTCCGTAAAGTGAACAATATGCATGGCCGTAATCATAATCAATTAAGTACGACAACATCCGAACAATTATGGAATGATTTTAAATCACGTATGTATGAAAATCGATTCATTTTGATAACGATAACTGGTGGCCATATCATTCTTCATTATTGTCATCGTCGAGTGATGAATGTTTTGCCTGGACAAAATATATTAATCTTTGGTCCTGTATCGATTTGTTTTCATAATTTTGCCGATATTACCAGTGAATCGTTCTATCAATTAGAACGTATGCGACATTTACGTCTTAATGGCCGTGGATTTAAGTTGCGTGTACAATCAAATTCACATAAGCTATTCATCTGTCCCAACGATATAATCGATAATCGAATCAATTTTGATTGGATTCAACAATTACCAATATCAATAACAACAGATGATCAATGTCAACAACAAAATAATAATACAAACAATGAGCATGAATCGATAATTGCCAATCAATCCATTCAGATTATTCGTGAAGATTCATAGTAAAAAAAAATGAAGAAAATTAAATAATAAAAAATTCATTTCGAACTGCCGATTTTAAGCCACAAAAAAACTGTTGCTTACACAACAAACGTTTATTTGTTTCTTTAATAATTGCCATAAATAGAATATAGATGGCTCTTCGAATGTTTCGAAAACGAGATATATGCTCAAGAATATCGTTTTCGAAATTCGAAATTCAAATCATCACCACCCACTCTATTACCAGTAAATGTTTTTCCTTTTCCAAATTTTTTTTTCTTTGTTCACAATTTAACTTTTGCTTTTAATTGAATCAATTAAAATGCCAATACCACGTAAACAATTGGATCATCAAAATGCTAATCAAACAAAATATGTCCTTGTTAAATTGGTCATCATGCTAACAAATAATTCGGATGAGATACGCCATGAGCAATATAAATTAATGTCATCATCAACTAAGATTTCTACTATTCGACGATGGATTTATCGATGGAATCCAGCATTTATTAATAAATCGATAAACTTTTACTATTATGGAAATGAACTAAATGATGATGATGAAGATCTTACATCGATCAATTATAATCCAGAAATACAAATCATTTGTGAAATTCAACAATAAATTACAAGAAAACTTTAAACACGTGGTATATTATGTAAAAGTGTTCATATTTTAATATTACGATATATATACACAAAAGAAAAAAAGAATCCAGAAAAAAAATGTTAATTTTGAAATCAGATACCATCACCAAACAGAAACTTGATTGTTGAAATTTTCGTTATTGTCTTTCATCTCATATAATATGTCTGTGTTTTAAATGAAACAAAAAAAATGCTTTTTTTCGAAATCAAAACACCAATGATATTTAACATTTGACAAGTAATAATAATTAATAAAAAAAATGATTAAATAAATTATGGCTTGATAGATTAGGAGGAGAAAGTTGTGTTGAAAATGAAAATTTGTTTTCATTTTATTAGGGTGATGATGATGAAAAAAATGGCACACGGCAATGTTTATTGTTTGCAATGACACTTTTGTTGTTGTTGTTGTCGTTATTCTAAATTCGTTTTAAAAGAATCTTTTTGCATAATTTTGATCAATATAAATATCGACTTCATTATCATTATTCATCATCATCATTGTTGCTGTTGTTGGATGATTATTATTATTCAATGATGTATTTGTTGTTGTTGCCATCGATGATGATGATGTTGGTGACATTGATGATGAATTTTTCAACGCTGGTGTCATTGTTCGATGTTGTTGTTGTTGTTGTTGCAGTTGCAGTTGTGGATGATGATTATGATTATTATTCCAATGATGATTTTGATTATGATTATGATGATGATGATCAGAATCATAATCATTTTGTGATTGATATGAATTACTAGTTGTACTTGTTGATGATAATAACATTCGATTCGAACTACTACCATTACTACTATCGGCATTGCTACGTAGATCAATATGGCTTTTGTAATATTGTTGTCTTTGTTGTTGTTGAGGTTGAGATTGTTGTCGATTTTTTCCCGATTTCGATGATTGTGTTGTCTTTTGATGATTAATATTATTTGATGATGATTTATTTCGTTCAACTAGATGATGACCATGATTACTAAATGTATCCATACTATAAGCAACACCATTATTGTGTGCACTACCATATGGTATAAGTGATGAACCACCACCACCATTGGCCGTAACCAATGTTCCATAACTGATTGCATGCATATGATTTACTGATGGATAATGATGTAAATAACTTTCTAACCATGGACTATGAAAATTTGGTGATTTTTGCGGTGTTGGTAATGTTGATCCAATATAACGTGATACTGGATGTGTGTAACCATTATGATGATATGATCGTAATGTATCTGTATGTTGTATTGTTGGTGGTGGACCGATAGGCATCGTATGTGTAATACGAGCACGTGGAATACTTCTTGTACTATAAACCGATACGGTTTCCCATTCATGATCAAATGTTGATTTAGCCAATGGTGATAATGATTTAGTAGATAAACAGGTAGCATTCGTGCTCAATGTTCGTAATGGTGAATCTTTTGATGATGATCGATAAAAACAACAACTAAATATTAGTACAGCAATGATAATGAATAGACAGACGGCCGCCGATATTCCAATGACAATTTTATCAATATCATTTAATCGTTTTAATGTTGGATAGAATGATGATAATGATGTTGTTGTTGATGTAGCTGAACCGGTACGTGTTGGCATTGTTTTCTTCACTATTGGTTCTCGTGTACTTAGCTCTCGACATTGTCCATTCGGTATGATATTTTCACCTTCCTCATCATAATTGATCAATTCAGGATCATTTGAATCAAGATTAACCACGCAAACAATAATCAATTCATTTTGTTTTACATGTTTATCGATAGTATAACTATTTGTTAATGGTATTAGAAGCTCGGAACGATAGAATTCTTTCGAACCAAAATAACGATGAAGCACTTGATATCCTAAGATGCTTGGTTTTAATGTTTCCCAACGAAGATGTATGGATCCATTTCGATAATTTGCATCGGTTAATTTCAATGTTGCAGGACCAACTGAATGATGTTGATGATGTGATGAAGAAGATCGAACAGTCGATGTTGGTATTTGCCAAGATTTATTGTCTATTTTAGGAATATTTTGTCGATTGAATGTTGATGTTAAAGCTGGTTTGATGATTGTCGTTCGAGCTGTTGTTGAAAATGGTTCAATCTTTTCTTCATTTATCATTGGAACAACTTGAACATAACTAGTCACAGCTTTGGATAATGATTCCGTTGATGATGTATTTTCATTTGCTGTTGTGGTTATCATTGTAGATTTTAAAGTGGTTGTCGCTAAAGGTGTTGTTTTCTTCATAGTCGATGTTATTGTCGATGGTTTTGTCGTTGAAGATGAAGTGAAACTTGTAGGAATCGCTTTGGTTGTTGTTGATGTTGTTGTTGTTGTTGTTGTCGTAGTTGGAATTATTGTTATCGATGATTTTGATGATAAATGATTATTGGGAATCAATGGTGGACAGACAAAATCATCCAAATCAATAAATGTGAATAATTTATTTCGTAAATGTTGTGGCCTTGAACAAAATTGTGGATTTCTTTCTCTACTAGTAATCTGTAGGCTATATTCACGTGCCCATTCGGCTAACCATCGTACTTTACAATCACATTCGAAAAATTTTCCACCAACACTTAGACCACGTAATGAATTATTCAGATGTTTAAATGTTTGTAATGATAATGTTTTCAATGGATTACCATCCAATGCTAATAATGTTAATAGTTCATTCGAACGAAATGCTTGATCGGGTAATTGACGAATAGCATTGAAACCTAAATCAAGAACCTAAAAAATTTGATCATTAGAAACATAATAAATGATGATGATGATTCAATTTTGATTCAAAAAATAGACTTACTCTTAATCCTGTAAGTTTACTCAATGCTAACAATGGAAATTCAATCAACATATTGTTCAATAATGAAAGTGAACTAAGCGAATCATTCAGTCCGACAAATGTATCCGGATGCATTGATCGTATTAAATTTCGTTCTAATGATAATGCTGTCAATAGATGATGATTTCGAAACATTCGTGGCTTGATCTCTTCAATTTTGTTCTGTGCCAAATCTAGAAATGCTAATTCGGTTAAATTTAATATCGCTTCTGGTATATGTTTTAGATTGATTCCTTTTATATTTAAATTTTTCAATGTTCTACCAAGACCAACAAATGATTCAACGTCTAAATGAAGATCATGATTAAATGCTAATCGTAATGTAGATAATTGATTCAATTCTTCGAATGCACGTGGACGAATTTTCCGTATACGATTACTAGATAAATCAAGTGTTTTCAATGATTTCAAAGTTTTTATTGGTGCTGGAATTTCTTTTAATCCCGTATTTTGTAATGTTAAACTATTCAATCTATTTTCAAGACCAGCAAATGCATCTTTATCAATCCTCTCGAGATAGGTATTGGCCAAATGAATCTGTTGAATATCCAGTTTTTTGAAAGCATTTTTAGGCAAAACACTTAATCCAGTTGCATTATTTATATATAACAGATCGATAGGTAATCGTTGTACGGATGGTGAATTAAGTACCTCTAATAATTGGCTAAAATTTGCCATAGGTGAACATTGTACCGATAAACGGCGTACATTCGAATAACCACATACACAATCTGAATGTAATGATACATGTATTGGTGTACGAGGCCATGGACATTGGCAATGGATCAATGTGAATACAGTGGCCAAAATAATCCACAATAAGATTGATGGCCATAACGAAAATCTCAACCAATCATCATAATATTTTCTTCGTAATGATGATGACATTTTTATTTGATTATTCATTATTAGTGGTCGTTGTGGTCATTTTTTTTGTTATTTGTTCAAATTCACCTACACATAGTGTATAGTTCATTCAAGATGATGAAAAGTCTGTTTGAAAAGTGAATAAAAAACAAAAGAAAAAGATTAATCATAATTAGATTAAATATCATTAGTATAAGAATCAAAAGTTCAAAGGTCAATCGCGATTCGAATTTATAGGCAGTCGCGAAAAATAATCAAATCAAAGATGAAAAATAGTGGGGAAAAAAAGAATTTTCAATGATAAAATACCGCATTGTTCAAAGTTAATACAAAAAAAAAAAAAAAAAGTTTTTGAAGGCGAAAATTCCATTCGACATTTACGATCACTTTGATATCTTGGTTTTCAGCATCGGTTCAAACACAAACACACACAAAAACAATGAACATTCTGTTTTCAGATTAGAAATAAAGGCTTAAATAATAATAATTGAAATGATGGTGATGATTTAAAAACAATCTATTGATTTTTTTTATTTTATTTTATGAGAATTTTCATCACCACTAATCGTCAAAGAAAAGACCGATCTGTTTTATAAATTTCTATCATCAATAATAAAAAAAAACATAAAAAACAAACGCTACAAAGTATCGACAATGGCTTTATTGGTGAACACACAATTATTGATGATGAAAAAAAAGCTGAAATCGATGATGTTAATGGTGTGTGTGTAATGAATAATATAATTCAAAAAATACAATTCAATGTTGTTGTTGTTTTTTTTTATTTTTTGCATAAAAACGCGCGCGTCCATAATATGATGATGAATATTAGTCAATATATATTGAGGTTCAATGAGACAATGTGAAAAATAAAAATGAAAATTCGAACGAAACAAACGGGCTGCTGCTCAATGTTTTTCTTTTCTTTTTTTCTAGCTATACATACATAATTTATCGTTAATAGTTAAATTGTATGGTAATTGAAAGCCATTTGTTTATTTTGATCTTTCCATATACACATTTACTTTGTTCAAAAAATTGATTCAGTTTTTTTATTTGGTGTGGTGGGGGGAGGTCAGTTGATTGATACATCAATCAAAATCAAAATCAGATCAGATTATTACTACTATAATATTGATTAGTTAATCGTTGTTGAAAACAAATTATTATTATTTACCCTCAAAAAAAAAGATTGGCCAAAATTGGCCAAATTCACGATATAATAATCATCATCATCATCATCTTTCGCAGATTGTTTTTGATCAATTTTGACATTTTGATTTTGATTTTTATTTTTTGCCCGAAAAAAAAGTAGGAAGAGATAATTTCCGAACAGATAAATAGATTACTTTTTTTTGAACATTGTGTGTGTTCAATAAAAAAAAAAATTCCATTCTGTTATGGATGAAAATTTTTCATTTCTCGATCATTCTTAAATTTAGGATGAAAAAACAAAATTAAATGAACAGATAAGATTCAATCTTGTCATCATCAACAATATTATAAGGTTCAACGGACTTTTTCAAAATTTTTTGCTTCTTTTTTTTGCTTTGACCAATCAACAGGTAGGAGTTGAAGAAAAATTACATTTTTCTCTGTTTGTCAACGATTAAAAAAAAAATACTAAAGATTTTCACGGATGACATGAGATTGAATGGAAAAAGCAAATTGCAAAGTAAAACATCAATAACCGATTATGGATTTTTTTTTCTTTAAATTTTCCGTAGCAAAATTTTTATCAGAATCTTAGACCTTGATCTTGTTTTTTTTTCGAAATCATCATCATTAATAGTAAATTTGTCAAATTTTTTTTTATTTTAAATAAATTAATTTCATTAATGCTTACACAATTTTTTGTTTTCTTCTTTTCTTGTCAAGATGTGCACAAATAATCAATTTACGATAATTTGTTCGTTGTGTGATGAAAAAATTTATTATTTCACATTTTTTAAAAAAACAAAAAATCAAATCAAATCACAAGTGGAAACCACCACCTACACTAATTGGTTTTGAACATATTTTTTTTCGATCAACACCATATTCATCTGCTTGACCATACAAGTAGAAATGGAAAAAGAACAAAAAAAAATCATTCGAATTGACATTTTTTTCACCTCTTTATCATCAACAAGAGCAGCAATAACAACAACAACAACAAAAAATGTACAAATTCAAGATTAATGAAAAAGTCTTCGCCAAAAAATGACATTTATCATTCAAAATGCCCCACAAAAAAGTGATGTATGTAACAAAAAAAAAAAATCGATTCGAGGTTCACGAGCTGTTTGATCCGATGTAAATTCTTTTTTTTTTGAAATTTTGTACAAAAATGCGGCTTCATCATTCACACGATCATTATTCAACAAGTAGAATGATGGTAGTAATGAATGACCAATTAATGGTAAATTGAGGTATTTTAATAGAAAAATTATTCTGGAATTTTTTTTGGTTTTGGCCTCATGTGATGCGATATATTAATCTTTTTCAATGTTAAATGTGTGTGTGTGTGTGTTTTCTGCTTGTTGAACCAAATTTATCATTTTGCATTTTTTTTTCTTTTGATTATCGCGTGATAATGACCAATAATCAGCAGGTAAAAGTTCACACACACACACACACACACACACACACGGATACAAATCATTTGATTTTATTGAAAATAAGTAATTCAAGGTTATGTGTGTGTCTGTCAGCCTTGGGTTTTTTTTGCATAATTTACTCATACTTTTTTTTGCATGGCTCGAGAGCAAAAAAATGCAAATTTTTTCTCTGCTTATTCAATATATAAAAATATCCGCGTGGTACACATATAAATATGATTCCCGTGATTTGAATGAAAAAAAAATCATATTTTTTATTGATATAGAGAGAGAGAGAGAGAGAGAAAAGCAACAGCCTAAAATTATTTTGGAGAAATTATAACATATTTCAACAATTGAATAAAAACAATGGCTGAATTGAATTGAATGGCCATGATTAGTTCATGATAATTGGATTAGTGTGAACAAAACAAAAACAAAATGAAAATTTTCATAGTTTATCATTAAACGCGGGTGTATATTAACAGTTTAATCTCACTCCATAGAGTTGTTACTACTCAATGATAGAGATGTTATAAGCCCATATACATGATGATGATGAAAGCAGATACAAAATCAAAATCAATGATTGAAAATTTGTACAACATAATCATTCAAACATTACTTTTATATATTCAGGTGTGACACACACACTGGAAGATGAAGAAGAAGTTGTTGTTGTTGTACATCAAAGTTCAAATATTTGTTCAATCAATGTGTTTTTTTCTCCTTCTGGTTTGATTTAGTAGTTTCTGGTATCTGTTTTGTATTGTGAACAAAAAGTACAAGATTCATAAATCATTGAACATTATCGCTATTATTGAATGGTTGAAATTTGTTATTTGTGATCAAATACATTCATAGCCATTCAATGATGATGATAATGGTGATGATGATGATGATGATGATGATGGTAGAAAAAAAAAGATTCTGTGGTTATTATTATTATGATGTCAAAGAAAGAATTATATTACATTAGAGTTTTTCCATTTTCATCATCTTCAGGCCATTAGAATATTATTATTACAAACAAACACACACACATGATGGGCTAATTTATGAATTTTCTATCAATAAAATGATGATATTTAGACAATTGGAAATGGTGAGAAAAGAAAAAAAAACAATATATACGGATTGGATGACATTAAAATTATGGTTGAATGAATTTCCAATGACCGTATGGATGGATTTTTTGGGAGAGAGAGAGAGCATCTAATGTTGGTGGTGGTGGTCATCAAAACATCATCAAATGGTGGTGTTGAGATAAGTGGTAGTTGTAGGAGTTTAGCCGAAGATAACAAAAATGCTTTGATGATGATGATGATGATGGTCGTGGTGGTTGATTGATGAAATTGATGGCCATTTATCTACCCGAAGACAAATGTGTTTATCTACGGAGATTTTTTGTTTTGTTTTCTCTCTCTCTCTACTTTTCGGGAAATTCAATACCAAAAAAAAATACCTTACAAATAAGATCAACATGGCCACATTTCTTTTATTATCGGTGACCTTTATCATCATCATCATCATTTTTTTTAAATCGGAAAACATTTTTTTCATTACCACACTTGTCATCGTTTTGTTGTTGTTGTTGTCGTTTTGTTGTTATTATCATGTTTTCATCACCATCAACATTACAATGGGAATATAACACAATAGATGATGTATTTAAGGAAGATGAAAAAAAAAAACGGATAAACCGGACAAAACGAAAATTTCATTTCATTTTTTTTTTTTTGTCATTCGATTTTTGATTAAAAACAACTAGTTGTTAATGATGACCAATAACAATGGCATCAACAAAAAAGAGAGAGAGAGAGAGACAGAGAAAAAATGATCATCCTTGAGGTTTAGGTCTCCAGGTCAATGATGTTTTTTTTTGCCATCATCATTAGTAAAAGGCGAGAGAGAAAAAAAATCCATAAATAAGCAACACATTGAATGGTCATCATTGATTGAATGAAAAACAAATATTCAAATTTTTTTTTTGGACAAATCACACAATATCATTTTTGTTGATTAAATTTACAAATTCAATACAATACAAAAGTTTGGGATAAATCCATCCATCCATCCATCAATCAATGGAAAGTCTCTATGAGAATTTTTTTTTTTTTTTTGATAATTTTAAATTGAAACAAAATTCAGAAAAAGACCAAAAAGATGAAAAAGTATTCACACATCTTTGTGTTTAGATAAACAAAAAAAAATTCGTGACATGAATGAAATGGAACAAAACAAAAAAATCAAAATAGCCATAGTCATCAAATGTAAATTAATTTCATATGATGATGATGATACTCAGATTTTCACAGCCAATTTTTTTTTTTTTGAAACAACAACACAAATTACTATAGTCACATTAGATAACAATGATGATGATGATGATGATGATTAAAAAAAATCATGAGAATTTTTCTCGAAAATGATGATGATGATCATCATCATCATTATTGATGAATGTGTCAAGTGAAAACGATGATATAAAATTTTGTCACTTATTTATTTGCCACTAATTTTTAATTCATTATAGCAAAATAATCATGGGTCATCATCATCATCATCAATGAATGAAATTCAATACGAAATTAATGATGAGAATCTCTATTTCAGATGAAAAAAAAATGGATACTTTTTCTTTTCAAAATTTTCATTTTTATAATAAACATTGATGCACATTCGAATTAATCACGATTTTGTTTTCATTTTCATTCTCTCTCTCTCTCTCTTCCTTCTAAGAATACATTTTAAGCGACTAAATTTCGACGAATAATGATAATCATCATTAGCACATTTGATCATTTGATCCTTGAGAGTGAATTTTATTATTGTTCATTGTTCCGGTTATTGTTGTTGTTGTTGTTGTTGAATCACGAATCACAAATCACAAAAAACAATTTAATCGAGAAATAAAAGAATGACCAATGAAACTTGGAATCAATCGAATCGGTTTTTCTGTTTTTTTCTGGAACATGTCGAAATCGATTAGATTAGATATGAATACGAAAAAAAAGTTGAAGGTCAATGTGGTCAGTTTGTGTGTGTGTGTGCGGTTACTAATTCTAGACAATGATGATTAGATGATGATGATGATGATGATGAGCAGTAGTAATCAATTATTATTCATTG